TTTAGTTATATAATTTTATCAGATATCTTTTTTTGTGTATTTTTCGAAGATGCGCACAAATGATCGATTATTTTATTTTTCTTCTTATGCAATTAATCAAATAAAAATTTATTTTGTGACGTTAACAACGTGACTACATATTCGTTAGATAACACCAACAGTTGCATAAGTTGGTACATTATAAATAAAATAATTGCATCTTAATTACAAAAGATATGATATGGAATTTTTTTCAACGATCTCTAGTATTGTTTTTTCAAAGGCATCATGCTATTTTTCCTTTGATAATTGAGATTGAAATAATTAGTGAAAAATTAAGTTTTTATCTTCTTAAGATGCTACTTAAAATAATTATTTAAAATTTATTTGTTAGCCTTCACGGAAAAATAGCTACCATATAGTTAAATTTTAGCTGTCTCTATATTACACATGATTTTAGCTATGATAGTTAAATTTTTAGGTATAGAATTCTTCGTTAAACCATAGCTAAAAAATAACAAAAATTTAGGCATTAGGTAACTAAATTTCAGGTCGAAATATATATAGAGTGATAGCTATAAAATTGAGCTATGGGTAATTTTTTCCGCGTTATTAATTAAAAAAAAATTAAAATAAAAAATTGAAATAAAATTTTAATTAAAAGATTTGACTCGATGATAAAAAATATGCGGGCATTGTTCTACCACAACTCACGCACTATTATCACGAATATTTTTCACGGACCGTATTTAGCGATTGACGGTGAAATACGACAGATTCGTTCCGCGTAGGCAGGATGCAGCGCGTGCATCGGACAGGAGGCCCTCGTTCCGCGCAATGCAATTCACACGCATCGGAGCACCGCGTCGCGCGTTTCCTCCCCCGTTTTCCTCCCTTTTCCTCCACCGCGATGTGGAAGAGAAGGTGGAGCTACGCGACCCCCGACTTCCGCTCGTTGGGGATCGAACGAGCGGGCCCGTGGCACGTCGACAAAGTACAGGGTGTCTCGTGAAGAGAGAGCATAAACCGATATACTCCGGACTCTCTACTTGACTCTTTCGCGTCGATCTTAACGAATGTTCCATATTCGAGGCACTATGTGCGAGTGCCACCTTTTTTTTTTATCTCTCAAGAATGAATATTTATTTATCGATGTACAATTTATTTATTATTTTTTTTTCTTCGAGAGCATAAACCGATATACTCCGGACTCTCTACTTGACTCTTTCGCGTCGATCTTAACGAATGTTCCATATTCGAGGCACTCTGTGCGAGTGCCATCTTTTTTTTTTATCTCTCAAGAATGAATATTTATTTATCGATGTACAATTTATTTATTATTTTTTTTTTTTTTTTTTTTTTTTCTTCGAGAGCATAAACCGATATACTCCGGACTCTCTACTTGACTCTTTCGCGTCGATCTTAACGAATGTTCCATATTCGAGGCACTCTGTGCGAGTGCCACCTTTTTTTTTATCTCTCAAGAATGAATATTTATTTATCGATGTACAATTTTTATTTATTATTTTTTTTTCGTTTTTTTTCTTCGAGAGCATAAACCGATATACTCCGGACTCTCTACTTGACTCTTTCGCGTCGATCTTAACGAATGTTCCATATTCGAGGCACTCTGTGCGAGTGCCACCTTTTTTTTTATCTCTCAAGAATGAATATTTATTTATCAATGTACAATTTATTTATTTATTTATTTATTTTTTTTTTTTTTTTTTTTCTTCACCAAAACGAGAAAAGTACAATTTTATCCTAGATTGCGTTAGTAATTATTTCTCATGCATTATTCATAAAATAATACAATAAAAGTAAATGGTATTGATTGCATGGAATTGGAATTTATCCGGTGCATTTTTATCGTTCGAATGGACATTTCCGTTTATTATTCGTCAAAGTTTTTAACGTATCGTCAAACGCACTTCGCGGATATAAATATAGAAGAAAGTTTTTACCTTGATATATGGTTCTATATATATATATATTGTATATATATAATCGACTTTCCGTCAGATAATTTATTATCTCGGCACAACAGAAATCTAGCCTTCTTGAAATGTGTGCGTGTGTATATGTGTGGACAATGAGGCGTTCACGGAAGCGAAAAACTTGGAATCTAGCATCATGCATCTCTCCCCCGTACATTTTCCTTCGCTTAATCGTATGCTTTTCGTTTTTCCGCACGATCGATACCGCCGTCGTCGCGCGGGAGATTTTCCGCGATGAAGGCTATACGTTGTTCCTGGAATGCGTTTACGCAAACACAGAAAATACCGAGTTTTTGGAAATTTTCTATATATACTTCCATCGGTTTCATATTTCAAATTAACCCTTAAATTTTGAACTCTATAATGCATCAAAATTTACTTGAAATTATAGGTAAACTTTTGTCATTCATTTGCATTTTACTAGTAACTCTCTAAAGATTTCTAAATATATGTACAACAAGAAGTATTAAAACGTTATATTAATGTTTCAATTACTTATACTTTATCTTAAGAATAAATTGATTGTAACTTGATTAAAGAAATGCATATAGAAAACAAGTGTTTATACAAATGAATATTTTGTATGCTATCGATTTCCAAGACTAATTCTCGCATTTTAGTTCTCGGTAATAAATTCTTCAAATTTGTCATGCTATTTTTATAGCTTATTCGATAATAAATCTCTCAATGTGATGATATATAAGTATGCCATAAATCATTATTTCTGCATATCAAGGGTAATATCGCGTAAAACATGCATCGCAATGCACAATTTCGCAATGCATTAACATGTTCAAAGATTGATTAAAGCAAAATATAAAACCATTGTATTTATTTGCAATGTAAATTCTTATCCGGTAGGTAAAGTAATGGATATTTAAAGAGATCGTATATTTAAAAAAAAATCTGCAAATGCATAAAATCGCGTAAAATATTGCGATGCATTATCTAACGTTATGATGTTCACGTTGAAGATATTAATAAGTTTTTGTTAGCTCGAACGATAGTATTTTGCTGTCAGAGTTTACCGTCGCAAGTAACGCCTTGTACATGAGGCAATTCACGGTTCGTGGTTGAAAAAGGATGAAACGTATCAGAAGTTTAGTTTGTTGAAAGCCTGTCGATCGTTCATAACTCGGACAATATCGGTTTTTCTCTTTTAAAACATCATAGATAAGTTACAGTTTTAAAAATCACAATTGTGTAGACTGATATCCGAATATTTACGATTTTTTAAATTGTATATTTGTTAAACAACTGTCTCTTTATTAAATTAAAATATATGTGTGCATTTAAAGAAATACATTAATTTAGCTAATTTGTCTTTATACGTAAAGGTCTAAATTTTAGCGATTTATTTTATTATTTATTATTTTATCAGAGATATATAAAAATTTAATTTTGTTAAGAAATAACACGTGAAATTTTTATGATCTTTTATTGAATGAAGAGACGAACTTTTTTCCATAGGAGAAAATGCGGGAATATTGCGTATGTATTTAAGATGACGAATTATATGAATAGCGAGATGAAATAACTTTTTGCTCGTTTAGCTTCTTCACTGTGACAGGTTTCGCGTTGAATGTCGTTTCGAATTCTACAAAATGCTGGGATAAATCTCGTAATGCTGATCCAATATACCGTTATCTCTGTCTGAGCGAATTCCGTAACTTCCGGCACTTTTCAATCCGGTATTTCGTTGTCCATCCGCCGTGAAGACGATTGCGAAGCACCTGCTCCAGTATCGAATAGACGTAAAGGATCTTCGCGCGTACAATTTTCTCCTTAAATTGCATTTTTATTTTATTATTTTATTTTTATTTTATTTTTATTTTTTTATTTTATTTTTATTTTTTTTATTTTTTCTATAATCTTTTTATATTTGTCAAATATAAATTTCAACAATATTATAATCTTATTTTAGTATTATATATTGTCATCTGAAGAATATAATGAAATATATTATTTTATGTGAAGATAAGTTATTTGCTATCCAACATTTTTCTTTTTCATTGAAGAAAAATTATTCTTAAATATATAATAAGATTAATATACAGAGAAAATTTTCTCTTAGAATTTACCCTGAAAATCATGGCAATCATGACAATATTGGATTTTTAAGAATTTCATATAATAGTTTCTGATTATATTTACCACAATTTTAAAATATTAATATCTACCACGATAAAATATAAAATATGTTCGATTAATTTTACTACGTATATAGTAAAATTTGCGATGTGCATATTAATATTTTCTATCGTGGTAAATATTAATTAGAGAAGAAAATTCTTTTCATGTATTTTTCTTGGTTGAATACAAAATATTTTCATTCAAGCAAATTGCTGCGTATATACATAAGTATTGATTTGACACATCTTTTTCTGTGTGCTTTCGTAAATATTTTTATTACGTATGTATATACATGTACATGTTGTGTGCTGTTAATGTTAATAAATAATTAGCAGCGAAAAAACATTTAGCAAAATAATTTTATCCTATATACAAAATACAGATTTGTCGAAGTAGACGATTGTGTTTCTAGATTCTCGTCACTTTATCATCGAATAAAAATTACGTTGTGAATAAAACAATGATTTTATTTTATATTTAATCTGCCTTTGAAGGCTCGGAATCTATCAATATGACGCACGCATATAGTCGCACATTGGGGATTACTATAAATTCCGCTCGATCTCTAATTAATGGCTATCATACGAGTAAACCATGCATGCGTATTCGTTTTTAATTAACGTCAGCGGCGCAGATATGGAAATTGGAAATTTTTTTAATCTGCACGATGATAAAATTTCTGATGAGTTTGAGACGGCTTGCGGTGACGCAGAAAAAAAATTGACAGCGAGAAGATGAATAAAACAATAAATAAAACAAGTTGTTATCATAATATATATTCATATAAACGATGATAAGACTTATTACAATCGCATATATTATTATGTATTTCGCATATATTTTGATTTTGCTTTTGCATTTTTAAACATTTCCACACTTCTTTCTGCATAGGCGGTGGTGACAGCAACAAGGGCAAGAGTAAGAAATGGCGGAAGATACTTCAGTTCCCGCATATTTCCCAATGCATCGGCCTAAAAGATAAACTAGGTGAGTCTTTCAGAAATCAAATTAGAGATTATAGAAGTTGGAAGATGGAGAAGTCTTAGAGGAGAAACTATTTTACCTCTCTATAAATCTTTTTTTTATTTGGCGATTTTCGCGACAATGAACGTCCCGTGCAAGGGTCGCTTGATAGCATCGTTGTTATAGAGTCTCGACACGCAGCGTAGTTGTTGGAAAAAAAATTGCAAGGGGTGAGGAAACGAGACAATCGCTCGTTGCGTGTCCCGTTAACCTACTCCGATAACGCTCTTCCAACTAATCGAAACTCGCGGATGAATATATCTCACTTATGCGCTCATATATGTAAATAAGCCACTACTCTGAAATATTCAATGAAATGATTTCTCTGCACATATCATCATTTTAAATTATCTGTAATATTGCAAAACTTTGACAAATTATTTTACAATAGATTATTATTTTACAGTAAAACATATATCGTTAACAGAATATTAATGATTTTTTAAAATTATGACATTTAAATATGACATTTCTCTAATTTAAACTTGAAATGAAAATGTAGAAGTCTAAATACTTTTTACGGAAAATAATAGATATTGCTTTACGATATATAGAATTAATATATAAATTTTGATATCACAAGGAATTAAAATAAAATAATTAAATAATATTCAAATTAAATATTCAAAAAGCATTCAATTTGAAATTACCTTTTATATTTGGAAGTATAATATATCTAGAAATATATTTTTATCTACTTTTGAAAAAAGATAAGATGAAATCTCTTTGGGGATGAGTTCCAGGATTTACGTAATCCGCTTTTACATAAGGACCAAGTAAAAAGAAAGAAGAAAAATCAAATATCAAATTTTCGATTGAATGAAATCTGCAATTGGAAGTGCAAGTCTTATTTTTCCTAAAATATTATTAGCTTTTCCATCATATAATTCGTGATATCGAACAGACATCAGGTACGGCTATGTGGTGGACCAGCAGCCGATCGGGCGGCTGCTCTTTCGACAGTTCTGCCAGGACAAGAAACCGGCCTATCATCGTTACAACCTGTTTCTGGACGCGATCGAGAAGTACGAGATCGAGCTAGATGAAACTCGCATCGAGCTGGCGAAGGAGTTGTTCGAGCAATATCTGAAGCGAGAAGGCTCGGAAGTGGTCGACATTCTGAACGACTCCTTGATTTCCCAATGCGAGGAACGACTTAGTACCGGTGGTAAGGAGCTCTTCGTCGAGGTCGCGCAGACCGTGAAGAACTTCTTGGCCGGCGAGCCGTTCTCGGCCTTTCTCAGCAGTTTTTACTTCTACAGGTAACAATAGTCGAAAAGTCTTCTTTTTTAATTTTTTATCATTTTTATTTTTTTTTTGTTTGTTTTAAATTTTTATTTTTATTATTTTTATTTGTTATTATTTTATTAAATTAAATTATAGGTAAGTTAAGATATTGCAAATATCTAAAAAATGGCTCATTTGCGGGCTTGTGCTAATTAAGACTTTTTAATTTATTTTGAGACATCCCTTTAAAACATTATATCCTTTTCTTCCAACACCTAGTATTATTATATTTGTAAGAAATGAGTGAATTTGTCTCCATGAAAATTTAATGAAGACAATAATTTAAATATATAATTTTTGAGATTTTTGATAAAATTTCTATATTTTGAAAGCATCTCTTTCTTATGTTTCTTCAGGTATCTCCAGTGGAAATGGCTGGAGGCGCAGCCAGTAACGTACAAGACCTTCCGGATGTATCGGGTGCTGGGCAAGGGCGGTTTCGGTGAGGTCTGCGCTTGCCAAGTGCGCGCCACCGGTAAAATGTACGCGTGCAAGAAGCTGGAGAAGAAGCGTATCAAGAAGCGGAAGGGTGAGTCGATGGTGCTGATCGAGAAGAATATCCTACAGAAGATCAACTCCAAGTTCGTCGTCTCGCTCGCGTATGCGTATGAGACGAAGGACGCGCTCTGTCTCGTGCTGACAATCATGAACGGCGGCGATCTCAAGTTCCACATTTACAACATGGGCGGCGAGCCAGGTTTCGACATCAATCGCGCCCGATTCTATGCGGCCGAGGTGGTGTGCGGCTTGGAGCATCTTCATCTTCAGGGTATCGTCTACAGGGATTGCAAGCCAGAGAACATACTGCTGGACGATCACGGTCACGTGAGGATATCCGATCTCGGTCTCGCGGTGGAGATCACCGAGGGCGATATGGTACGCGGTAGGGTTGGCACGGTGGGTTACATGGCGCCTGAAGTGATCGACAACGAGAAGTACACCTTCTCGCCGGACTGGTTCAGCTTCGGGTGCCTGTTATACGAGATGATCGAAGGTCAAGCACCGTTTCGTGCTCGTAAGGAGAAGGTCAAGCGGGAGGAGGTCGACAGACGCGTCAAGGAGGATCAGGAGAGGTATTCGTCCAAGTTCAGCGAGGATGCCAAGAGTCTGTGTCAGCAGTTGCTGAAGAAGAGCCCGAAGAACAGACTCGGCTGCAAGTGCGGCCGACACGGGGCGAAAGAGGTGAAGCTCCATGGTTTCTTTCAGTGTTTGAACTGGAAGAGGGTCGAGGCCGGTATGTGGGAACCGCCATTTGTGCCGGATGTAAGTAGGCGTTGTGATCGATTATCTTATCGAAACTTTGGGTTTCTCTTCTTTGGCTTTATTCTCGTTTCGCGCTCATTAATGCATGTTTTTGCGCTGAACATTTACTTATTTACTTATGAAAATTCAAGTTTAATTTCGACGAATAAATAATCACGTCAAGTTAGTGACGATAATATCGAGGAATTTTTCATTGAAAATACATATATTATCGTTATATCGAATCTATTTTCTAATAAAAATACTGATTTAAAAGTGAATTAAAATCAATAATCATTGCGCTCTATTGTCACAGCCTCGCGCGGTTTACGCCAAAGACGTTCTAGACATCGAGCAGTTCTCCACAGTAAAAGGTGTCAATTTAGACGCCACGGACGATACCTTCTATAGCAAGTTCAACACCGGCAGCGTGTCCATTCCATGGCAAAATGAGGTAAGTGACACACCGTGCTAGACATCACACATTCATATCGTAATCACCAATTATAAGACACGTTGCGCCTCACGACGGCCTTTGACCCTTCTCATAAAAATAATATCAATCCTACACGGCACTCGGCAGACGATCACTTAACAACATCTTCAGTGTAATGTGAATGTAAATTGTATTCGTCGACTGCCCATGCGCAAATTTCTTGACAAATTTAAAAGATTAATTTTTTACACGTGAACTTAAAGCCATGTAACGATAAAAATTTGTTATTTATTGTAATTGGAATTTAGAAGCTTCGTTCTCTGATCAACTCAAAGAAGAAAGTGTCGGTTTCACTTTTCGAAAATATTACACGCATCGCAACATCTGGATGAACGATGCAAACACTTGGATCGAAAAATACGTAGTAAAGTGTTTTCCTACGTCAGAGGTAGCGCAAGAGGCACTCGTTATCACTGGCGTTATTCGGGCTGGGTGTATTTAAAGCCGCGATGCTGCGTACACGCCACGATGGACGCGTTACACACGTGCCACCTTTAGCTTCTGTCGATCTTAAATCACTCATCACGCACCTCGCCAACTGAGATCGTTGAGCTGCAATCTCTGACGCGCTCGTCTTCGTTTCCTTCTCTTGCAGATGATAGAGACTGAGTGTTTTAAGGAGCTGAACGTACTAGGTCCTAACAACACGCCCACCGCAGACTTATTGGTAAATCATACTCCGCCCAACAATGAGGACAGAGGATGTTTTCCCTTTCGGAGAAAGGTAATTTATGTTTTACGAATCCTTGAGAAATTTTTTTCAATTTATTTCAATGTAATTTTGAACAACAACGCAAAGGGTATCTAAAATATATCGGAAAGATTCGGATATCTTTTAGATGCTTCGTTTAAAGAATTTAAAATATTTTTTACATTATATTTTGTATTTATATTATATTTGCAATTTAAAATACTGAAGGAATAATTGAAGAATTGTTTGACATATTTTTTACGCGTTATTAAAATTCATTTTTTAACTGCTGCGAAAAGTTATTAAAATGTTCAATATTATATATATTATAATTATGTTGCGCAGAGAAAGCAGAGCGCTCGCACAAGGGAAGTCCCGTTGTCGGAATGTTATCTGCAAGAGTTGTCGCAGACGCAGAGCTCGGAAATGCCGGCCAGCTGATCCAGGATGAATGCAAATAACAGCCTGAATCGATCGACGTCGTCGCCGTTTCGACACTGTTGCCGCGGCTGACGATGACGTGTGTCCAGATGCTGCTGTTGCCAGCGGCTGCTGTGATAAAAGCAAGCCGATCTTTCCGATTTTTCCCCTCGGCATCCGACTTCTCGGTAATCGTTGTACGAACGCGGTTACACGGCTCGTTTAATAGGAAATCAACTGCGAACTGTCGAAAGTGTCATAATCCCCGACATATTCTCTTGGATTCACTAGATCGGATCTGCAATTCGCGCGATCGGAAATTCGCGATTCTACACGCATATACATAGCCATACACGACATACGCCAGTATTGAATACAGTCAGGTGGTAGGTATACGTTCGTTACCAAATATATCTTCCTCGAGTACGACACGCACTTTTGTGCGTATATCGACCTGCTTTATTGAGCCTCGATGTGTTTCGATTTATGAATGACAGATGAGGATTCAGAGCGGCATATGGATAGATGATTATCTTATTCGACGTGATTACGAGGTACGTGTCATTTTCCGAGAATACGGGAAATTTAGTTTTCAAAATGTGCAGCAGCGAAGAGCATTTTATTTTTCGTTGAATCATAAAATGCTCGAAATTTTCAATCTCGTGTTTCGGCCGTATTTTAAGTTGAGAAGCAACTTAGGAGGGATGAGAAAAACAAGTATACATTTAGGTGTAGAAAACTGCAAGCGGATGTGCAATCATATATTTGTGTACGTAAAAAATGTTTATATGTACTTACGAAATTTTTTTAAATTGAGACTACGTATTTATATATAATTAGTTTATACGATACGATTGATTTTTTAAAATTTTCTCGTCGCACTTAGACGATAGATCTTTTTATTTTCAACGATTCGGAGAACCGTATCGAAGAGCATCTTGGCGCTCAATCAAGTACGGGGAATCGTATATGTATGAGTATACCGCAGTATAACTTCATTTCATATTCGAATCGTTTCAAGTACTTTCCGAGAATCTCGAGGCAATCGCAATCGCTCCGGTCTAGTTTTCGGTCGTCGACGACAACCCCGATATGCAGTTTATAAGGTCGTATTGTGTCGGAAGCGATTAAACTAGATGGCCAAGAACTTCGGCTCGTAAACTTGGGATCTCGTTCGCGCGCGAATGGCTTTTATGATTTATGAATCTCGCGCTCGATATAGAGGGATCTGGGATCTGAGATTCGTCGAAATAGAATATAGGAGAGATATTCGTGCGTAGACGAGTGAGCGCGATAACGCGGGCTCGCACGTGGAACCGACAGGTCATAAAAGTGCACGTGAGCTCGCTCGTTCCCGCGATGGTGTATTGCGACGTTAAGCTACCGGTAAATGCGGACACCCGACACCAGGAAAGTGAAGCAAATAAACGCTCGCGTGCACCGTTTATAAACGTTAACCCGATACGTACAGGGTGTTGAAAAAAAAGTTGAAATATTTTAAGAGGATTTAGTATGTCTAGAAAGAAGTCAAAAGAAAGGTCTTAATAAATCTGGGACTGCAAATGAGCCCATTTTCAAAATATAACTTAACTTACTTATAATTTCATTTAATCTACCTAAATTTACATGAATAAAATAATAAAAAATAAAAAGAAGTAATAAAAATAAAAATATAAAAAATAATTTATTTGCGGATCCATATTTATTAAGACTTTTTAACTTGTTTTTGGGCATACTAAATATTTTATCCTTTTCTTTAACACCCTGTATATTCAGAGGTCGAAGGCACGTGCGTGTAATGTGAAAACGATGACAACCGAGTTGATGGCGCCGAGAAGCGTATGTATTATGTATATTGATGCGATATTGCCACAAATGTTGCGACTTTGTCGAATTAATTAAATTGACGAATGAAAATAAACTGACCGAATGTTTTCGGTTTTGTTAAATAACAATTCGCTCGTCTACTCGGATGCTTTTAACACACTATACAATTTTGGTTCATTTATTTGATATAATCAGAAAACAAGGAGTGTACGATAATAAACAAAAATTGCATTTTTCGACGATATCCGATATTCTTTAATTTAATCATGTTTTTCAAATTATAATAATTGCGTTTTTTTTAGAATCTTCTTTTATCTCTCAAAGAAAAAAACATCTCACGATAAGTTAATCCAGTATTAAAGTCGACCTGAATATATAATGATTAGATATAATTTTAATGCTAAAATAAAGAGTCAGACACAAAGTTTTCGCAGAGTATCGAGAGGGAAGTCGAGTTTTAAATCTTTCGCAGAATTCTGTCGTTAAAATTAGATTAAAATCGAAGATTCCAGGCCATCCCACTTATCGAAAGGAGACACGGTTACTGTTATAATATGCTAAAAGCGTGCGCGCGCATTTTATTTTCATTACAAAGTAGGTACCTCAAATTTTGACGATTTATTTTCTATCGCGTGACAGATAAATCCCTGCGACGCGACACAGTCCGAGAAACGAGCGAGAAGATTTCGCGAATCGCGCGACGGATCGGATTAACGATGCACTTTCGGACAGTTTTGCGAGCACTTTGGCGGTTCTCCAATCTTTGCCTGCCAACGATTGGAGTTTCCTCGTCGAAGTCCTCGGGTATTACATATCTGGCAGATAGTCGTCGCGGTCCATCGTGTCGAGAATGTCTGGTGGCTTCTCCTTTTAATGCATCTCGTAAACTCTCGATGTATCCGAAATTGTGCTTCTTAATCTCGTTGAGAGAATCTCTGTTACAAAAGTATCGATATCGCCGACAGATTCGCACGGAGAATAATATCGATCGACATATTAAAAATAATAGTAATTAAAAAAATAGATTTTATTTTTATTTTCACATTTTTTTATACGCGAAACGCGTTTATTTAACATAATAATGTGAAACTCCGTCATTTATTAAAGGATTGACTCAATGATTGTTGTGTGAACACATAGTAATTAGTCTTGAAAATCTGCTGTCAGTCACAGTATAGCTTTTTCTCGAGAAAGTGAGAGAGAGAGAGAGGGAGAGAGAAGCTGCAAAGAGAGATAATTAGAACGAAATTATTAAATTAAGGCTAATGTTTGAGGAGCTTTTTCTAGATTTACAAGTGGCACAAAAAGTGTTTAAGTAATTTCTTGTCTCATTTTCATTTGTAAAGAAATTATTGTTAGAAAGAAAGATGTGCACAAACGAGATCGTACAAACAGGCTCACGCACACAAACGCACATTAATGTGAATTAAAGGTATATATTTCATTCTAAGTCGAATTTTTTAAATTTTGTATTGATAAGCAAGGACTTGGATAAATTTTTATGAGTCGAATTACAAATTGCCCATTCATATAATTTAATTGAGTAATTTTGCTCTTGATGAACCGAATATAAATATTTATTAGGATGGAACAAAGCACAAATTGTGTCTAGCAATCGTACGCGAACAATAGTCCGAACAAACTTCCTCTCATGGCTCTATGTATTGTCAAGATAATTACTCTTTACGATGATTATATGCTGAAATAAGTAAGACTAATTTACCGAGACCGCGAGACTGATTGAAGAATGGAGGTCAAATGTCTTTCGATTAAGTAGGAGAATTGATCATTTCTCGTCTTATATTTAGATATTTTCTTTTTTGACGTACATATGGATTTAAAATATTAACATATTGTATTTGAAAAAAATGTTATTTTATTTTAGAGAAAATTCTCTCCTTTTTTATGTGCACAGATAATTTAAAACACCGGCCTAAGAAGCAATAATAAATTTTGGCAAAAAATTCGAGATCTCTTTCTCTCACAACTATGGGCATTATTTTTTATTCGGCTGATATTTGACGTCCATTTTTTAACGCGCACGTAATATCGGACATTGAAATGACAGGATATATACAGAATAATGGTTTTTAAGTTAAATTTCGATTCTTATCAGTGATATACATAATTTATGTGGTAAACATATTATTATGTTCTATCGCATGTAACGATTATGTCAATCGGCTCGAGATCGATGTGTGATAAAGCAGATGTGAAAAACCCCTCTCATTGAATAAATATACCCACTCGTTCATGTCACACGATTCTTTCATCGATGTAGACGCAAAAGCATTTATTATTCGTTGAAATGTAAACAGAAAAAGTTTTTTTCTTAAATTTTCTGTAAAATTCTGTGAACTTGAAATTTATCTTGAAATCTAAAGATCGATTTTTTATTAGTACAATAAATCGTAAATTAATTAATTATAGTTTCATACAGAATTGAATCTTCGTCTACTCTTGCGAGGAGATACTTTAAGTTGCTAGATATTCAACAATATGTTTAATTTGCAAAAATTTTACTTAACAATATAATTTGTGATCATTTGTGAATTAATTCTTTCCGCGTCGACAACTCTTTCTTCACGAACTCACACTTTAGCGTATAGAATTTCTCGTCATCTTTCAACTGTGATTTCTCGAAGCGTCTTCTGTTTAATCACGCTACATTGTTAATTTATACCGAATGGTTCAGAAATACTTTTAAGACGTTACTTCCTATCGCGCATTCATCGTTTTATAACAACACGGGTATAAGATATTTCGATCTAAAGAGATCCATTGCGAGATCTGTTACAGTCTACCGTAAACTGTAGACGATGATGTCCGATTATTATATACATATATTCACGAAATACCAAATTATTTAATAATTTTTCTAATAAGCGCGTAACTTATTCACATATAGGTACACATATATACATATATATATTTTTTTGCCTATGTATGTAACGTAGATATATAAATAGGTATATATAAACGATAGATTGCTGAATATACTTTTGCAAATTTAGCATTCGCTTCTCCTGTACAATTCGTATATAAATTATGAATCTGTATGTAAACATTTCGTCGACGCGATTACATACGCGATATGGATTAGGTATTCTGTAATTAAAATCTCATCGAAAGAGGAGAAGACAACTTATTTGGAAACCGGATTATATATGTATATATATATATCGTTCTTGTTGCCTGTACATAATTAAACTCGCACGCAAATTCTCGTCGAGCAAATTTGAGGCCAAATCTTCTCTAGTGATGATAGATTAATTAATGGATAATAATGGAAAAAAATGTTTGACCTAAGAAGAAATGTGGATATATCCTCCGCGTTGATAGTTGCTTTCCATTTACATCAAAACTCAGATAAATCTCACTTCTGTCTTTCTTCAACATCTATGTTAAAGAAAGACAGAAGTGAGATTTATCTGAGTTTTGATGTAAATGGAAAGCAACTAATATTTGTCGTACTAACATGTAGTAGTTCCATTCCATTTCGTCATTGTGTGAAACGCGAGTCTTCGTCCGGACACGGAACAAAAATTCACCACCATAGCTCAATTTTAGCTGTATATTATAATCTGAAATTTAGTTATCACGCTTAGCTATGGTTACTAATATTTTTTATCCACAGTTTACAGCTAGAAAATGATTAGTTAACATAAAATTTAAGCATGGTAATTAAATTTCATGTGTGATATAGGAACAGCTAAAGTTTAGCTATGGTAGCTAATTTTTTTTCTATGATACCTTTGCAGGATTCTGAAAGGTCCTGGAAGGATAATTAGATGATAGCTAAGTAGCCTGAGCAGGTAACGCTTGCCTGTGCCAGTTTGTCATGTCTGTTGTACGAGAGGAGACTGTATTTTGAAACAGATTGAAAGTATTAGACAGAGCACTCACATTTTCGAAGAGAGTGAATTCGAAAGCGAGTGAAATTATCGCGATGATATATTTTCATTAGTCGTCCGATTCTACGTGTCGTCGGTTGTAATTTCGATGACAGACAATGACAGATTCAATTATCACGCGGTCTCCAAAATATGCCAGTATATAATTTAGAACTGATTGACATAGAGATAGATAACAGATTGTATGGACAATTTTTTTATGATTTTAGATTATATTTTATATCAGATACAATTATTTCTCCTGTAAGAGATCTGCCCTGTAATTTTGTATACAACGCAATCCGAATGAAAAATTTCGGATTTCACAGATTAGTATAAAAGTAATAAATTGTCAAGCTTCGAGAATGTATAAGGATTTTTTCGCGCGAATGATGACTTGAGATGATTTGTCGTGCATAATTTTTCAGCGTCCATCCTCGAAGGATTTATATATATATATATATATATATAGGAAATAATATATGAGTAACATTATGTTATACGCGAGAGGAGGCCGACAGTTCTCTGTGTAAATACGTCAGTGAGTAATATCGATAGGAACTAATTAAGCGCACGGGACACACAGACTAATAGATACTTGTATATGAATATTATAGTAATGTAAGGCGCGAATGTAAGATCGCGTGTATATTCGCGAAAAACGGAGCGACGCTTTTATCGCTCTATGCGTATCTCGTCTCCTCATTCATCTTTCCTCTCTCATCCTCGATCCGTTGCCGTGTCAACATCACCTGTAATAAACGCCTCGTTGCTTCAGTTGTGATGTCGTATTCATCATGCCAAGATAACGGAGCGTCACTTTGGCGTTGATTGACTTATCGCGGTGGCGCATTAACGCGTGTAATAGTAGTTAGTAGTAGCGAATGTATACATATAAGTATAGCTGGGAGTCTCGACAAGTGTTGAATGCGACATAAGATAATTGTGACACCGCGATGTTTTACACAGCGATAAAAATTGATAATTATAGTACTATTGGAAAATGATAACGATGATCGCGTTTCGTATTTTAAAAGAGAACCGGTGTGTTGCGCGTGTATTTTCATTCTATCATTTAATTCTATTATCCAAAAATATTTCTCTTGCTTACAGAACTTTGTGTAGGAGTGGTTCATCCGTGACGCAAAACTATTTTTTGTTCCTGCTGATTTTTGAGGATTAATAATATTGAAAAATTTTATTAACGTGATTAAATAGAAGTCCGTTTTATCATAAAATTTTTGTCTACAACATTTTTTGATATCTTATAATAATTTTCGAGATATATTGAAAAAAGCAAACAGCCATTCTACTTATGAGGGATGGTTTCACCCCTTTAGCACGAACAAAAAATAGTTTTGTATTACGGATGAACTCTTACTCTACTTGTAGACAAAGTTTCCAAATTTTTTTAAATTTTCGGGTTGCCTAACTTCCCTCGTTAGTTTTATACTTTCGCATTTCGATGTTACAAATTATATCTCGCGATTAATTGCGTAAGCTATTTTCGCGCCATATGACGTCACACTCGAAGCGGGCCTAGATCTTTATCGTTATACGATAAAGGTGGCGTCATTGCAACGGGAGATTATCGCGAATCAACTCGCTGCAGAGTTAGTATGTAATTCTAATTACTTGCGACGTCGTCCCATTGTAGATTATAGCGTATGATACTTTAACGAGGCGAGTTTCAATGAACTCTCGCGCGCTCACACATGCATACAAATATACAAACACACATACATACACACACGCGGAGACACGTTAGAGGTGTTTAGTTGATCATTAGTCGCGAATTTTTCGCGCAAGCCCGTCGACGGAAGGACAAATTGTAAAAATACGAGAGCCTAATTAAGCGTCTTAAATTATTCATTAATGATGTATATGCGCGCGCACAATTATTTGTACGCTTTATATTCTTCCGATTTATCCGCTTCAGGAAAAAAAAAGAATATATATCGGATCAATGAACGTTAGTCAGTGATTAATTAATAATTCGACAGGCCAGGTATTCATTCGTTTTATATACGTACAGAGAAATCTTTACGCGAGACAGATTTCGATGTTTTTTCTTTAATTATTATTAATCTGCGATGTAAAATAATTTAATGTTTTTAAATTCGGATTTTTATTAGTTTCTAAGTAGATGAAAACGATTTGTTACGCAAACGGACAATCCTGGAAAGGGAATATCGAATGAGATAATGTAAAATAGTATTCTGTTCTACACGGAGAGAGCCAAATGAATATTTTCGTTTTTTACAACTTCGATACGTTGTACAACTTTGCTGCGAAAAAAAAGAAAGATTATATAAATATTATAAATATATACATATATATTATCGTGTGTAAGTTATAAATACGCACGGGCCTACTGTATTTATAACTTATATGTTTATACATGCAAAATATATAGATACGTATATAACCAGACTCATCGTGATCTTGTTAATTTTGTCTTCATTTGATTTTCTTTCATTCACTCGCATTCGCGAAAAAATCAGAACATCGATACTTTTCGACGAGCTTGTTTATTTTTCTTCAGTCGTAAATGTGAGAGGAGGGTGTTGCATAATTAATACACGGTATTTATACACAATATAATATATATATTGTCACAGTTCGTTCTTTATATATATATATATATTTTTTTTCCTCTTTTCCATTTTTTTCACGTGCTCAGATCCTAAGCTACAATTCTTAGATTCGATTGTTAAATCCGTAACGCATTATGCGAGAAAATGATGCATTACTTTACACAGTTCATTGTTAATCGATAGGTCAATCTCGGAAAATCGACCCAAACGCACACTCATATTACAGGCTTCAACATAAAAACGAATATAAAAAATGCACTCACATATTAATAATATTCTTCCCCATCTTTCTCGCGCGCACACTGTCGTTTTCTCTTTTTTCACTTAATTTTACATCGATCAATTCATTGATGCCTTTTATTGTCACAAGTCAGAATGCCTGTTGGTATCTGTTAATATTTAATATTTTTATCAAAATTGAGTTAATTACAACGATTATTTATAATTTAATTAAAAATGTTCTCTAAAATTTATTTTAACATTAAAATTATTCTTATTCTTACTCTCGTTAATAATAATATTCGTGTGCACGCTCTTTAATATGATATTGAATCATTATCGTCATAGTAAAAGGCAACAAAACTGGCAAAGTTTCAAATATTAAGAATATAATCAAGGACGTTTGCTTAAATACATTCTAGCTGAGAAAGTTCAACAGTCTTCAGTCTAAAGTTCATTTTTGTTATGTAATTTCGTACCCACAGGCATCCTGAGGAGCGTTGATGAGTGTTTGTGATTCTCGAAACATGTGTCCCATAAAAATATAGCTAAATGACGAAGAATTATATAATTATCACTTCTTATGACGAGTAACATCAACGATCCGTCTGATCATTATGACGAAACAATTCAAGCTCGCGAAAGAAAGTTAATGCCTTAAGTGTTTTGAGAATTTTGTCATAAAAAATTTATTAATATTTGATTAATATGCTAGGAACTATTTTATATAATTTAAATGTCCAAAATTTTTTTAAATTTTAAAGCGGACGAATCGCCGAGCTGCTCTCTTAAATACGATACTGCGATAACTAAAACTATGTAGGAAGTTAAGACGGCTCTTTTCAATTAGGCGAGATTTTTCGTCTCGAGAACATCCTGAGAAAAAGCTTGGTCTTAGAAAAATTTTACTACGGATATGTGCAACAGTGTAGTTTCTTGCGCTTAGATTATCTTCTGCTCTGAGAAACAAAGATCTAAGCATATACAAAGTATACAATATTACATCGAATAAAAAAAAGAGATCTTTCACCAAAGAGAACAAAGCGTCATTTAAGAATGAAAATGGCTAATCACGGTAAAGCGGTCGAAAAAACGAAATTCTATTCAATGAATTTTGCTCCCCGATCACTTTAAGCGTTATTATCTGCTTCCATCAATATCATATACCAAAATCGAGACTCTACTTAAGTATAATCACGTCTTGAGAGGCACAAACGCGCCCAAAGATCGAGCAATATGCATACAAATTATTCCTGTCAACGGAAACACATTTTCATGCAATCGATGTGATGACGAAATTTTTTCTTTTCTTTCTCTCTTTCTTTCTTCTCTTTGATTCTTTCGTAATTAATCTTGGAGTAGATGAGGGTTTTAAAGACTCGATAAATAATATAATCGTTATGGTAACGTTTATAAGTTCATGCGATTGAAAATAATTAATTGTCGAAAATGAAGATATATATCATGATTTAAAAAATAAATTGTATTTCATCTTTTTATTTATTGTTGAAGTTTATCAAAAGCATGCATGAACTTATAGACTCATCTAATAATTATTTTTTCAAGTTACTTCTTCATTCATTAATTTGCCTGCAAACGTCACTTTTTTTCTTCGACTCGCATTAAACGTATAGAACGTTTTCTTAGACATTTTTTTTCTCTACAAGAGTTTGCCTCCATTAAAATTAATCTTATTTATTCCTCCTTCCAAATAGCAGAAGATTAATATTTTTCTTGATCCTTTTTTAATCCCTATTTATTTTCTTCGCCCTGTATCAAACGCGCCGACCGACTTCACTCGATTGATCCACGTACGTTTTTCCATATTACAGCACATATACTTGCACACATACTCGCACACACACGCATATAATTTTTTCACCAGTGGCAGTAAAATGTAAAACTATTATGCGACGTTGACAATCGAGTGTCAGCGCGTAACAAATGCACTTTTAACCTGTCTGTCTTACAGAAGAAACGTGACGTATTATTACGATTAAATTAAAATTAGGAATTAACTTAAACGGAAAAGACGATCGTGTGTGTTAAAAGTGCGTTTTGCCGAAACGAAGAGTCTAAATCTCTTCCACGCACGTGATTCGCGCACAGATTTTTCTCTCTCTATTAGGGATGCAAGATATTATTAACGATATATCAAAATATTTTCTACATCCCTTGCAATAAGACACGAGGCATTTATTTCTGCAACGACTATCGCATCAAATCGTTTTCTTTTTCATAAAATAAATAATAAATTAAGTTAGATAAAATAAATAAATTTTTTCTTAGTAAAACTTTCATAAAACATTATAAACAGACATTTTCTCTATAATGTTTTCAATAAATTGGCTAAAAATATGTCAGAGAAATAAAAGTAGCTGTCAGCATCTATATATAATCACAGTTTTGTTACGTATTATATATATTCTTTTTTTAATAATTTAATCTTCTAAAGTCCTTGCTCTTTTTAAGATTATTGCGATATATATTTTAGCATTTTCATTAATTAAAAACAACACTAATGTCTCTGCAAATATAGTTCTTCCACGAGCGTTTTAATATCGAATATATCGATATCGTTTTTGGATATTTGCATCCCTAGTTTGATTATAAAATTAAATATCGATGTTTGTGAAACTAAAAGAAGCGATATCCTGTAAATATGGAACCAGATGGTAGAATCTCTCAAAGGTTGTAAAGTTCACAAATTACAAATTGCGCACGAGTGCCAGAAATTAACGAAGTTGAGATAACGCGAGGATCGCGATACACTTACAGCAAACATCGTCTAGTCGAAGAAACACTTCAGGACTAACAATGAGTAAAACTAATAGCTTAAACAGCGCTTAATTAATAATTAATTACAGTGACGCTTTAATCGTTATCTCAACCACTTTCTGGCGCGCGTTCTAATCGGACTTTCTACAATTCGGCTCTTCCGTTCTAGTTCTAACGCAGAATTCATCTCACGGAGAGAGATATAATCGCGATGAGACTCGTATTTCCCTTCCATCTCAGAACGATATGTGTCTCGCGCGTAAGTTATTTCGAAGTTTACACGCATCTTAAACGTGAATTTTTAAGTCATAATGTTTACATGTATACATCAGATTGTGTATAATTTATAATTAGTATGAGTCTTTTGCTCAATTAGTTTAATTTGAGGGAAAAAGCTTATATAATAAATATAATTCATATATGTGCATAAATTCCTTATTTAAAATTCATTCAAAAAATTGATTTGATAAATAGAATCATGATTTTTAAATTAAAATCTTTATAATATGAGATGAATAAGTAAAATTTAATCACGATCGTAATTATTTTTATACCAGCGATCTTTTTTAAATTTGCAGTCGAATTCGCGCACACAGGCGCGAATGTGATATACATATGTACAATAAATAAAATATTTTATATATTTAGTAGTGATAGCATGATCGGTGTTTAACGCGGAAATTCAATATGTTATAACACATCTCAAAAATATTTAAATAATAAATCATTTCCATTTTTTACAATTATTCTATCCTGTTATTCGAGTAAAGCGTTGAAATATTCGAATGTTATTTGTTGCTTAGAAAACAAGTAACATTTACGTCATGATACTGTATCGAAATCATCTCTGTCCCATATCGACAATATTAATATAATCTATATATAATGACGATATTGAGATTATATAATTAATATTTTACATCAAAGAGCTCAAAAATTTCTCTTACTGCAAACTTTTAAACAAAAATATATAATTTAAAAGCGTGCAGTCGTGTCATCGCGTATATCCCTTCGCCGTGGAACGAGAGACAACAGCCTTATTTCGAAACTTTGTAGTCGAACGGGCGGATCCGGATCTAGACGAGCTGCACTTTGACATTTCCCTACCCTGTCGGTGCCCTGACACAATATGGCTGTCTCTTGTTGCCTAGGACACCGTTCCCTCGAAGAGAAGAAATAATCGATCTGTCAAACCGGTACATCCTTCACCGATTCGAAGATTGACGAAAATCCTTCCCGATCTTCTGTTTCGAAGAGAGCTCGTCATCGTCCGTCATCGACCTCGATTCGACTTGTCTTAACTGATTACACCTGAGCGGGTTTCGATTTGCCGACTACCAACAATATCTTTTGCAGCAACTTCGTCGCGCTTACTGAAACAGGAAAAGAATGACACGTTACAAACACTCGACTTACGGTGGTTCCAGTCTTCGGATGCAAATGCGGTTCTAGCAAGGAATCATAGTTAATCGACAGATCTGTTGTTATAGGTTGCTTTTGATATTTGGGTTGTTACAGCTTTAAGAGAGATTCGAGTTAATATATGTGTCGGCATGTTTGTGTCGGTGTTGGTGTGTGAGATGTGCAAAATCAAATCTCAACAATGTTCTAATCAACTCAAGTGAAATTGATGATTATATAAGAGCTATAAAACACATTTTTCTCAAATAAAATTGATGGCATTTTCATGTTGTTTACGAGAATATTTTGGAAAGTACATCTTCCTCCGATTCAAGAGAAACTGAGAAAAATTTGGTTGAATTTGAGAATCAGTATTTCCGGCAAAATGTGCAACAAAAAATATTTTTAAGAATTTGATAATATAAAAAAAATTAATTTTGAAGAAAAATTTTTTCTTTTGTCATTTTCAAAGCACTCAAAATTTATCTTCAAAATTTCAGAGAGATATATATAAGAAATATTCTATTTCAATTAACGGATTATCCGATTGTGCAGTGATGCACTAAAAATTGAGTCGTATTTTAAACTGAAGAAATATATGAAAAGCAGGATGAATAGATGGCAAACAAAAGTTCGATTGTTATATTTTGTTCAAACACAAAATATTAATATATGATATTGATAGTTCAAATAGAGATGTTGTGCAATAAAATGTAGATGCATAATATAACAAGAGAAAATCTTGATTAAGGCATGCAATGCATCGAGAGTGATTTCGAAAGACGAGAGAGACGAGTAAACGTTATATATAGATTATATATAGATTAGATGAAAGTGCAACAAAAATGGATGAATGCTAAGCATGCGTGACATATGGCAAGAGTAAAATTGTTACAGTGTGTTTTGAACCTTTGTCTTTTGTGGTCCCACGACTACCATTAGCTTCTGCAAAGTTTTGGTGATGGTGCCTGCGGGAATAAATTAATTAAACAGAAATGTACGAAAATGCAAAATTGCAAAATCACAAACTCGCATCAATGAAAAATTTCTTAAATTATTCTATAACTAAAATTTTACGAAAGAGAGACATAATAGCCGACGCAATATTTTTTCCTTCATTTCTGTCTTCTCATTCTTAAACGCGACACTACTCAAAGTAAAGCAAAGAAAGTCATCTGATCTGATATTTGTTATAGTTTCCACATATTTCGACATAATAATTTATTTTAATGGATAACATATTGTATGCAATCATATTATGCTTGTTAGACTTACCGACTCCTTCTTGGAAGAATTTCGGCTTGTTCTTCCACGCGATGAACACAAAATAAACAGGTACAGAAGAGAGTATCATCAGACAGCCGTATCCTGAAAGATGAAATTATTTTTACAAAATGTTCTTCATGATAACAATCACGATGCGATTTGTCGATGACAGATCTTTACCTGTTTCAACGGGACTGGCATACATCGGAACTATAGTAACGAAAAGAGTGGCCAAGATGTAGATGATCGGAAAGAAAAGATTCACCTTGATCGGCCTCTGCAAGTTCGGTTGACTCCATCTGAGCCAAGGAAGGCATAGCACGGATACGCCTATGCTGAGCTACAAATCAAATTAAAAAGATATTATTTTTATATTGAAAATCTTAGAAATTAAAAGAATTTAGATGGTTGACAGTATTAATTAGAAAAATAATATATTAGCAAAAGATGCTGAAAATAAATACTATTATTAAACTAAATTATATATTTAATTTAATATATAACTTATATTAATTTGTTATATTAATTTAATATATAATAACATATATATTTAAACTAAAAAAATGTTTAAAAAAATTATTGACAGAGGACAAGTAAATACATCGCGCAAAAATTGATTCTAAATTAATGGATCGGCTCGGCGCGGCGTTACAAAGTGATTATTTTTTAATAGAAAGGCACTTATGTGTACACAACGAGATATTAATTCTACGGTGACTCAAAGCCAATTATTCTGACGATGAGTAGTATGAGCAATTGAAAAATTATTCATCCGGACGAGCTAATGTTTCGTTAAGGACAGGTACATAAATTCGCAGTGATCATGCGATCATGATGTTGCATGACCTTCGTGACGAAACATCATTCGGCTTTTTTTGCATAATAATGTCGGGAAAAATTAGCTTGCTGCTTCGCGTTAGCGTTTACGGCAAATTAAAATTCGAACATAGAAATTACATTAGCGGCGATAAGATATAATAGCCATCTCTTCTGATATCCATTTTTTTATCTGATTGTCAATCAAATGTGAAATTATTCCTTAAGACTTTATACGTGCATTGTTTCCTAAGAGATAGAGCAAAATGCGAAAATCGTTGTACGTACCCAAGTGGCGAAGCCAACATAATTGATGAGAGCGGAGATGTCGGAAGAGCATAGATACAGCATGGAGAGCAATGCCTAGAAAAGATTGCAAACAAGTTTTCAAGTAACGCTGTTTGATCTATGTGATGGTCTTGAATCGACAGAGTTGGTTTGACTATAGATAAAGATTCGAAGCAATCTACCAGTTACATTGTTTTTTTGTTTGCCGACTCTGACAGCAATCAATGATCAATAAACAAGAAAATCCGCTTGTGATGCGACACGAAATCTATATTGTTTCATAATTTCACAGAAGACATGATATATTATTTAATATGACATAATTTCCAACAAAGATTATTAACACTTTTGCATTAAGCTTTTTGAAAAATAAATGAATCTCTTATTTACTAACAAAAATTTATCTGTTTCCACCATGTTATATTCGACAAAAATTATATTTTTTTTAATATTATAATTTTCAATATGTTATTAATCAATGTTATTAATAGTATATTAATGTATACATTTTATATAATGTACTTAATGTTAGCGCGGTCTTTTCGACCAATTTATATATCTTTAGCAAGTTTATCTCAACAGGTGGAGAGCTAAGATATTTACGGAAAGAGAAAAGTGATTTTTACCATGCACAGTATGGCGGGTGTGGGCGTGAGCCTAGAAATTTGGATCATCGTCAATATTTCCGGCATCTGACCCTCGCAGGCACCCGCGTAGAAGAGCCGCGAGGACGTGAGCAAAATACCATTGACCGCGCCGAACGTGGACAGAGCCACAAAAACTGGTATCGTCCACGCCATCACGCCGAACAATCTGTTTGCATATGTCTGCGAAAAACGAGGGCAATTTCGAAATTTTAAAGAGCAAAAGAATTAATTGGAAAAATATCGTATCGATCTGCATAGAAAATAATGACTACAGTAAATAATTGATAAATTTAAATATAAAGATATTTTAATAATAAATATTTAATAATATTATTTAATATTTAATTATTTGATAATAAAGAAAAAAATAATAAATAGAAAGATGAAAAGAAAAAAGATTAGAAAAAGAAAAATTATATTTGCACATATATGTATATGTGTATATTATGTGATTAAAATAGATTAATGAATTATTAACAATTGAAAATTAATTATTTCTTTTGACAAAAATGAAGAGATTCGGTTTTAAAATTGGAAAAGCATATTTATGATTAATTACCACTGCCACAGCTTCGCTGCCGAGCACTTCGACAGGGCTAAGGGTCGTATAGAAAGCCATATTCGTGAAGACGTAGACAACCGTAACAAGAGTGCACGAAATGCCAATTGCCCTCGGTAGATTTCTAAATAGATACATGGTTGTACAACGATTTTGTAACAATTATTGTATCACTAGATTATAGTTTAATTATAATATGCTTGGCATATTGTGTTTAGTTTCCTCCGCGATGTAAAAAATTTTCTCACCTAACGGGATCCTTTAATTCCTCGATGATGAAGTTCAAGTAGTTCCAGCCGTTGTAAGCGAATAAGCCTGAATAAAAGCTAAGGGCTATAGATGTAACTTCCGTGTTAGTATTGTCGAACGTGAAATGCTGCGTGTGTCCTAAGAAAAGAGACATTGTCGATGTAGAATTATTGTTTCATTAACTAGGACATAAATAAACATGATAGATAAATAATTATATAATTCTCAATTTTTTATGATATTAATTATTTTAGTATCAATATTTTTTATATTAATATATTTTTTTTATTAATATTTAATTAATTTATTTTAACTGTGCATAAAATACAAATGCAACTATGATACTATGGTATTTTATTTATTTTTAATTTCTTTTAAATCAATTTCATTTTTTAGAAAAAAATGAGAGCGAAGTCGCTGACTAAAGGTGAGCGTACGATTTTGCAAGGTCAGTGAAATGTGTCGTCAGAATCGAGATGATTGTCGTATACACGCCACGGTCAAGGAACCATTTGGTTCGCTGAATAGTCTAATTTAAGCGATTCCTTGCACGCACACCGACTACACGTCGCATCGTCTGCGTATTTAACCCACCTTTTTGATTGGGTAATTGTCTCGTCCGGCAATGTACAATGCTGAAAAGACGTCCAACTTCCGGTTGGACGGTCCTTTTCTTCAGTTTCACCCGTATAAATGGACAATAAAGTGTTTCTCGAATGATTTGAGATATTGATCCACTTTTGAACGAAAATTGATTTAGAAGTATTTTTTTGCAAGAGGTTTAATGTTAAAAATATTTCTGCAATTGAGATAAGAAAATATTCAACTTTAAGTTTATATCTATTTTGTTTTTAAAATATTCTACGAATAATCTCTATAATTGTTTAAAATTTTTTCTTGGTTTACATTTAATTTTTACCTCGACAATAGAACGATTCATTTTTATCCGTTTTGTTTCTTAATTCCTTTCTTAATTTTTTATTCGTGATTTTATCTTTCAATATAATTTAACACCATGACACAGCAAGTATATGAAAGGAGAGATGAAAAGTCACTATGTTGAAAAAAAGTTCAAACTGAATAGACAATTCATCTACGGAGAGAAAGTTTTTTTCTGACACAAGGTCGATTCTTTTTACTTGATCGAAAATACATGGAAACTTTGTCACGTTTTTTGTGAAATCTGTTCGTGTTACACGAAACGAAAATGTATGGTGCATAAGAGACTTATTGTTAGAATGCAATCACGCGGCACCGATTAGCATTAGTCGGGATCGTTAGAAATCACACCAAACTGCACGCGATCGTTCTCTTCTACAACAGTGTCATTAACCCTTAATCACGTAACGCACTCTAAGCAAGCCTATCCGTTTTGTATAATTAAATTACCCCACTTCGGAGATACCAGATTATCGAAAATGTTATTTTGTCTTTATGAGAACGCACATGCAATATGAAAATATATGCAGCAACATTCTGTTCTGAATTATAATTCTTTGAAAACGTGTGAAATTATCACATTTAAAAAAATTTTTTTTAATTATTAATTATATTTACATATATTTTTTAACATATAATTTTTTATATCGATACTTCTTCCTTTTTATTAATATATACATATATATAAATTTCTACATATATATATTTTTTTTCTTATATCTTTATTTTCTTCAAACTCATACACTTGGACTAGTTCTTGTGAAATTTTCTTTTGTTTGTTAATAATTTAAGTATTCAACGATAAAACTTACCAGTGCACAGCTGATAGGCTCCCGTGAAGATTATGATGAAAAGCGCGAGTAGTTTCGCATACGTGAAAATATCCTGCACTCTCGTCGCCCATTTGACGTCCCAGCAATTTATGAAAGTGAGAATGCCTGTAACATCAACGTAAATAGTGCTGTTAATTATCGTGCAATTAAAATGTATACAATATATTTTATAAAAATTTAAAAGATATGGTTTTTTGTAATTGATGAGAACGATTAAAAATGATATTTTATTGTCATATATTACATCAAGAATAGTGATATTAATCCATTACGACTCGCATGAATAACATCAAGTACGTACTTTAATTAAGAATTATGCGTAGTCACGCATGTCACTTGGCCCCACCTGATCCCACATGTGTCATTTATTTTGAAATGCATCTTGCCATAATTTTACATAATAACTAGAATCCGTTATAGTTTCTTAACGTGCCAATTTCAATAGAACCGATTGCACGTGCGATTTCTCCTTTTCAGACTATAACTGGCACCAATTCAACAACCTAGTCATTTAGGGCGAAGAGGGTATATAAGAACACGTCAATTTATCGATCCTTTTGAGAAAAACGTCTTCGTAATTTACGAAGAACATTTATGATTGTGAGTATAGAGAGAGAGAGAGATAGTCAATAATTTCTCTTCCATTAAGGATTCCATGAAAATGAAAATTGTTGCAATATATATTCATGGTTTCTCATTGATGTAACATAGTCATGAGGCGTAGTAATGATTTACATATAACTTTACAATGGCAAAGTTGATCACCCATAATATTTTTTTTAACGGAATAATTGCTAAGAGTCAGTAATGGATTCTATATACGTTTCCATTGATTACTTTATTACGGAAATTAAATGAAAAATAAATCCTCATTTTGAAAAGTGAATAGATCAGGATGATTGCAATGGAATTAATAAAATTGCACTAGACAAGTATGTATAATCTAGTGTAATATTTTTGAAATTTGTGATATCTTACATTTTTATATAAGAGGCTTTATAATCAGCTAATTTTTGTGGAACTCGGTTTCTTTCAGTACTAACTAAGAATTAGTAGCTGAACTAGATATTGAGATTAGATGAAGATTTGTCCTGATTAATTAAACTTTAATATTACAACATCACTTTAGAGCTGTCCTTGATAGATAATAAAAAGGAAGAAGAAATGTCGAGAGAGGGAAAGAGAGAGGAAAACTGATGCAACATCTTGAAGAAATATCACGAGACTTTTCGAGAATCCATGCCCTTTCCTCTTTGCCTGTCTTCCTCAGACTTCTTCATCTCCTTTTCTTTCTCCCTTCGTTCACCCGTTTTATCCTTCCTTTTCGCGTCATCGTTTTCCCCCTACCGGCGAATTATGCTGTTGCGGCCAATTGTCACGTTATTAAATTACATTTGTTCACAATGAGGCGTGATTGCCATCGGGCTTTTGACTCGCAGGACTCCACGAACATCTCGACATTTCCAGTCGGTCTGCGTCGATTGTCACTTTCCACTGGCCGTTCATGTGTCATGTGTCGCATGGCCATTTATGCGGTCACGTGCCCGGCAAATGTGTGACATTTCACATATTTGAATCTTTTCAAATAAAGTATACTATATATAAAAGTTATTTAAATTGTACCTATAAGATCGAAACATTTCTATATAATGGAAATAGAAATCTTAATTAATTACTAATTAAATATTAATTAAAAAATAATAAGTATGTATTATAAAACTGTAACGCATAATTAGCGAATGTTATGATAATTAGAAGAATATTAATTAGTCGCGAAATGCATCGCGCACAAATCGAGAAAATATTACGGATTTGTTCGCGTGGTCGTCGATCTTTATCACTTGAAGTAGAATGGAATAGAAACGAATTGTCACTATATGAAAGAAACAAAATTAAATCGAATATACTTAACATAATTACATATGGAATAATTTAAAAATTTGAATTTTTACGAATATCTTAATCACCAGTTTAATTAATGAAACGTTTAGCGTGATACAAATTTCTTAATTGAATAATATGATTTAGCGTAATATTTTTCGCAATTATGTATGAAGTTTAATTGATCTTTCTATCTTTACTTTGACCTTTAATCATCAATATTAAATATTGAGATAATACTAAATGAATCGGGAGAAGTTTGTTATGTTTGAAATATTTATCTTGAAATTTAACTATTGATATCAAATGATTAGAGATAAAATAATAATATATGAATCGCGAATTTTTTCAAGAAACCGGAGATCCGTAAATTATTAAAAAAAAAGCGAAGTTTTCTATTATTAATTGCTAATTTTTTTTAGAATAGACATCTGATAATAGATTTCGTGAATACTGAAAATGCATAATGTTCATTTATTCGCAAATGACATCGTCGCCATTGATCGAATGTGTTCGTATTTCATTTTCCTTCTTAGAAAAACCCATTTCCGGTTCGTCGAGCGATTTATCGGAAAGAATAAATGGAGCTCTATATATATATATATATGTGTGTATATATTGCAAAATCTTATTTAAAATGACAGATGAGTTTTTTACGAACTGTCGCCGACGGCTGTTCGCTGCTTTGCATATAGGTATCATATTTTTCTCATATGGCAGATTTAAATAAAGTTTAATCCTATATGCAAAATACTCTTTTAAAAATTAATTATTCCGGGTAGGAAAATTAAGTCATGCATAATGAACAATTGACTAGTTTGCAATTGCTTGTAGTGTTTTCTCAAAGATCTCCGCTCCAAAAAAATGTAAGAGATTTTTTTATGTTATGGTCCAGTAGCCTGGAACTGTGTCGTGCTTATTATCTTAACGCGACATTTTAATATGTTAATGAGATTAAATTTTTCACTCGAGACGCGTGCATGAATATCTCATGTTACTTAATAATTCATTGTAAATCGATTTTCACGATTTGATAAGTGGATTTTATTCAAATCGCGCGTTACAACAATATTTAAGTCGAGAATTTATATAATAGATTATATATTTAATCTTTAATTTTTATAACTATTTCAAGCTATTATTTTTGCAGCATGTTTTGCAAAAAAAGAATGAAACTGGATCTCTCGCGTAATTATTCACAAGGATAGTGCTTCGTCAATGGTTTCTTGAGGGCTAAAATGCGGTTGGGTTTACGTATCTGTAAAACGATCCATAGCAAGCAGGAGTGATATCGAAGCAAAAAAAAGTGCACAGTTAAACCGCAAGGAAGGCGATATGCCCTCGTGGTTGCATTCTTATCCGCACTTTGAATTTGTCAAAAATAACTTTCTTTCACGCGCAAAAAACCCGCATCGCATATCTATTCTACATAAAAATCATATCTCTGATAATTAATGCAATTTAAAAAAACTCATTGGATTAATATTATTAATAGTTATTTATTTATTAGTATTTTTTATATTTATCAATATTACATTTTTATTGCAAACATTTAAACAATTATATTTTTTATTATTTATTATTTTTTTCTTTTTTCCTTCTTGAGCATATTTAGACATTTTATGGGATTTCTTTATCATGTCAGTGCGATACTCAATCAGAGTGCACATATTTTATCAAGTTTGCCAACACGGACACACGTGAATGTTACATCGCGGAAAGCACGTGAAAAATTGCGTGCGTCCTCGAATTTCCACGAGAATACGTCCCGTCTCGTTCCGTGACATGATTGCCAGCTATTTATTTCTATCGACGACCATGGACGAATTTTTTTCATTATTTACATAGACATTCAGCACAGAGATTTCCCCTCATAGATCGGCTTTATAGGTAAAAATTGAAAATCATGATACAAGTATATAATCGTCTATAATTTTCTTGCCGCACGGGAAGGAAATGCGAAGCGTTTTTATTGTCGCATACCGATAAAAAAACGTCGGAATACTAGGATTAAATACTCGGAATACTCGAAGATACGTGTTACAATGTGTACTTTTACTTTGTTACGCTCCGATATGCTGTTTAAAATATTAAGTAAAAAGAAGATATTAATTTGAAGGCCATTTTTTATTCTTTCAGATTCGCGACATTATTCTTCATACTCACGTCTTTAAAGAGATCTTCGAGCAAATATATTCTTGCACAAAATGCAAATGTTTCACGTAAAATTATTATTTCATTGTTTAAAAATCAGAAACATTTTTGCGCTTTTTAACTCAGTATTTATTTTCAATGTAATTTAATTTTTCTCCTCCAGTTTCTTCTTTTTATTATTATATTTTAAGAAAGAAGATTATTTCTCGAAAAAAAGACTTCTTATTATTGGTTTTTTTAGTAACTCATTAGGTTAATAACTGCGATATATGTCTTGTTTGTTAGGAGGAAAGAATAGTTGAATCTTCTCTAGAAGATTAGCACGGAGGAAACAAAACGTCAAGGATAAAATATGGCATAAGAAAGTTGCTCGCAACTGTGAGATTATTGTTGATCATACTGCTCTGGGAATTTCGCAAAAATATATATATATATATAGTCCAACATAGAAATATAGTAGCTACACTAAGAAGGAATATTTCTGACAAGGCATTATTTTCCTTTCCGCATGAGAAAAGGTGCTTTTCTTGCAATTTAAGACGTTCGATCGTATTTTCTTATAAAGACTTTTCTAATGGAATCGAGAAAATACTGCGGAGACTCTAATTTTTATCTTCAACAATAAGAATTACAAAATTAGTTATCGTACGCCGAAAAAAATTAGTCACCATAGCTAAAGTTTATTATATCCCTATATTATACATAAAATTTAGGCATGATAATTAAATTTCAGGTTGTAACATAGGGCCAGCTAAAATTTTATAGTTCTGGTATTATAAATACGTTTATAATTTCTTTATATATTTTAAATAATAATAATAAATTCTTTATATATTTTAAATAATAATAATAAATTCTTTATATATTTTAAATTATAAATAAATGTTTTACATGAAGATGAGACAAATGAGCTAATTCTGTTCGCTCTCTATGATAAAGCTAAAATATTATCACCGCAGAGAATCGTCAAGACGAGAATTAAAGTCCTTGAAAATGACATTCTAAGACACGATTGCTGTGAGAAAGACAAATTTTCTAAGGGTCACATTGTCGGCCCGTTTGAAATAGTTAGTGTACGATGAACGAGCGAGCCAATGAAGTTCAATTCTCCCGGTCTCGGTATTGTATCACGATTATTCGTTATAGAGGATCGTGACATTGATCTTGTTTGATTGCAATTACGTACAATAAGTGTCTCGGCAGATAAGCTTAATTGCTGTTACATTATATTCTTTTACATATGGACCACGAAATCCTCTCGTAGAGTCGTGCTTATAACAACTAAGAATAACGAACAGAGAAAGTTTCTATCTGTATATGTGCCATACTCGATTTATATACGTTAAATCATATTATAAATGTCATTTATTATTTTTGTCAAATGCGAAAAAAGAAAATAATTAATTTAATTTTATATTAAATAACTCTATGTTATAATTTTTAATTGATCAAATATTTAATATTAATTTTACTTTGTGTAAAATAGATTGAAATTTTTATTCGATTCCTCCCACACGAATTTAAAGAAGCATAATTTTCTCTTGTTCGCTACTTCATTTTCTACTTGTTTCGTGTTTTCTAAGATTTACTGATTTGTGTGTCATCTATTCAATTCATCAGGGAGATACGACTTTTAGTCGTGTACTTACATATGCAGCAGACAGCCAGCATTCTTACAGACTCATCTGGTGGCGTACAGTCCGGGAAGAGCGGTTTGAGGACGTAGACGCTGAAAGTCAAGGCCACGATGGCCTGACTGCAAGGACGCACTATCATGCACTCGACCCATAGTCTGACGAAGGCTAAGAAAGGCCCGAAGGTTTCCATGATGTATGCATAATCTGCGCCCGACTTCCTGATCATACACCCGAGCTCGGCGTAGCAATAAGCTCCTACCTATCGAAAGACATGAGAGAAAAGGAATTATGTAATATTTTAATACACAAATATTTGTTAAATTAAAATAGTTTTATCAAAAGATTAATTTGCATTTATATGTCTCTCTTTCAATTTATTATTTCATTATGTTCTGCCTGATATAATAATGAAATAGAATAAATTTCTTATATCTTTTACGAAAAAAAAATCATTGACAATAATCGAAATTATCTTTTGAAATAACAAGAAAAAAATTAAATACCATGGAATAAATCCCAGACGCCGTCCATACGAGAAGACTCGCGTTTACGCTTCCCGTGTACTTGAGTACACCTGTAGGACTGACAAAAATGCCGGAACCAATGATGGAACCGACGATGACGGTAACGCCGTTGAGAAGCGACATTTTCGCCTCCAACTTGATCTCGTCGTTGCCCTTTTCACCTTTTTCGCTAGTAGGAACCGGGTCGTAGGGACCCTTCTCGCCATCTTTGATGCTCCCTGACTTCGACATTTTTTCTGAAATGCACAACGAAAGGTAATTTATTATTAACTTATCAAATTTTTTTATATTTATATTAATTCATGTTGCGTTATAACAAAATAAATGTTTTCTATTACTAAAACGAGATAGACTTATCTATATTATAGTGTTATTAATTTGTTTATACATTTGTTTGTTAAGATATATTTGTTAATTTTTTATGTATCGGGCATTTTGATAATAAGATCATAAAATTTAATATAAATCATTAAATTAAAAATGTGATTTTCAGCTTTTTTGTTTTAAAAAATTAAAGAAAGTGATATTCATGATAAGATATGCTTTTATTATTAATAATCCGCTACTATCATATTATTTTTTTTGTTTACAAATAAACAAACATTATCTTATTGCCAAGCAATTATTCTACCGTGATGACGAAAATTCCATCGAATCGTTTGATTTGACAGTTCATTTGCATATATATGCGGATGTATATACACACACATATATAGTATATATATATATATACATGAGCAATTTGAAAACTGCTGCGATGAAAGAATCACAATGTATTTACATATATCTGCGCAATGTATCTTATCAACTCGACTTTTTCAGTTTCGTAACAAAATAACCGTGAGAGGAAGCAGCTTTGGTGCATTTGTGTGATTACTTATACTTATATTCACTTGAATTTATTATTGTAAAGTTCACCAAGAATAGTGAATTGATTATCATATTGAAGCGGTTGCATTCAGTCATGCAACACTCTGCAACGTTATGTAAATTTCTTATTGAATTCTTCCTTTTTCTATAAATATCTTTTTGCACATGCTTTTTACAATTTTTATATCTTTATACATATATTCGCTTTATGATAAAATCGTATAATTATTTTTCGCGTATTTTTTCTACTCCTGAAATTCATTAAGCTTACTTAATAATTTTTAATATCAAATATTTCAAATATAATAAAATATTATATAATAAAATCCAAACAGGCTTTAATTTTAGCAAACAAAAATCAAAGTTCTGTTTTCATTTAATAAAGAATTTTTTGATATTGCTTGTATATTTAAAATATCAATTTGAAGATCAACATTTTACAGGATTATTTATTCTCACAAAATCAAGAGAGCGCGATTTAATGCGGCCATAAAGCACAGAGGAAAATCTATCTCTGCATCTCCAAGTTTCCTCTCATCAGTTCTAAATGATGCGAGAAAAGCGAAACAAATGTATATAAAGCTGCACTTCGTGGCCAGCGCTATCTCCTGAAGGAGAATTTTCCATTCTTGGCTTGAATAATGCATTCGACAATCGCGCAAAGTGAATGACTTTTCGCAGCTAACGGCATTGATTTATCTCGAGAGCAAGAAAAAGCTTCTTTCGTGCGAGGGTATATATGTGAGGATAAGAATTTTGCGTAGGAGGAATATCGCTTTTATTCCTCGTTACTCACAGAAAACTGCGGCGACTTTTATAGTGTGCATGAGATGTTTTCCATTTGTCGGCAACAGGTTTGTCTTGCGACAAAGTTTACTGAATTTTCCCATTGATATCAATCAGAAGAGCGATTAATCCATTAAAACACAATTTAGCTATTAAACGCGCGTCGTTAAATATCATTAAAAAAATTACAATTTGCGAGAATAGCAATATATATGTATAAGAGATAACAAAGGCGCCTGTATTTAAAAAGAAGTCGCATTTAGAAAGAGAAAATTGTAAACAAATTCACTGTAAAATAATGCTTACATTACAAGTGTCAAAATATATATTACTATTTCATAATATTGATTATATATAATAATAATAATTAATATTATAAAATAGTAATATATATTTTAACACTTGTAATATAAATATATTATTATAGAGAATTTTTTTATTATATATTATTTTTTAAGTTATATATTATTATATTTTATAACGAACGTTACTTATAGTCAATATTATTATATATTTATCGATCATGTTCACTTACAAATTTTGTCACTCTGTATCATTAAAAAAATGACTAGATATGTCGTTATCACACTTTTACGAACGTATAACTTTATCATTTATTTTTATCATATATTATTAATACATGCTCCGTTTTATTTGATCAGTTGGATCAATGTTACGTCGCGGACATAGTTATGAAACTGACGAAAAAAGTGAGTTTCAGCAACCGTGAATTAATTTGAATTCTGCGTCATGCGCCTGTATCGAGGACGTGATCTCGACCAATCGTATGCGATCATCGATATACACCTTACGATCACCTGGTGAACAACTTATTTCGAGCCGGTAACAGATCTGTTCTCGATTGTGCGCTCTTTAATCGTTTCTTATTAGTAATAAAATACCGAAAAAAAGCAATATCATGTTTATCTGACAAGTATCGTTTCCGGTTTATCGATCGATTACCGTATCATACCGCTTTGATATTATTTTAGTCATACCTTGATTTTGAACGTTTATCGCTCACTTCAATTTCATTGCTTGCTCCAAAATATATTCGAGGTAATTTTAAACTCGTTTTAAACGGTAAACATAATTTACGATAAAAGTTTATTTATATTTTATGTGTAATAGAGAAAACTTTGATGAAAATGTGCAAAAAAATATCAGGACACATAATATAATATGTTAAAATATATCACATATAAAATTATAATTAAAATTGTGTCTTAAATATATTGACGGAAACATTAAAAAACAATTAAGCTTATAATACATTATGAAAGATAATGTAAGGTCGGCATAATAATATATCGCTAATAATTAACTAGCGATTATATTAACAGATACTACTCTTAATTTTTGTTTATTTTATGCATGTTTTAGAAATTATGTCTTTCTTATCATTAATATTTATTAATTAAATGTTGAAATAGAGTTGGATACAGTTTCTCGAATGTGAGAAATAATAACTAACAATAAGTCACACGAATTCAAGCAGTTTCGAAAGACATATTGAGCAATTTACGTAGCAGATATACGACGACGAAGGATAAGCTTAAATTGTCCTAAAGCGAATAAAATAGCTGACCCGCGAAGAAAATTGCGAAGCTTCTCTTTCCGTAGATGCCTAACACATCTGTACGCGAGGTAAGAATATACCATATATGTACTAGTTTATTTCCAGGATTTTTTTTCATATATTTTTTAGAATAAATTTGAACGCAAATACGTTAATTAACATATTATATAACACATCGATATTATACAATGTATACAATATATTATCTTGATATTCATTCTACGTATAAATTGTTTAAGTAAATAACAAATTATTAATTTTCTAAATATATATGTATTCAATTTTTTTCTTAATAATAAAAAGAAGATTATAGAAAATTAATAAGAAGATTACAGGATAATTTGAGAGAGAACTGACAGTTCATTTATATACTTATAAGGATCACATACACATCTATTTTTTTAATGTAAGGAAAGTATGTGCATGTCACAAGATTATATGTACAATTATATTTATATATATATATATATTCAGCTATTCTTAAAACAGAATTGATTTGGACTTGTTAATGCTTGTTCCAAAATCAATGCATTTACAATCCTAATGTATCAAATTGAGCATTAAAAAAAACAATTCGTTCCCATCTCTAAGGCACGTGGGTCTATCCTTAATCACATCGTATGTTTCGTCTTGTTCATCATATGATGTATAGTATTTAGCGTCGTCTATCATATCTCGAGTATTGTTACAACTCAAACAAATCCTGCAGGGGTTTGCATATACATTCTGCATGCTCCATTTTTTTTCTCAGAAAGCTTCTTCAGGGTAATGAAAAAATGGAATGTGAGAATTATAAGAAGAAAAAGATATCCATGTCATGATAAGATGATAAAATCGTATAACACGACAGAGAAAAGAGACTGATGTTTATTAAAATAGAGATTTTTGTCTTATTTTTTTTTTTTTGAGAATAATTACATGTCTTGCTAAAAATAAAATCCCCTAATTATAGTAATAAAATAATTTTTTCGGCGAATAATTTTTTATTAATATCTACAAAAATTTTCGTTTTATAAATGTGTTTATATACTGGCGGCGACATTTTTTTCACACAGAATAATTCTATCGCGATGTTTTACAAATTCTACGCACACCGTAGAGTCCCCTTACTCCAAATCCCCCTTAATCTTTTGCGTGAGTCTAGCATTCGTACCGCTTCAGCTGTCGAAACGCACACGTGACATGCATCGTGAAATTGTGTATATATACATATATACAACTTTGTCTACCGGCAAAGTTCCCCTTCCGTTTCTCAACCGTGTGTGTATATGAGTATTCATAAAGAAACATACGAAAAAGCGCTTTGTCCAAACGTAGAGGCATTATCTAGGACCCTTCCTCCAATACCGGTTCTTAAATGACTGCTGGTTTGAACCAGACATCCCGACAGCGTTCCACGAAATCTATCGTACCGCGTTTCACACGTAAATTTTATTTAAAAATCCCACATTGTATGTCTTTCCAATTTATTAAAATTTTAAAAAATTATAAAATACAATATAATATTTAAATTCTAATCGTCATGTCTTTTCATACAGATTTTTATTTATTTTTATTCGTTAATTAATTATAATATTAATTTATTGTTAAATTTTTCATTTTCTAACTTCTTCGCGTAATTTTATATGAAAAAATTTTAAATTCGCATTGCTTGGAAAGGGGCAACGAGAGGGTATTACATAATAAATAAGAACCACACACGTGTGATTTTATCAGACACAAGATATCTCGGTTGAAGTTTCGGTGCGTGCTGACTAAGCTTGCGACAAAACGACCATATCATGGTACCCATGAAAGTCCCGCCAATGTTGCATCATTGCTTTATATCGATCCTAAACCGACCTCCGTGTTTGCTGGTCGCGCGTTGGTCTAGAACGAACTGTACTTAACGGCACCTGCGGCAAGAGCAAAGATACCGATGCCAAATCGATTGCCTTTCTTGATAGATTGAACGATGACATAACGACATCGCGATTTGAGAATGATGAATTGCCTCGTTGCCCATTAATCCACCACCTTTTACATCAATATTATGCAATATTATATAAAAGATCTAAAATAGTCCAATCATCCCGGAAAAATTTTTTTATTTATAATTATATACATATAAATATTGTATAAATGTATTATATAAATTATAAGGGTTCATATATAATCATGTCAAATTATATATGAAACATATTTATATATATATGAAGAAATACTTATTTATTATATATATATATATAATTTTATATTGTTATTATATAAAAAATATTTTTCTGGGATAAATGTATATGTATCGATTGTCGCAAAAAATTCGTCTTAAAAATATTTAAATAAAATAACATAAAATACAGATTGATTTTAATTTTTGATTCTAATCAAATTAGAATTAATTTATTTTTTGGTCATTTTTATTTTTCAGGCTTTTGTGTAAAATTTCTATGAAAAATGATTATAAATATTGTAAATTTTCAGGAGTATTTTTAGATTGCCTTTAAAAAACTAGTTATTATTCTGGAAGGATTTATAAATAAAATTTTTCTATATTATTAAAAGCGAGATATAATTGATATGCTTCTTCGATGTGGGATTTATTTTTATAGTTATTAATAAAGAGAGAAATTATTGAAAATATTTGTGTGTATGTGAAATGTGGTTTTAGAATTGCACAATATTATGTACTTGTAACTCTAAAGTTAGAGTAAACAAGAGGTTTCTCGTTATGATAAAATTGAGGATTGAATTATCTTGCTATTAATAAATTAATATCTGCATAAATTATGCGTGAAAATTAAACTAATTTGATTTTCGCCATATTATGACGAAAATATTGTATCAAATATTACCTTTACCTCTTATTAAATCTATCTCTATATGCAGCTGTTAAATATCATTAAAAAATTATAACTGTACAAATAGAAAAAAATTATTTTGGGCAACGTTTACATAAGATCGCGATAAGATTTCGCAAGATTCAAAGACGATTGAGCTGTATTCGTCAAGGAAAATTACGGGCCTAAAGTGCAAGAGAGCAGATCTCTTTGCTCGATTTAATAAGCGATATTAAATGCGCGACGGACTTCCCGTTCGCAATTTCGCATATCGCTCTCGCTTCTCGAGTACCATCGAATCTCGTGTACATACTACGTACTCGAGTACGACGTTTAAGCGAAAGGGCCAGTTTTATACAGCAGCAGCGGCAGTGGCCGCGACGAGAAAATCAATAAGCCACGTGGGTCGCCGACCGGGTTTTCCGAATCTAATTTTCAACCCTGTGATAATGCCGCAAGATAACCGCACCGAATCGACCAAATAGAAGAGAACGCCTATTATTATTCGCGCTTTATGTCGACAAAGAACTCGTGTGATGTCACATGCGGATACATATTGCAAAAAGAATCGAGTACGTACGTGATAAAAAACAAATTATTGAGACATTTTTTGCGAATGACGAAGATTCGAGTGTTTGCGAGATCCTCCTTAAAGAGGATCGTTGTTAAATGCTAATTTGTCGCTTTTATCGTTTCTCAACTGACAATTGACAATACTTATTTTATGCCCTCTTTAAAAATTTGAATAATTTACTTTCTGAATGTTTTTGTTTTTTTTAAAATGCATGTTTTCGTGAATTTAAAATTTATTTCCCCATTTGCACTCTAAATTACAAAATTATTATTAAAATTAAAACTCAGTAAAAATAAATATCTTTAATTTTTTGAATTAAGAATTATAAGTTTAATTATAAGTTTATAGAGAAAGAAAAATAATTAATAGAATTAAATTGTGTTCGAATTTAGAGCTAAAAAAATTTTGTAATTTTTAATAAAAAAATAATTATGGAATTAGGTTAATGAACGCGCTTCTACCTTCTATCTAAGACACGGTAAATATTTGATACTGCTACTGCGAAGTTTACTATTTATAATATATGATCGATATAACGTTGTTAACACGTGTTTCATCCAAGCATCCTGGAATCGGCTTGCAAAAATTAACGAAAATTAAGTATTCGCGATCTTTCAAAGTATAGGTCTATTTTATCAAAAATTTAGATATAGACGTTTAATGTTATTATTTTAAATTATATCTAAATGACACTCCATTTAATCAGCATAAAACTGCGAGTTATATAATTTAATTTTCTAATTATTTTCATTAATAATTATATATTCTTTCTGATATAATGTGTGTGTTCTCGAAACAAGCCTTAAAAAAGAACGATATTTATCAAAAAAATTAACTCACACGACTTTAATAAATTAAAATATATTTTAAAAAAAAAAAGATTTTCTGGATTAAAAAATATCTCGTCGTCGTAAGAAGTTACCGGCTAACTTAATAACAAAGTTGCAAGGTACTGACGCAAATTGCATTCGCGGCTTTCGTGTTTCACAAATATATACGTTGTCTACACGCCTTTATCACCTCGCCTGATGCAACACAGCAGGATTCACCCCTTAACCTTCCCCGTTCTAACCCGCCCTTGCGAAACGCACCCTCCGAGGGCGGCCATACTGCATATGGAGCACGGAACCGTCGACTCCGTCATACATTTTTCGTGATTCCACCGAGCGAATATCACGAACATTCCAATCGCGTATCCACTCCATCCCGCGTCCTAACGTTTTCTCACGGTGGCGAGGAATTTCGCGAGACTTTTCATTCAACATTCGAGGGTTGCGAAACAGGCGGCGCGCGATATGGCTCCGGAGTTCGTCGCGGTGTCACTTATATATCTCACCTGTTTCGCGGCTTTCCGTGTGGCGGGTTCTCGCAGCAAGATCGCAAGATGTAGAATTATGAACGAAATCGGGGAAAAAATTCGCGCGCGCGTTCACTACACACTCGGAGGATCGATCTCAGACACCGACCATGGCGCGAATTCCTCTTCCGGAGTCACTGTTTCTCCCCGTCTATTTTTTTCCCTCCGGTCTTGGATGAAACTCTAGCACAACCGCGAATATGTCGCTTCTCGTTTTATGATTTGAACAGCGATCTCGCACGAAAAGTATAAGCGCGAAACCGCGAGCCTGAGCGGAAGTGCGCGCGGCGCGATAGTCGGACGCTGAATGACTGCCGCTCTTCGTTTGCTCCGATCCGTAGTCTCGCGCTCGCGAATATACGGGTGTGTGATTATATATGTGTATGTGTGTGTGCGTGAGCGTGAGGGAAATCCAGACGGTGCCACCCCCGGACCGACGTATCGAGCGGCCTATCGGCCGCCCCTGAAGCGTCATTCTCCCCTTTAGAAGTATATAACTTAAATGAGTATATAAATGGAAGAAGGGGTAAATTAAATGTAGAATAAAGAAAAAAATGTTTAAGATATGTTTCATTAAGCTAATCGAAAAAATCGAAATTAATCGGAAGAGATCTTGATATTTTTTAAAAAAGTCGCATATCTTATATAAACTTAATTAAAAAAATAAACCAAGTTATTTTTGCTTACTATATTTGATGACAACGGCATATTTTTCCTACAACTCGTATATTTTCGTCTTAAATAAGGCTAAACTGATAATAGCATTTCATAATTTGCTCTAGTTTCGTAAAAACTAGAACGATAAGAGTCATTAATCATCTTAATATTCTTAGAACTTTTACGTATTTATATATTTCAAGAGAAAAAAGATTTTAATGATATGAATGATTGATAATATGCTTATAAAATGTTTTTAACTTCTGTACATTTGATTTACTCTCTTTGCAATCGGATTGTTTACAGAAGTTAGTCTGTATTTCATTAAAATGCAAAGTTGCAGTTGTGTATCACATCTTTGTTATGTGCAAATACATTGTACATGCGAGATCGGTACATATGTTGTTGCTCGATTATGGAGTTTGATAACGATCAGTTGATATGATTATGATCCCTTGACAAGAATCAACATATACCTCGAAAACAAGATAATAATGTACGGTAACAAGTGATTTCTTTCACAATTCGATTTAATTTGATCTGCTGTAAGATAACTTCGCGCGTTAGAGGGGTAAAATTTATTTATACCATTTTCTCACACATTGAGATTTTTCCGAAGATTCTACGATTATCTATTTAATTTTATTTATTTTTTAGATAAAAAATTATAATATTTATTAAATTATATATATTTACTATGTTGTATATATATTTTTTTGGTTCTCGATAAAAATATATATGCTCTAATAATAATATATAATTATAAAAATTAACACTTTAATTTATTCCTAGAGGAAGTATTTATGTAATTATTAACATAAACTTTTCGAAAATAAAAATGAAATAAATCTTTGCACAAAATAAATAAGGATACCCACGTTTGTTCATGTTTCTCGTTTATTCAATTTTTTAAGTGTCGAATTATGAATTAACTTGACATGCGCCTGTGAAAATTAACGTTAACACGATTTATTCAGTGCGAAGCGAGAGCGACCTAACGAATAGTCGACGTGGGTTCCTTTCTAGTTTAACGGTCCCTTCATAGTTCATTAACTCTATCATTCATTAAACTTCCGTGTTTGGTTTCTTTAGAGATAAAGCGTTGTGACGTAAATTCAAATTTTGCGAGATAATAATAATTTACAAGCGAACATTTATATTTCGCTGACGCTATGTTGTCCTTTCATTATTCGTTCAAAACTATACATTAACACAATTTACGAGTAACGAGATTGGAAAGTTTCTCGAACGAAAAATCCAAGATTGACATTGTTACGAATAAACGATACGTATCTTTTTCTTGCTGGAAATGTGATTCTTCGATTTCTTTCCCCTTTTCTCGGTTCTCATTAAAACTTATTGCGTTTCGATGATGCAATATATATTGTTGTGTTGTTTTTTCTGATCGCATAGAGTGTTAAATTTCGACACATCCTTGCAGAGGGGCATCACATTTCCTATTATTCATAAATCCACATTCCATAATTTGCAATCTTGTGATGTAATATAAGAAATGAAAATACATATTTATGAGAAACACGTAAATATAAATATAAATATATATATGCGTGTATTTTCATTTTATATATTAATTGCAATTCTAATATATATGTATATACGGATATAATATATATATATATATATATATATATATATATATATTCGTATATATAAATATTTCTTTTAGAATTACATTTTTTTTATTTGGGTATAATAAAATATGTTACTATATATAATTATGAGGTAATAAAGAGAAGACGAATTAAAAATAAGCTGTATCAATTTTATTTGATTTTTCTTGAGATATACTAGCAATTTTGTTTTTATTTCAGCAGTAAATGTGCTACTTTGTATTATTCTCTGCATAAAATAGTTTTATAATATTATTAAACATGCGAGTCATCAATTCTGAGCTTTACGCAACATTTATGTTCTTCGTTCTCGTGGCGACGATAAATCGCGTCTAAAAGATTAAATTATTATTATTGCACATATTAAAGATATTTTATAGCTGTTGGGGTGTCACGATTAACATAACAATAAAAAATTAAAAGATCAACTCCACTCGTGCACAGATAATCACTTTATCTTCTTAGGAAGCAATCCTTCTTCGTCCCGATGACCATAAATAAATTTCTTATCTTTTAAAATATTCTGCTTTTATTTGCTGATTAAGTAAACTGTCATCGAATCGCCGATCGATTCGTTGATGCGAGTGATTTAAAGAACAAGTCTCGCGCGAAAAAATCGAGAAATGTCACATAGATCAAACAATTAAAAGACTCGGTATATCGCGTGACGATTGAATGGTAATCGTGAGTATATATTTATCATATCTCTCATGTCACGAAATAAATTATTCGTAGGTTGCACAATCTCGTTGCATCAATTACTTTTAGTGATACTCTTGCGTTAGTAAAGCGAGACTTTACAAGCGATCAAATAATAAGATATTTATTAATCTACATTTTTCAGGATATCTTATTGCATTTTATTCATGCGATATTGTTAATTTTGCTTTCAAATATTATATATAAATATTTTATAAATATATTCCGAAGATAAGACAAAGAAAAAAAAGGGAGCTATTAATATGTACCTATCCTATTATATAACATGAAAAGATCATAATCAGCATTTTTCGAAATATATATCTTTATATGTCTTTTTGTTGCGTTTTTAACAAATTTATAATCAATAATTACATAAGTTGTGTACGTATGAGACAAATAAGCAAATTGATTGAAAATTTTTGATATAGAAAAATCGATTATTGTTGAAAAGTCTATTATTAATTATATTTATAATAAATAAGAAAATGAAAAGAAATATATTTTATTACATACTGCAATGGCTCTAATAGTTGCTTAAATGTAAAAATTCGTATATATATGAAATTAATTCCCAAAATTGTCAAGAGTTAGACAAAACAAGAGGAAATGGAAAGTAATTATTTATAGCCGTTAAAATACTTTTGCGATATTAAAACAATTTAATATTTACGTCGTTACATGAAATGAATAACTGATTCATCTGCAACTTGTTTGTGTGTGAGATGATTATAAAAATTAAATTAAAATCAAAATTTATGCATGTTATAACTATTATAAATTAATATAGTAATTTTTCTCATACTAATTCTAATTTTTCTTGCTAGCTAATTTTATTTTTTGCTTCTTAATTTTATATTTTATTATATGTTAAATTAAAAAAATAAAGATATAAGCAAACGTGATTTGATTTTTTTTATAAATTATGTTACAGCAATTGAATGAATTATACTTTGCAGAAAAATAAATCGAATGAGTTAGATGACGAAATATTATTTAAAAATTCATCAGATACGGAACGAGAGAGTACAAGATAAAATCGATATTAATAATAATAATGTGTTTGCGCCGTAACAGTAATCCTTAAGCTCGTACATGTTTAGTCTCTAACATTATTATATCGTTTTTATAGACATTGGAATGGATCATTGAATATGGAAATGTACACGATGACATTAACGATGAAAGAAAAGAAATGTGATAATAAGCATTCTCACGATGCTTTACCATCGTTTCGATCAGAAACGTATTATTACTATGTAAAGTGGTACATAGTCTGAATTAATTGCATATCAAATATTGCCTTTCAAAACGATAATAATACCTATCTATATTTTAGCGAGGACATAATAGTCAATTGTATAAGCTATTTACGAGTTATTCGATTTTTAAAAGAAACACATACCAAACATTTTACAAAAGGACGTAAATATTCTCACTATCATAGTTCAAATTTTTCGGAGCATTCTGTATGCGAGAGCAGAATTTAGAGTAATCCCTTCCTGAATTAAAGACTCCTGTTGCGTAGGATGTCCTTCAATGACGTCAGAGAATCAATAGCGAAAGGCGGAGGCAAAATACACTTGCGTCATCGTAATGACATAGTCATCTTCTTCTCTCTCTCTATCTCTTTCTCTCTCTTTTCAGAGAAATGTAAATGACGGGGAAATTCACATTATCGGGTCGCGATGAAAATTATTTCTCTAACAATAAGAAGCATTTCTTTATCTTAAATAATTTATTTATTTATTATATATTTTGCTAAATTAATAATTCTAATAATAATAATAATAATATTTATAAATCTTTATAAATATACTATACATAGAATTTCAAAAAAATAACGCTTTTTTGGGATTATAACTTGTTAACATTCTTTTCTCTTTTTATCTCTTTACAAATTTTGTAAAAAATCTAATTGAAATATTTTCGTACTGTCATACTGTATATTTAAACAGCGATAAATCTTTGCGATTACTCGTCGATTGCTATAATAATGAAATAAATAAACGAAGGCGAATTTACTCACTATCTGGCGAGTTCCAACTGGATATAACAGGAAATAAGAAGAAATTTAGTCGATTTCATATATACATTTTAGTGACGAACGATAACACGCACAATTGTGCAATTCAAGGGGTAAATAACCGCAAGAGAAGTCAGCTGAATAAATCTAGACGTATAAGAAACGTTACGAATGAATTATTAATTTTCGAATTGATTCCGATTGCGCACAATCGAGAGAAAATATCCGTCATTTAAATGACAATTAATTAAATGAGAATATTGAGACTAAAACCGCTAATTTTTTGACAGTTTTCAACATGAGTAATATACTCGAGGAACGCGAGTAAATTACGCTTTCTTTATGACATGGCAATTTTTCAATTTACGGTAAAGGTTGAATTCCCTCAATAAAATAAGGCCAGCAATGTAATTATGTCGTTGTCATTAAATTACTGACGCGACACACAAGATTACACAAAATATGAATAAAGAGATAAAGAGATTTTGCACATGCAAAAATGATCGAAATTTTTATATTAAAAAGGTTATATATTTTTACTGAGAGTATCTTTAAAAATAAAATTTTAATTTCCTTTAAAAAAAAAATATATATATATATATATTTAATTTAAAAGTTAATATTTAATTCTATAGATAAAAAATTTTTGTTTAAAAATCATATCTCTTAATTTTGATATTTTATGTATATTTAATATTTATCAAATGTTAAATTTGTATGCCTACAGTTGATTTTAAAATTTATATGAACAAAATACAATTATTCATTCAATTATTCTATATTTTATTTCAATTTTTATTAACTCGATAGTTTTCCGTACTTAATAAATTATGAGATAATTTTAAGAAGCAGTAAACTTTTACTTATGAAATTATCTGTTCTAACTTCTAGAAGGAAACCTCTCGCACGACTGTTGGCGAAAACTTAATGCTTCGTTCCCGCGTATTTTATCGTCTCTTTCGCAGAAAAGTCAAAAAATTCAATTATCGGTTTCACTTTCATCGCGTGTGATAACTTTATTTTTTACAAGCCGTTCAGCGTGATTGCGATAAATAGATTAATGTAACAAGAGATAAATTATATCTTCTAATTATGTATATATTTCCGTATTCGCATCTTGGCTATTGTTAATTAAGAAATAAAATAATTGAAAAAATGATCAGTGCTCAAATTTAAAATATCTCAAATTTGACTGAGCAGTCTCTTTTAGAATCATTTGTATTTGGTTTTAGTTATTTTCGTATCGTTTTTAATTGCACTGTTTAAAAATTACAATCGTTTAAAAAAATTGTCAAAAGTGATGTTCGTCAATATATTTTAAAGATTTTTAAAATCTGCTTTTTCCATCAATATATAAATTTCGATTGCGATTGCTACAAACGAGTCTAAATCTCCTGAAAAAAGTAGATTTGAAAGATCTTTAAAATTGACATATTTCACAATTGACCATTTTTTTAGACAAGTGCAATTTATAAACTACAAATGAAACGAAAATCACTAAAAACGATTCTGAAATAAACTGCGCAAAGTGGGGTGCTGGTCACTTTAAACATTTTTTTTTTTTAAATTGATATGTAACTAACAAACGAAACGAACAAACTAAATGAGACACCTACTTCACACACAACTTACACACATGTTAATTAAAATATAATTTTTTAAAGGTAGAAATGGTTATAAGTATAAACTCGTTTTGATTTTCTTTTGGAATTAGAAACATCTCGAAAATATTGAAGACATTTTGGTTTGAGAAAACGGAGAAACTCCAATAGTTTTAGAATTGTAATCGATTAAAAATTGAAGTCTTTTTACAAAAAAAGTATAAAAAATATAAATATACATATATTTATAAATATTAAGTTTGAATAACTTTTAACATAATTTAAATAATTTTATTTGAACTTTAATTTTATTTTAACTTTTAACATAACTTAACCTTCATAGATATTTAAGGAAAATCTTTCAATGCCTGAAAAGCGACTGCCACGTGCTATATCGAGTTTATTTTGACACGAAATCCAGTCACTATACTTATATTTCTATCGCTTCATCAAAATAAATAATGAAATAAATAATTCGACTTACATTTCGAAGATTCTTCTCCGATCTCGGTGTACTCCGAATTCCTCGCCGGTACCATCCATTTTTCCTGTAGGAGACCAACCTCTGCGTCCGGGAACTATTCTCAGAAAAACTTTGCATACTTGTGCTCGCACACAAACACTTTGCACTCGCGTTATTTTTCATTCGCGACGAACGGCGACCCCCGGGTTTTAAATATCACATTTTCGACGACTATTTATTGTCAAGCGCGTATTTCGGAGGCGTCACGAAAGTCACTTCGTTCGGAGAAAGATTGTCCAGGTTCGCTTGACACGATTCCGAGAATCCCGGCGCTTAGTGAAACAATAAGAAAAGTGAGAGAGAAAGAGAGAGAAGAAAAAGAGAAAGAGAAATAAAACAATATGACGGCGTTACCTTGTCGTGGTCGATCTACGATTTTTATACGAAGATTACGAGTTTAATTCGTCGCGAAGCGACACTTCGATACAATGACGCGAAAGTACTACCGGAAACACGCAATCGCCCGCTTAGTATACGATCGACAACGCCGAAAAACCCGCAAAATTTTCGCGTCGAAAGCGCCCGGTCACACTCGCGATCCGCCTCCGTAAACTTGTGTGAACGAAGTGTCGGCGTAAGTCTCGAGTCGCAGCCAACTTCACGTGATTCTTTCGGAGAAACAAACGTTGAGATGATTCCAAATTCGCGGCAAACGAGATCAATCTCGCGCGTACGATCGCGATCACGATGTCGGTGCACGCGACGCGATCGCATTTGTACAATAATTAACGGCACTAATTAATAATATTAATATTCACAATTCATACTCGTACTTTCATGAACTGGACAATAATAAGCGTACGACCGTTGACCACGAACAATACGAAAGTCCACTAGAGGGCAGCATCTATCGATCTAGATTGTGTTCGGAATATACTCACCTAGAGTGAAACGTCTGATTGACCAATCAGGACAAAGATCCTCGGTCTCCGATTGGTCGGTCGAATTCATCGAATTTCTACAATAAGTTGCAAATATCTAGTTGCCAGCTGACAATTGCCGATTGATCAGAGCAAAGCAACTTGTCAGCTGATCGGTTAATTCGCAACTATCAACTAGCAACGAGAATATTTGTAGCCTAAGTAGAATGGCCCTTACGTATGTAATTTTAATTTCCAAATTTCTATTATGTACATAATTTTATTTTGCCGAATTTGTTGTGTATATTATTTTAATGCCTGAATTTTTGTTATGTACTAAACGACACAAGCGTGCGCCGCCATTGGATATTATTTTTATTTTTTATTTCACAACTGTCAAACTGTTAACGTTCACGATGACAATTCTTATAATAATAATATTGAAAGATTGTTTGCTGTAAATATTGATTTGCAGCGACATCTGTACGCTGTATTTCAAAGTTACTATCACGTGGTGCCAGTCTAGATATTTATACACAGTGACTATTCGATATCTGTCAAGTGTTGTCAGAGAGAGTTGTCACATACGTCATTAATATAAGGTTAAAGGTGACAGATTATGCATACAATAAATTAAGATAAGCAATAAGAGTATTTTACTAAAGAATTTAATATAAAAAGAGAAATAGAGCAAATTATTTTTATTATTTAATCAAAGACTGTTTATTTGCAATTCCGATGATACATCGTTCTTTTATGCAAAATTTATATAAACAAATGTTTAGTCCGTTGAGCACTTTTTATTATTGTTTTATATGTTAAAATAATAGCAGCATACTAATTATAATTACTATACTTTGCAACAAAATTTTTAATATTTCAATATTAAATTGAACTTATGATTTGTGAATAAAAAAATCCATTATTTCGAATCATTATAAATAATGTAATATATTTAATTACACATTTCACAAATAATATATCTCTACAGAAAATAATTTTTACCTCTATGTAAAATTTATTTCCCATAATTAACACGGATATTTAAATTAGAAATATAACTTAAATTTTATTTTCTTATAATTATATTTAACTATTCACTTTTTCTCCGCACTATCTTTTTTCGGGAGCATACTTTCTAGTTCGCCCGACTCATCCATCTCTTTCACTATGTCCAATCCACCGATTAGTTCTCCATTCAGATACAATTGTGGATACGTTGGCCAGTTACTAAATTTTTTAAGTCCTTCCCTAACATCGTTGTCTTGTAATATATCAAATGTCTTATAATCTGTATTGTAATTGTCTAGGAGGGAAACAATTGTTCTGGAGAAACCACATCGTGGATTCGCGGGATTTCCTTTCATGAAGAGCATGCAAGATTCTTGATTTATCAGTTTCTTCAGTCTTTCCTCGAGGGATTCCTTTGTCTTGGCCACATCCACTAATAGAGCGTCTTTGTTATTCAAATGATGTTTGATTTTCTCAGTCAACGCAGGGGCGTTAGCACCATCCACTCTATCTACAATGTTGCTGCTCTTCAGTAAAAGAACGGTAGGTACGACAGCTACTCCAGACTTTAGAGACACCTCGGGCACATTCTCTGCTTCGATTTTACCAAATTTAACATCCTTGTACTGCTCCAGCTTAGTCATCTCGTTGAGCACGTCATTCACGTGGGAACATTGCTGTGCCCATGGTGCGAAAAAGTGAACGACAGTAAGTTCCTTGGACCTTAAAGAACAAAAATAGATATCGTAAAAATTCATGGAAGATCAGAGGGCATCTCTCTCACATACCAATAAATTTATTAGCACACAATAGGAAACTGAACTATTTATTCATCTACTTTATATTAATTTCATATATTGATATTCTTATCAAAAGAAAAGTCAGTTCCTAAACAGAAAAATATGCTAATTTTGAACTTTGACAAAGATAAATACATGAAGTAAAACAAAAATTACAATATATATTGTGATTTATATCATTAAAAAAAAAACTATTCTGAGGATAAATTTTTCTTTTATAAAACCGTAAGGATATATGAATATCTAGCAGTTAGAGCTCTTTGAACGATTAAAAATTTTGAAAAATGCGTGAAATGTAATAAAATTATATTAGAGGCAACTTTTTTTTTTTTTTTTAATTTAATGTGCCTTCAACCAATTTTATTAGAGGCAACGTGCGAAAGGAGGTTATAAAACTTTTGCAGTATTTCCGATTACTCACTTGACGAAGTCGTCGAATTCTTGCAGCGTGGTCAACTCGGTGACAGCCATCGCGTCACCCTTCCTCGTGGATCGTTTCTCGTGCGATATTAAACCGGAAAACGATATTCGCAGACGAGACTGTCGTCGCACGGACAGCGAATTCTGGCGTCTACGCGACCTCCGGCTTTGCACTCATGGCTGCAGAATTTTTCCATTGCTTTTCGGCGCAGGCGCAGTCGCAGTCATCGAAATCTCGCGGAGGGAAATTCCGAATGAATATGAGTCCCGAGATGTGAAGGAATTCAATGGAGATTAGAGGGAAAATGTTTGCCGCAGGCTCTCCAGATATTTGAGAGGAATTACATATTCATCGTCTGTAAGAAATTCACTTATGCTAGATACGGAATCTTACTTAAAATTATGGATCTCACATAGTTATATAGGTTAAGATTTGCTCGACTAAAAATTTTAGAAGGAAATGAATATACAATTTATAACCTTTTTTCGCATGTTGTCGCTAAAATCATTTCATTTTATTTCATTTTTTCCAAGATTTTATTTATTAGAATAAGAACTAATTGCTAGATATATATTTTTTTTATATAGACTTTTTTTGGAGTATATATCAATATATATGCATTTTATCTGTTAATCGTAATTTTATTTTTATAAGATCATATAATCTTAACTTTTAATATATATATATATATATATATATATATATATATATATATATATAATGCTAATATACTATACGAAGGTCATCGCTTCATGGTTATTTGATAACAATTAAGAGAAATTCACATTTTTGCTAGCGATAATAATAAGAATTATAACCTGTTTTAAAAAAAATTTTTTCTTTATTTTCAGTAGTTAAAAAAATACATTCTGTAAAATAGAACATTTATTTTGCTCCAAAATAAACTAACATTTATTCATTTATTTTATATTAATTTCAGTATCATAATTGATATTCTTATCAAAAGAAAAATCGACTCCAAATTGACGAAATTTGTTGGAATTGAGGTCGCAATTCGTGAGATATCCTGGATATTGAAGGTAAAAATCAAGCAGACATTTCTTTATATTTTGCAATCTTGATATTTTTATCAAAAGAAAAATTAAGGCCACAATTTATGGAATATTCTGTATATTGAAGGTATAGAAATCATGCAAACAGACATTTCTTTATATTCTGCATAAAATTTGCAATCTCGACATTCTTATCAAAAGACAATAAATTAAAGTCGCAATTCGTGGAGTATTCTCTATATACGTCGAAGACAAAAATAAAGCAAATGTTTCTTTATATTTTGCATAAAATTTGCAATACTGACTCTGGATCATCATTTTTACAGGAATGTGAAACGCGGGCTTCTCCTATCTGATCTGGAAACTGAGACCTGGCGCGCAGGTACGCCATGAGAAAGTGACCAATCGCACGAACGACCATTAACTCTCGCGAGGGTGGTGGCTGCCAGCCAAGAGGATGGGGGAATCGTCTGACAGACGGCTGCACGGCCGCAAAAACAGCCGATACAGATGCCGCGAGGCAGCGAGCGCGCACGTGTGATGGTTTTTTTCCCCTTTTTTTTTCTCTGCAATGTCCAAGAAGCCGTCGCGGAGCGAGGCCCTCGACGACATCTCCGTCTGGGACACGGAAGAGGTGCTGTGCCTGCTGCGCAAGGTGAGCCAAAAGTTCTTCGACGACTGACGTCGTCGTGAATCATATGAATGACAGTCACGTCGCAACTTATACACCTTTCATACCTTGTTATTGTACTTTAAAAAGGTATAAACATAGTAGTATCCACGTACAAGATGAGGAATATGAGTAAGAAGTATGGGAAAAAAATGTGGAAAAATGTAAAAGAAAGATGTATAGAGTGTGGAACGTGAAAACAGGGAGACAGCTTCGTGGCGACCACCGACTGTCAAAGGCGCGACGTGGTGAATCGCGGGGAATGCCTGGGGAACACCTAGACACGGCACGAAAGACGTAAGACGCACGTGCGTGTGTTAGCGGTAAATTACACGAGGTGCGTGTATTTATAGCGCGGTGTTCTCTATAGCCAGGAGAATGTCATTGGCCGAAAAAGCGCGGATCCAGGATTTCTACTCGGAGAGAATTTTTCGTTATATTTTATCGCAAAATTTATTACAAAGAACTCCGCACCAAATTACATAGGATTTCGATAGAATTGACTTTTTTTCCATATATTGTAGTTTATGACTCGTTGAACAAAAGATGTAACAGCTTCAAGCTAAATATTAGTTAAACAACTCGCAAAGTCCTCAATTTTCACGTTTGACTGGCTGTAAATCAGAAACCATCTGTTATTTAGCTTTAAGCTTATTACCTTATTTGTTCAGTAAGTCATAAGTTACAACATGTGAGAAAAAAAATTAGCTGATTTTACTGGGATTCAATTTCATCTGAGATTTTAAGATTAAAGATTCAAAAATCTCGTATACCAATCATATGAAATTAAATTTTAAAGGTTCTTTATCATATTTGGTAATAAGCTGAAAATTTCTGTGCTATATGTTAAAATTATTAGGAGCGATTAAGCTGGATTGAAAATATATTGCATTAAAAAAAAAATATATATATATATAATATTATATATGTTTATCATTTTTTGGCATCTATTTTATTTAAAACAGTTAAAGAATCATAAGTTTTTAGTATAGTTTCTAATATATTTAAAATTATTGAAATTTCTATATATTTTAGTAAAATTAATCGAACATATTTTATATTTTATTGATAGACATTAATATTTTTATTGTGGTAAATATATTTAATCACAGAGGAACTCTTAAAAAATTCTTCCAATACCATATTGTCCTACTAACAATAAGTAAGAGAAAATGCTCTCTATGTAGTGGAAAGAGAGCCTTTTTGGCGATTGAATTTTCAGCTTTTCTGTTTGTTCTTCTCACTCGCTTCTACATTTTCTTCTACATCAATAACTTTTTATCTATTCCCAAAGTAGAAACATGTCCACTCCATTTATTTGATGTACGAAAATGTATGCAGGAGAGAGTTGCGGTTAATAATTAATTTTTGAATGAAAAATTTAATGTTTATCTCGTGTTTAATGAGTTTTAAATTTTAACGAGGTATATTTTGAAATGCAGATAAAGGTATTTTGAAATTTCTCTTTTGCTATAAAATAATATACGATCACAAGACGGTCGTAATATTTAATATAAATATATAATTATAAAAATTATATAAAAAATTTCCTGATACATGAACGTATAAAAGTTTTTTTTACATATAACGAAAGCAATTTATTCTGTACTATTGAAAGTTAGAAATACTTATTTTCCAAGAACGCGGCCGGCGAAAGGGACGTTTTTTTTACATTTCTTCATGTACGCTCTGGATTCTACGTAACTTTCTCGAATTTCTCAACATCGCAATTAAGTGCCACTTATCGACATCATTTCTTAATTGTCATTTTATTTTCCCCATTAGTTTCCGAGAGAGTCACGAGAAAGATGTAACATTAACTGAAATCTGTCTAAAACAAACATACAACTAAAAGATTATTGTTTCGTTTATTTTATCTTATTAAGTCTTTTGGTTTATCTTCCTTTGTTACATCAATAATATATATATATATATATATATATTCGTGTTCAGACATTTTATGCTGATACATTATTATCACTAATAACTTAGTCGTTTCCTTTTTTTATCGGTTGTTACGGTCTCATTTGATACGTGAGAGATACCAGACTCTATATGCGTTTATGTTTATTCACTATCAGCCATATGCCTACACATCCTGTCAACTAAAAATATTTCCTCTTTACAGAACGGACTGGAGGAATGTTGCAACGCAGTGGTGAAACGGCAAATCGACGGCGATGAGTTGCTAGTGAGTGAATTATTATTATATGAAGACGTTGGAGCGAGCGATTTCCCGGTTACGTCTCATTTGGTGGCTCGCGATGCCTCACTGATGTTTCTGTCGATGACCCCTGAGTAGCTCTGAATGTATAGGGTGTCTTAAAAATGGAGCTGCGTCTTGCGATAGTAGAATTTCACGTTATTCGCGATGTAATCGGTTATATTTTAACATAGTTGTTAAAATAACTTAACTCTGCTATAAATAATACACGTAATTTTTTTATTATTGAGTATTAATCGTTTCACTCATTATTCAATTTTTTAACAAAGATATATTGATTTTGATTTATAATACAAGATTTCTAAATTTATTTATGTAAAGTATTCTTTTAACGCGATTGGAAGAAATATTTTTTATCGAGTTAAAAAATATACCGTTGACATAATGTTTCGAAATCGCTGATTCGATTGCAATAAGAGAGATACTCGTTGACACCAACAATAGTTATCTACCCACTTCCATTGATAACGCGCTGCCGGTTGCTTTTTTTCCGGCTGTAGCAGCAATATTTCGAGACGACCGACCGCGGCGCGTGCGCTCCTAAACCGTGCTTTAATTAATTGTAATTATTCCAGCACTTGACGGATGGGAAGCTGGCTCTCTGGAAGAGTGACCTCACGCGTCCGCTGATAGGGTGAGAGAACGAGGCAAATCCAGCTTTATTTCTGTCCGCATTATACTATATATGTATCTCTTCTGTTCTTCTCTTCGCGGAATCGTGTCCCATAGCATGTTCTTAACGGTATCTGATTATTCAGTACTTCAATAGCTCCTTGTGTTCGTATATGTATGTTAGAGTCGAGTAAATGAAAAGCATCACGTAATATAATAATTAACGGTTTTATGATTATAATTATATATTGTCTTGTCTTTTTAAAAATTTTACATTTAAAAATTTTTTTACATTTTTTAATCTGTCTGTATATTTCTCGAAATAAATTTCTGTTGAAAAAAATGCTGACACATGATGAGACGGTGAAGAATGTGTTACGTGGCTAATGATACGGACAAACTTCTGCGTTTTCTAGAAATATACCATTGTAAGAGTTCTCCATTCGCGAGAATATTCATCGTTTCACTACTTAATTACTTGATGACTGCATATCGTGCATAATTTTACCGCGTAGGTCGCGTTTGATCATTTCACTCTACGGCCGCCTTATGATTTAATCTTGCGTAGGATCGTATATTTCAAAATATTGCCTATTATAGTTTATTATTTTGTTATATTAACAGTTAATTTTTTATTATATAATATTAACATTTTAATTTTAAGATCTCTTGTTAATTATTAATCGAAAATAAATTTGTATGTTGCAGACAATTGTGGGCCTTTGTGCAAGAATTAAACAAGTGTCCGGAGAAATATTTACCGAATAAAATTACAGAAACGCAATTACAGAACGATGATCACTTAAGCGACAGCGGTTCCTGGGGCACCGATTTCGATGATGAGGCGACCGAAGAAAACAATTCCTTGGACGATACGCAAGAGATGGTAAAACCGAGTCTGATCAAGAACAAGCAAACTCCGTTTTTGCAGAACAATAGGATTCCAATTAGCAGAATACCAACGCGATCGTCGAAGAAAATGGCAAAACCAAAGGAGGAAGAGACTTACGCTAATTGCGAGTCTTCCTGCCAAGTTGAAGGGGAAAATATGTATGCGAACTTTCAGGAGACGAAGATATCACCGACGAGAAATATCTCGAGATTGCATAGCCAGCTAGAAAAAACTCTGGCCGAGAAACTGAAGGAGGAGTTGAAGCGTAGGAATCCCCAGCCGACACAGAAACCAGCGATTGGTCCGAAACCGGAGACAATACAGTCGCGAATAACTGGCAAAAGACCCCCGCAGAAATCTTTTCTACACAATGCGCCGACGACGCATCAACAAATTCCCAATGATCAAAGCAAAGCGCAAAGTTAGTTCATTAGATTAACGCGTCGCTTTTACTAATCCTTTCGACGTGCGATTCTTTGATCGATAGTAACACGATGTTAATAAATATTGCATTGTTCGAATTCCTTTGCGACGAAAGGATTAAACAAATAGCGATATCTAAGTAATATATGTATATTATGAATCATGTCTCTAGGAAGGATGACCGTGCCACCACCGCCGGAACCTAAGAAGAACAAGGATTATACGTCCGTGGAAATCAAGAAAGGGTCCGACAAGGAGTTACCGAAACCGCCGGCCACCATAAGAAATTTCGATCTCGTGGCGAATTTGCCGGCGCGAACGGAGGAAAGCGAGGACGAGTATGAGACGTTCGACGAGAACATCATCGAGCAAGTACAGAAGAGCGAGATCTCGCGGGTCGACAGCAAACAGTCGTTACACAGCGGTCGCCAGGGATCAGTCGAGAGTGTTTATAAGGCGCTCAGCGCCGCGAGTCATGAGGAAGAGGAGGAGGATTATGAGATTTATGAATCTATTACGGAAACGGTGAGTTTTTATCGATGAATGTACTTTTGGAATTGTAATTAATCATGAGAGAGACTCTGAGAATTATTTATGACATATTATTGCGTTAGCCAGAGGATAATGGTTACTTGAGTCCCATTCGAAGGACGAGCGCTGTTCAACAAGAACCGCCTCCCTTACCCGCCAAACCATCGCCGACTAAACCCTCGACTCTTCCTAGTAGAACCAAAGAGAAACACAAAGGTATATGTAATCTTTCATTATCGAAAATTATCAATAGTGGCTTATAATCTACCTCGCACGATTAAAAAATATAACAAATAGTGTAATATTAAGTATAAGAATATTATCTTGATTATTGGATATGATAATTGTGTTGTGTATTAGATTAAATTCTTGTAATTATCTCTCTAAATCTAAAATCGATTGGAAAACTTTATACACTCTGCCGAATGAAGGAAAGAACGAGAAACGATTAGACACAAACTATTTGCTCGGACGTGATTCGTCTAATTGCTATATCAAACGAAGCTGATAGGATATTTAAGCGAAACCAGACAGTAAGACGTTGCCAAACATGCGGTCCAATGAATGAAAAAAAAAGTGCAAGCTTACTCTGGGCTTGTGACAAGTGCAGAATCACTCGTAGGAACTTCTCACGAACCATGTGTTTGGCAAATGCTGCTTGTTTCGTTAGTTCTCATGCAACCTGATGCGCCTTGCTATTGCGTTATTGCGTGTAGTTGCGTACTGGCCGCCGTCATTGATGTCCGATTCTTATAAATTGTATAAATATCACTGTTCGCGATAGAATCGAACGCAGAACAATGTCCCGACATTGTAATTTTTCACGATGCTCGCAATATTTTTCATATGCGGAAATTGGGGCCAGATCTTTAACTTTCGATATATATAGATCGATATAATATCGATCGATATATTATAGATCGATGAAATAAATCGCCTAAGGGTTTCGACTAGGATGCGAAGAAATAGAGTTTATTTCCGGTAAAGTGTCGTAGCAACAGGGAAAGAAAAGGAATATCGTGCTCAAGATTGGAATAATCTCTCTAATTGGAATAACATTTGCAGAATTTTAAGAGAAGAAAGACAAAGAGCGAAGACGAATGATAAAGTGGAATATAAATTTTTACATAGGATACATTACTTCTAAGCGATTCAAGCGACGTGTCTGAAGATAAAGCGCACGTGTGTGACAAGGCACGATAACGATTACTGTTAAAAGGACGATAGAGAGCGAAAAGCGGGTAATGGAATGTGTTCCTGTTTTTATTTACGGCTGAGCAAACAGCTCTTAAGTGGTCTGGGCACACGTTTGATCGATGAGATTGCCGATATGATCGTGCGAATGAAGAGAGGTCTGTCCACATGTTGTTATTCGCAGCCACCTGAGCCGCCAGGTAGATATAAAACGCATTGTTCGGTGATATACTGCATTTGCTTTGATACGGTGGTATGTATTTATGCGATTATATGTGCACTCACAACGTGAATGTGCGCTAATAGAACATCTGTTCTTTTTTTGCTCGTCGAAGGTCGTCGAACTCCGATGAGAGACGGGAATAGATTTGGGGAATGAATCCATTGCGCTTTTTGCATACATCAATTTTCAATATCTTATAATTTATAATATGTTGCAATATATTTTATTTCGTATAAAGCTGCTATTTAAATATCTAAAACATTTACACACTAAAATATTGTATTAATGATTAATTAGCGTTGTTAAATTTTTTTTATAATATATGAGACAGAAATGTCAATTTTTTATATTAATTTATAGATATATATTATATCTAAATTCTCTGAAAACATGACATTTCGACAATGTTCAAAATAAAAATAATTATCAAAATAACTAGGATACTAAAAATTTCGCTTTTCTTTTGTAAAAGATATTTTTATCATATTTTCTGTGTTGCTTATAAGAGATCATTGACCCTTCTGATTTACGGAAGGTATTCTTAAATGCGCTATTTGGATTCATCTACGTCTCACGCCGAGAGACCAACGGATTGACCAAAGCTCTTCTTTTTTCGCGACGATTTAAAAGACGCGCCTCAGAGAGTTCAATCTCAGTTTCGTCAAAATTCTTGCAACGATCACGTCGCGTTCTTCATCATGTATTAGTGCGGCTCCAAAGACTCGCAGCTGTTTCAGTGAATCACGCGGAGAGGATAAGCGTTGATTTTATTATATAATATTATTTCATTTACGTTCGTTCGAGTCTTAGTAGCTGCAATATAATATTGTTATCGTACGAAATAGTTGGAAACAGTTTATAAATTATATTTATTATAGAATTAGATTAATTATAGAATGAAGGATAAAGAGAAATCAATGATACAGTTGTACTCTCGATAGTATTCGCGATCCTCCGAGAAATACGCGACGAATTCGATAATGGCAAATTTAATGAGTGATACGAAGCGAAATATGTCGCTCAATACGTCAGTACGTCGACAAGCGAGTCTCTCAGAATGTTTGACACAGGCGGCCCTTACGCAAGCTCGACTTAATTTAGCAAGTTAGTAACGCGATTTCGATCCATTCGTTTCAATGAAAATAAATTATCTCTCTGTATAATCGCTTAGAATTATATATTTTATATGCGAGTGTTTCTTTCTCTCATTTATATAAATTAATATTTTTTTATATTATAATATTGAATTATATTTCTTTTATATAATTAATTTGTATAAAAGATGTAATACTTTCCACATTGTATTTTCATTACATATAAAATGTCTCGAGCTATTTTTATTATAATGAATGTAAAAATTTATTGATATATAGCCGTTGAAAATATTTGTTGTATTAATTTATAACATTGTATTAATCTTGGTTTGCTTATATATTTACAGAACGATCACCAGATAAAAAATCAGCCACATTACCTCATGCTGGCAGTAGCACTTCACTGTCAACTGAAAGAGCCACGAGACCGCTACCACCGCCGCCTGACACACAATCTTTTGTCGATAAACCCTGGTACCATAATGTAACGAGGGAGCAAGCGGCTACACTCATCAAAGAACGTACGTATTAGACCATTTTGTTAAATAAAAATTATATTTAAAAATAAAATATATTATTAAAAAATTTTCCAAATTTTGATAGAAAATTATCGCAAATAAGAGAAATCGTTATAGTTACAGAATATTCTGAATTTATATAAAATTTTATATTTAGTTTTATATTTAGTAAATATGAGTTTAGACATATTATGTTTCATAAGAATAGAAATATCTCTTGTTAAAATATGTATATCTTATGCTTCTTTACTTATGGAAAGATAATATAAAATACAAATATAATAATATTTGATAATATAAAATACAAATATAGTATTTGATATGAAGCAACTGTTTAATAGATATGTAACACTATGTTTTCAGAAGGTACTTACAGTAATCCGCAAGATGGATATTTTTTAATGAGACCATCGACAACGAATATCGGCAATCCCTTAGCTTTGGTCCTTTGGTATAGGGACAGAGTTTACAATGTTCCAGTTAGAAAGAGAAACGACAACAGGTACACATTTTGATTTTTATCGAACTTAATAACTTTGTTAAAATATTTTTTGTCTAAGTTCCACATTATGTTTGAGAAAAATATATTAATTTAATTTCCTTTCCTCTCTTTAACAATTGGATATCAATTTGTATGGAATCATCGTTTTTTTATAGGATTTTTTATAGGAAAATTAATACTTCCACTTATTTTTTTATTTTGTTAACAAAAGAAAAATATGAAAAAATAACTCGTATACAAAAATATATTTTATTAACTCGTTGTTAACAAAGTTCGGTATAAAAAATATTTGCTAACTTATTTAGATACGCACTGGGCTCCGCGAAGGTGAACGAGCTGTCTTTTTCGACAGTCGAAGAGATCGTGGCGTTTTATACGAAGGAGGAATTGATGCTTCACAGCGGTGGTGTGCAGACCGGAAGCACGAAGTTGACTGACACTCCACCAAAGTAATTTCCGCTATGATCAATTCTACTACTGGAAGGAGAAATATTTGTCAATCTCGTTGTATATAAGAATTTTATGCGATATCAACACTGCCGAGCAAACATTTTTACTAGATATTGCAAATCTATCCAAATACGTAGATAGATAGATTAATATAGGACAGATGGATAATTAGAAAGATAGACTGACGAACAAAATTTTAAACGGTGCCTCTTGGATATTTTCATATATTTAAAATAATATAAATCACATTTAGTGCGAGATATCTCTTTTTATCATGCTAAGATAAATTTTCTGTTCATCTACAATTTATTATAATAATTACATATGTGCCTTTGATAAAGTGATATAATAAGCTCAATTATTGAGCAACGGATCTCTCTTTTGTGGAATTTAATATATTTTTAAATATATATACATACATTCAATCTTTTACTAATGTAGAATATATATATTTATGGCTGATTTATGCTTCTAAGAGAATAATCTTATATATATGATAGAATGGAGAATATTCTTTTGAGCGGAGATACCATTGTGTATCGTTACTCTTCTGTATCAGTATTTATATATTTTTGTGCACAAAAATAGTTAAGATATATCGTTCTTTAATCTAAGATATAAAAGTGACTGTGTGGTGATCCATCGTTCGTGTGGGTTATCTCTATGAGCCTCTTGGCCCATGAAAGCATCAATGTGATGACATATATGTGTGCATATATTGCAAGACTTAATTAAATCTTTTTTTAGAAAACGAGATTTGTATTTTCTTATACGTACACGCCTATGAATAGCACACGCAATATTACGAGTCTTATCACTTTCTTCTTATGCGACTGTTTATATTCCTTAGTCGCGCTCTTTCCTTTTCCCTCCACCCCGATGCGTTAATCAAGTTTACGCGCGATCCACTTTTGTAAACATGAATCATCACACGCACACGCATCTCGATACCACGATTATCTTACGAGAATACGAATGATAATGTCAACTGACCAGCCGACCAAATTGATAAATGATTTTTAAAGTCATGACCGCGACGTCTCCAGCAGAGCAATATATAATATGCGAATTTGATTTCTGAATGAGAAATCTTTTACGATTGATTATAGTCGTTTAATGTACATATTTTGTTCTCGTGCCGATATCGATTGCAATATAGATGTAATTGAACTTTGAATCTATATTAATTGATAAAATTAAAATAGGACATTCTTTATGCATGATATTACGAGTTCGTTAATATATTCTATATATATTCTTCTTGTTTTGCATTTTAATTCTGCCTTTAGCAGTATATTTTTAAACATAGCTCTTTAAAAAATTGCATAAAACTTCAATAAGCTCGAAAACAAAATATTTACAATAATTAACTGAATAACATTTGTTAGTAAAAAATTTCTATCATAAAGTAATTGTTGAAAAGTAGTCAATCAATTTCGAGTGTGTTATCAAATGTTACTCGACAATAATTTTTATTCGATAAAAAATCGAGTGCTTGCAAAAGCTGATCAGCTGATGTTATATTCCGTTTATTTATTTTACATGAAGAATTTTAATTTAAAGATTGAGACAGAGTCTTCAACTAACTTGTATTTTAATTTTGCTGAAAATATTGCATTGTTTGTTGCAAATTTTCGATTATTGTATCTCAGATAGCAATAAGTGTATATCATTTTGACGTTAAATGTGATATACACATATATCAGTTTGCTTGAGATATAATGTTATTTGAATACAAAATTTAGCAAAAAATATAAATTATCTAAAAACTATAGGAGTATCTGAAAAATGTTACAGCTGGAAAACTTTCGACGCATTTGTCGAATAAGAGAAAAAATGAATCTCCTCCGAAACGCTTTTGAAGACGTGACGTCACACGCGGGAGTTCTCTCAGCTGTCACGTGGGCGAGCAGTCGCTGGTCCCTAGCTACAATTTCAGCGTCGTAGTAAGCGACATGGAGGGAGCAGAAGGAGGGGACAAGAGAGACGAACGGCATGAACGGGTTTTACGACGAATTCTACATATACGCACCGTGCCTCGCAGTTAACTGTCGTCAATTGACCGAGCTGTCAATTGAACGCGGTCCGGTGGTCACTTAAGGAGCCTTTGTATGCGCGGAATATCTTCGAAGGGGCGTTGGACCGCGGAGAGGAGGTCGCCGTTTGCAGTGAGAGAAGATGACGATGCTGCGGACGATAAATAGTCGATCCCCAGGCGGACGGATTCCTGCTCGTGAATGCAGATAAACAATGTTGACGTGAGTCACGGAGGGAGAGCGAAAGCGCAACGGGAGAAAGAGAAAAAAGGAGAGAGACGATGTTACTCCGCCTGCGTTAGATAACGACGTGCTAATCGCCGCTCGCCAGAACGCCGCCCCAGGAGCAATGGACGATGAACAGCCGGCGAGGGAGGCCACCAAGATCTGCGGTGTCTGCGGCGACCGCGCGCTTGGCTACAACTTCAACGCCGTCTCCTGCGAGAGCTGCAAGGCCTTCTTCAGGAGGAACGCGCTGAAGAATAAGGTGAACTCTCTCTCTGTCACTTCTGCCTCGATTCTAACTCCCAGCTGATTGATGCACACCTTGGGGAAGATTGATAAATTAAGAGAATCTGAAGTTTAATGTACCTTGTACTAATCTTATGTGAAATGGACTTTGATTTCATCTGTTGTAAGCTTATGAAATACTCTTGAGAAAGATTCTATAGCCTTGGAGCTAAATAATGGACAATTATCGAGTTACAGTCAGTCAAACAGCTCGCAAAGCTCCAATTTTTTAGGTTTGATTGATTGTAAATTGCTAACTGTATCATTTAGCTTAGTACATTTTTTTCAATAGATCAAAAGCTATAACATATGAGGAAACCGGCTGATTTTATCAGGATTCCATTTCATCTAGGATTTCATATAAATTCCAAAATTCCATTAATTTTCTATATAAAATTGAATCTTACTAAGATCTGCTGATTTTCTCACGTGTTGTAGTTTATGATCTGCTGAACAAAAAATGTAATAGACTCAAAACTAAATAATGGACAGTTACTGAGCTACAGCTAGTCAAACAACTCGCAGAATCCGAGTTTTTCGTGTTTAACTGGCTGTAGATCACCAATTGAAAATCAGCTGATTCAACAATAATCTATGTTACATAAGATTAGTGTAGAGTATTTTTTAATTGTTTGAGTTTTTAAAGAAACGAATCAGATTGTTGTACTGAACTTTATAATTCTTCTTTGTAACTTGTAAACTTCCGATAAACTTTCCTTGAGAAGAAATCAATTTCAATCTGCATCATGAATTTTAACATGTAGATGAACTTTGAATTTGTATCTAATTTTTATAAAAGTTCTTAGGAGAATGAGACTATTAATGTCGAGTTTTTTAATTATGTATGATTGATTGTTTTTACCTGCTGTTATCAAGTTTGAAAGTGATATCTATATATTGAAATTTATTGATTGAATGGACTGTTAAGAATGTTAGATAAAGAGATCAATGTGTTCAATTTTTTAAAAGCATTTTTTACTTATTTAATTTAGAATATATTGTAATTTATTTGTAAGGAATTTATAACAGTATTATTATTAAAAATAAAATTGCATAAACTTAAAAAAAAAGATTCGATTAACATAAGAAACATTTTTTCTTTGCAGGACTTTAGATGCCCCTTTACGCAAAACTGTAACATCACATCTGTAACCAGACGCTTTTGTCAAAAATGTCGTCTGGACAAATGCTTCAGTATTGGTATGCGCAAGGATTATATTATGTCTGAAGAGGACAAAGTTCTGAAGCGTAAGAAGATCGAGAAGAATCGTGCAAAGAAACGATCTCAATCCGACAATGCTAAAGCATCCAAGATCAAGAAGGATTGCGTGGATGAATGTACGTTTGAAGACACGTCGATGTCGGTCAACTCTGTCGCGTCACCGATGTCGGAGACGTATTTCTGGGAGTCGGACAGGAAATACACAGATCTGGACGGTAACAGGCAGAATGTCGTCGAAAGTATGAGCCCAGTGACAGCAGCTAGCGTACCTAGTCCTTCGAGTCCTCCGGAGAGCACGAATATCGCTGAAACGAAAACGTTGGACATGTTGAAGGAATCCGGTCATGGTTCAAGGTCTAATGTCGCAAGGTACAATCAAACTATTTTATACGTAGAGAATAACGAGATAGAATCAATAAAGATTAAATTGAAATTGTCTGTTTGTAGCCGCACGAGATCATTCACTGACTTCAACGTAGCACTTCCGGACACAGGAAAGGATAAGAGTGTGCCATCAAATTCAGAGGAATACGAACAGAATTTAGAACTAAGTTCTGAGTTTGTAAACTCGGTTAATAACGAACCGAGATACAGTCCTTCGTTCGACGAAAACGCGCCCAATTATTCCAAATTTGAGCAAAGCAACGAGCACAATTCCTTCGTCTTCGTCGATTGCATGTCGAACAGCGGGACGAGTCGATCTGATCCGAGTTCACAAGCAAAGGCAGAAACGACGATATGTCAGAAGTCGAAGGAGACGTGTTCGAGCGGAAGCAATCTAGTCGCCAAGTTCAAGCAAGATCCCAATCTGTTCACAAAATTCATCAACAATCCAAATTTAGTCGCCAAGATACTTCAGGATCAAAGGGTAATAATGAAGATTATGACGGATCCCGATATGGCCACGTGCTTGGCGACGGATCCGCATATCACGCAATTCTTAGAGGAGAATGGCGCGACTGATACGAGCGACGGGCGTGGTCGTGACAACAAAACAGAAAATCAGTCTCAGAAAGAAACTCCGTGGAATAATAGCTCGAATAATAATATCGCTAGATATACGCCTAAATCCAAAAAGGGTCACATCGAAAATCCAATCCTGACAGATCTGATTACGAATCGTAATACGGAAGAGTGTAAAAATCAAAATTCAGAACCTAGCGTAAGCACGGATTGGAATAAGAATACAGCCGATGTTACTAGAGATGTTCTTCAAGATGTTCAAAGGTATGAGACTATTTAATAATAAGTATATATTAATATATGTTTACATAATGTTATGAAAGTCGTTATCGAAATTAAATATCTGTTTCAGGATACCCATCGCTGCCAATTCTATAGAGTCTATCTTATGCGAAGCTATCAAATTGGAATATTCAGCATTTTCTAGTTTTGGTGGTAATCAAAGCAGTAGAGAATTAAATGACGCCGAAAGAGCGAAATTAAATGAACTGATAGTTGCTAATAAGGCATTATTGGCTCCATTAGACGATGACATAACAAATTTGGTTGGCGAGGAATGTAAATTTAAGGTATAAGGCTGAAATTTTCAATTTTATATGCAGAATTGCATTTGTTAAAGATGAGTAAATTATATATAATAGGAGATATCTATTTGCAGAATAATTTTGGGCAATCTGATCCAATGTTGTTGGATGTTATAAATTTAACGGCGATAGCGATTAGACGCTTGATAAAGATGTCCAAGAAAATAAATGCCTTCAAAAACATGTGTCAGGAGGATCAGTTGGCTCTACTGAAAGGCGGTTGTACGGAAATGATGATTCTAAGATCGGCCATTAATTACGATCCAGATAAAGATATGTGGAAGATACCTCATAGCCAAGAAAGTATGTCCAATATCAAAGTTGACGTTTTGAAGGAAGCCAAAGGAAATTTGTATGCGGAGCACGCGAGATTCGTCAGAACATTCGATCCGCGATGGCGGGACGAAAACATCATCCTAATTTTAAGTGCGATCGCTTTGTTTACTCCCGATAGACCGAGGGTTGTGCATGGTGATGTTATTAAATTGGAGCAGGTTAGTAGAATGTTTTTAAAGTTTAAAATATATTAAAATGGGGTTGCAATTTTTAGCACGATTTTTTTATAATAGTGTCAATTAACTATCAAAAATACAATCTTTGAACGATTCTCTTATAATTTTTTAAGTTTATTTACATTACAATATATGTATATAAACAGAATTAAAAGTCAATAATTAGTTCATAAAATATTAATAGACTTCTTTTTATATTTTTGAGATATCATGTAAATTTAAAACAAAACAGATTTTGTATTTAAATTATATTTTCCATTGCAATGTATTTCTTCCTTTCTTTTTAGAATTCATATTATTATCTGCTCAGACGGTATCTGGAAAGTGTTTATCCTGGCTGTGAGGCTAAATCCACGTTTCTCAAGTTGATACAGAAGATTTCGGAACTCCATAAATTGAATGATGAGGTTGTGGGAGTTTACTTGAATGTCAATCCATCCAGCGTAGAGCCACTCCTTATAGAAATATTTGACTTAAAGCACTGATGATTAATTATCATCAGCTATACTATTGTTTAGAAATTTACGAATATCTGTTAATGGAAAATAAAATTGAACTTCTCTGCATTGCCTGTTTATAAAAATGTAATGTAGCTGTATAGCAATACAATTTTAAATATCTTTGAGTGATAAAACGAAGACTACACATATAGAATATAAAAATAGTTTAATACAATATCGAAATAATCGATATAAAAAAATTACAACAGGAAGAAATAAAGCCAATATACAATGTAGACATTCTGCATGACTATATGGAAGTGATATCAACATTTTATGACAATTTAGTAATAGCTCTTATCGCAGTCAATTTAAATAAATAATGTTGATTAAGAATGGGATAAAAATATAATTAATATAGCAATATTTTGCTTCGTAATAGGCATATAATGTTATATCATTAAACGCATTTCGCAAAATATCCTTTCAATTTATATCATTCTCTTCGCGTACCAACAATAAATGTACGCGTACAACGACAGCATAATAACTTCTAAGTGAGTTTCATGTTTTTTCTCGGGGGATAGTTAATATATATTAAAAATATATATATATATTTTTTTAACAATCAAATTTTACAATTTAAATAATTATATGTTATTTATATGGCAAGGCCTGTGCATCTCACAAATCTATATATGTATATATAAGATCATGTAAGTGTTGTTAAAAGTTTGTGCTTTGAGGGATGTATTGAAAAAACAAGATTCAATGCAAACCTGACCTTATATGAATTAAGGTGATTATAAATTTTAGCCATAATTAAGTGAGATAAGAAGAATATTATATTTGTGCGCATGTTGTATGTACGCATGTTACTGTTGCAATGTATATGAGATAAATATTGTGATATATCCTGATATAAATATATTTTTCAAAGATATGTGCCATATGTAATTTCACATTGACGATAATTTCCTTAGGATGTCCAAATGAAGTTTATCTCATACTATATATCTGTTCAATTTATGATTAATGATAATTGTTACGTCACTTACTGGATACATCTTCGGGCCCGTTAATCATCTGCGTTCGTCTGTAGGCAGGAGGCCAAGAGCATACAAAATAAGAATTACTATTGCAAAGGCACAACCTCCCAAGATTAGTAGACTGAAGAGAGATATAAGCAAATATAATATAATTTTAACGATTAGAGAGAAGACCCATAATATGCAACCGCATGCCACACTGCAGATTGCTTTCAATCCCATTCTTTCAATACTATATGAAGTTTTATACACATTTTGGAAGGAAACAAAATTCACGTTTCGATTATAACTCGATTATAGTTCTGGTTAAAAAATACTTCTTTGTTTTAGTTTTAGTGTAGAAATATTCATGATTTTATTACACAATTTTCATAAAAATTATATACACATTATAAATCGATATTTATATAAAGTCTATAAGTTTTATATTGATATTTTTATTATATTTTTGCAGATTTATTTAGCTCGTCATATATTATAATATTCGTATTACAACGACGTATTATAATCGTCAATTAATGATATTAAGATTTAAAGAATTTTTAATCATTCAGAGATAATCTAATTTTTACAATGCGCGATATTTATAGATAAAGCTTTCTTCTTTCAGCACGGAGTAAAACAGATATTCTTTAGTATTATATAAAATATTTATTTATGTTTTATCATGTACTTCCTCCGTTTTCGCAAACAGGGACATCGGAAGCTAGCGTATGATTTTTTGACTCCGTCATTTGTTTTTCCAGATAATTGTCGCGCTTATAATGAAAGAAGATTTCAACGTTGCTGTCGTACGGTTTAACGAATGGACAATTGATTTTTTCTGCGGCTAAATAACAGGCGCCCAATGCCGACGTTGTCGTCAAACGCAATAGACTCAATTCTTCTATGACGCGCTTGTTATGAATCTCATTCACAAAACCACTCTTCATGAATTTCCACGACTTCCACACAGATCCGACGCAGATCACTTTTAATCCACCATGAGCTAACTTAAGGTCCTGAAAAAAATTGAACGATAATGATGAAACCATTATGCATTTTTTTTATATACATATATATATATATATATAATAAATCTAATCGTTAGTATATACTGACGTTATGTGCCTTTTTCGAGAGAGCAATAATGTGCTTCGCCAGAAGATGACCAGCTTCTTCAAAGATCTTCAGGCAGAGAGGATCATCTCTCTCGCAACCGACCGCGACTTCTTTGGCGAAATTGGCGATGACATTCTTGGCAAAATTCGCGTAGAGATACGGCAATATGCCATTTCTGTCGGTCACGTTGAAATAACTTCTCATCGCCGGCCATACGTAGCTTATGGGTTCTGGTGCTTTCGCTAAGTCATCAATATCATCAAATACATATTTGCAGGCGCGATGAGCGATCCCGTAAGCTAGGAAAATTAACAAGAGCAAATTAGTTAATCGTAGCTTATAAGAAATTAATTAACGTATTTAGATTTTAAGTCTAATTTTATATGTGTGTTACATTTTTTTATCTCTGTAATCAGATTTTTAATTTAAAAATTTATTAATATTATTTATTAAGCGTGATTTATTCTGAAATAAATTCTTTCAGATACGAGAAAATATAACTCTCAAATGCTTACAAAATAAGGAAAAGAGAAAGCTAAACAAGCCTATTGTAAAAGAATGCAAAGATATATAGACGCAATAAATTTTATCAGTAAATCTTTTACATAGATACAACATCTTTTACATGCAGAGATAAGTATATCAAAGAGTTTTTCAACTTTTTCACAAAATAGATAACTGCTAATTTTTCAGATTTAATATTACGTTCTAACAAAAGCGAAAAAAAACTCACAATTTATTTAAAGAATTTTTATCTAAAATCAGAGAAGTCTGAAAAAAATAAAATTACATTCAAAAATTTTATTTGATTTAAAATAAAAATTAATTTTTAAAGCTATTTGTTCATGTAAAGTTTTTGTGACTTTTTTAAAATTCACTATTCTTCTTACAATCAGAAAAAAAATACATACCACTTCCCTCATCGCCCATCATGTGTCCCCATCCTCCGCATCCATGACTCTTCCCGTCAGGATTAATGAGCAAAGCATTGCTACCTGTTCCGGCGATTAACACAATTCCACCAGATTCTAAACCAGTTCGAAGACTACCAAGAGTATCCGAATTGACAACGTAATCTTTAGCAGAGTTTGGATATTTTTGCAGCAAAGTTTCTACGAGCTGACGATTAGTGGTTTCCTCTTCGCAACCACTTAAACTGAGCCCCTATCAATGAAAGAAACAATTTTAAACCTTTTCTCTTTCTTTCGAAAAGCATTTCAATATTATAGCAACGTCAATTAATAATAATAATCAAAAATTATTTAACTTTGGAACAAAAAATATAAAATAAAAATTATGTCTCATTTATCTCGAACTCATCATTACTGTACATTCTTATTTTATTTTGATTATTTTAATTATATTCATAATTAAAAAAGTATACATTTTATAGTAATAATATTAAGAATATTTAGTCAGCTCTCGAAATAAATAAATATATACATCGATCTCGGTCAATAGAGTCAAACGCGATGTTATTGTGAAAATTAAACTTGGGAATTCGTATCTCATAAGATACGAATTCCTAAGTTTCTTAATTTTCACAATAACATCGCGTTTGGCTCTATTAGCCGAGATAGATGTATATATTTTATAGTAATGTTATGTAATATAATAAAAATAATTATATCTCTATACTCACTACGCAATCTAAAGGAACGGATTCTGGTATATCTAATGCTTGTTTTCCCTTTTCTATCATCGCGCTGAGTCTAGCAACTGTTTCATCTATCCCAAGTTGCTAGAAGAAGCAAATTATTTAGGTAATCTATCATTTCCTCCAAAACGAGCAAAATTTTTTTTTAATTATTCATATTCTTTTATCTTCAAAGCGCTGTGAGTGCAGTTAAATTTTGTTAAGATTTTCTAATGTTTTTCGTGTATCTCATCGAGATTTATAATGTATTTTTTTAAATTGGACTCGCAGCACTTTAAAGATATAAACGGCTCATTTTGTATAATTTTTTTTTCTTTTTAATCACCCAATGATTAGTGTTTGGTCCTTTAATTTCCGTTAGTTTCGCACCTTTTCCGTCGAGTATTACAAGCGTAGAATGTGTACCACCTCTGAAAATAAATTATTTTATAAGAATTATTTAAAATACAACAGTAATGCAAATTCTTCTAAATATATTTCATCGAATGAATATTATAATGCTGCTAAATTTCTCTTCTTTATAGATCACTCTGCATGTACAGCGTGTTAATTTATATGATCATTTGTTTATCTTTTCTTCTATTTAAGTGACTCATTTCTAGTGAAAGAAAGCATGTACATATTGAGAGCTATCTTGGTTCAGTTAAAAAATGCATGTGACTTATCAAAGTTAAGTTCGCAGTTTAATGTGATTACTGTTATCAATTGCCTAAGCTCTGTTTCTCTGTCTACAACAACTAGTAATAATCACAAATTACATAAGAATTATGAAATATTACATAATTACATAAAAATTATAAAATATTATATAATAAAAAAATAATAAATCTCAAATATTCACATTGCTGAGAATATTTTTTATCTTAAAATTTTCACTACTAAAGCCAGATTTCTGATTGTGTAATATAAGATTTTATTTTAAATCAGATAAGATAGAAAAATATATCAAATTTGCACTTTATATTTTTTTAATATTTAGATATAATCGATTCATAAATAAAATCGATTCACAATTCATCATTTAAACGGAAACGGCCACTTTATTTAAATTAGCAGAATCGCATTACGATAAGATATAAATATGTCATAACAAAGACGAAAACGAAACTTTAAATTCTCAAAGAGCATCATGTTTACTTGCAATAATATCTTAAGATTATATATTTATTAAAATGTTTATTATATATATATGCATATATATTTAGCAGAATTTTTATTTAAGATTTGATTACACTAAAATATTCTAAAGCGCACCTCATTTATTTTCTTATGTCACATATTATTTAATGAGCTACAAAAATAGCTTAAAAAATGTTAAATTTATATAAAGATCTTCTTATGAATATGAAAATATTTAGCATAACATATAATATTAAATTAATTGGATAAATATTCTCGATCAAGCTAAGATAAAATATATTTTTGTATAAACGTCAGACTTTATATACATGCGATGTTGGTCCATTGAAATTAATTTGTGTTCGGCCTCGATAACGTATAACGCATTATTGCTTATTATACATGTATCATGACCTCGATATCATTCACTGGACGACACTGGACAACACTTGAGCAGTAAAAGTTGCAATATGATTCATATATATTGTTAAATTACTATTCAAAATGCGATCAAATCGGAAAATAATTTTCCATAATTATTACAATTGATAATTACATTACTTGCATATTTGATAATTAATCAATTTTTGATAAACATGTTAATTATATTGTGATGATAGATTTTTATCGAAGCACATATATACGCGATCATTTTATTAATTCAAATAAAAATTAAAACAAGATAAAAATTGTAAATTATCATTTCGTTGTGATTTCTTTTATGAACAATAATTGTTTCTCTAACAATTTGAAATCAAATATATTTGGATATTTCAAGTTTTTCATTCTAAATATAATTTGTCACATTTGGATTAAGATTGCATACTAATACAGATCAATCAAAGATCAATTAAAGTAATTAAATTAAACAGATTATAGTAAAAGTAATAATTTATCAATCGTTTAATTAATTATTTAATATCAAATTTAAAATACACAAAAATATTTTTCGCATAAATTTATTTTATATATTGTATTAAAATGCGACAGCAATGAATTAATTTATCTTACTATAGATATTTAACGCTCATTTAATTTGGTATGCTATATAAATTATTATAGATATAGTATATTATTATTGTTTATCGTGAGATTAATTCAATCAAAATCTATCATGTGGAAAACAATTGGCAAATCTAATTATATTCTCTAAAATTATAATCCGCAAATATTTCTTTAATTTTAACTTGCTCATTTATTGAAATGCGATATAGTTAATGTTTGATTACAAAGGGATCGGACTTACCCTTCTATGCCACCGATTCTAATATTTTCGGAATACTTTGGTTCGTCCTGCGCGAGTATCGCAGTTTCTTGCACTAGGTCCGTGGACTCCGTCATTTTTGTCAGATCCCTCAGATCCCTGCGTAATTGAAATTCATCTACGATCTTCTGCTTCTTGATCTTCGTCTTCTTTGTCTTCTTGGTCTTCCTTTTTCCTGCCATTTTTCAAAATTTCTTTTTCAGAGTCGTGCGAGGAGAACTTTTAAAACTCTTTTTTTGCAAGATGTTTTGCAAGGATTCGACAGGATCTGGATGAAATAGGATGATTTATAGGAAAATGTATACGCATACAATTTATTATCACTAGTTGATAAATTTGTAATTAGTAGATTAATCATATAATTAGCAAATTAATCATGTAATTAGAAAAAATAACGCTCTAAATATTATGATTTCAGATGTATTTAAAATCAATTTGAAACTTTAATTATATATTAGCTTTTCATTATTTGGTTTTTATAAGATTATAATTCAAACTGCACTATTTTAATATGCATTTTAGCAACATTAATCTTCAACTATTTTTACAACATTATAATAATTATATTATCTTTACCCAGTAAGCAAAAATCATTGCTACAACGTTATTATTGTTATCAAGTATGTAGTTTTTAACATTGTATGCAACATCATTATGAATAAACCTTGACATCGATTTAGAAGTTTCGGTAATGTTGAAATTAACGTTTCTAAAATATTTTATTAATATTTTGAGAACAATATGTTATTAAATAATATTTTTAAAACATTTATAACACACTAGTTAAAATATTTTCTTAAATATTTATTAATAATATTTTAAACATATTTATAAAACATTATATCATAACGTTTGAAAAATGTATATAAAATCAATATTTTAAAATGTTGATTAAATATTTCTTGCTTATTAGGTAGTGATATTATATAATCATTAAAATTTGCTGACTTAATGAAATCCCCGATAGCATATTCGAAAAGAATTTATTTGTATGTCACCAATTTTGAGTCCCTTTTCAAATACATATAGAATTCATTTTAAAAATAGAGTTTATAGATAAAATTTTATAAAAATGAATTCTATATGTTCTATATTTGAAAAGGGACTCAAAATTGGTGACATACTGGTGACATACAAATGAATTCTTTTCGAATAGCTTGTGCTATCTGGGATATTATATCATTCTTAATAAATTATATTGAAGCATGATATAATAACAACTTAAATAATATTAATAATATTATTAAATAATATTATCATTTATTTTGCAAATCATGAATCAAAAAATTCAGCCTTATCTGAAATAAAAGAGACAAATGAGATAAATATTTCCGCTGTATAGATAAAAAAATATAGTATATAGTCTCGACAATTTTGGTTGCGAATGGGACAAAAGGAGAAAAATTTTGGAAAAGAAAAACTATATATATGATCAAATATCTTGTATACACACGGAACAGTCGTCCCACGTGTGCATGCAGATTAGTACTTTATTCACTACGAGCAGTCAAGTGTAAATAATACAGATGCGTGCATAATGATCCAGTGGACCATTATATTATAACATAAAGAATTGACATTTGTGAAAGTACATGGAGAGGTACCAAAATTAATATGAGACCGAATTTTAAGGAGGCTCTACTGTACAAAGATAAATAACATAATTATTTGATTATGCACAGGTATATAATTTTAATTAATTTTCGTATTATAAAATACTTTTATCGATCTTTTTTCCACGTGATAAATTTGCGAATGTCAGTGTTTTCTGACAAATATTTATACTTCGCTCATTTATACGTGATAATTAAATAATATATATAGTTATATCCTCAAACTTGAAATAAGACTAACAAGAAATAACACATCAAATTAATCTATATATTACAATATCAAAAATTATTATATGAATAATATTAATTTAAAAGTAAATTTTCAATATTTTTATCGTAAGTGTAATTTCTTGCGCTGTGACATATAGAATAGAAAATACTTAAGCAAGTTGTAGAATAGATAGATATCTCGCGATAAACTTGAAATAATTTTTTTTCCTTACAAATTTTTCTCGCTTTATCTCAGTGTCTGAAGCGGATTGGCCAATATAAGCGTGGCGAAAGTATTTAATAAAATCTGTTTGAGAACAATCACGCGTCCTTGAAACCAGTTTGAAATTTTTTCGATGAAAAATCTCTCGAAGAAATAACATGCCCGCGATGCTATCTCGATTTTCCGGCAACGTCTTTATCCGGGTTCATTAACTTACTATAAAATTCCCGCTTTTCCTCGGCGTCGAAGGTACAGGTTGAAAAAACGTTCAGGTATGTGTGCCGATGGTGAAAAACATTTTCACGCGATTTGCAAAAATTCCGTGAGAAATTGTATTTTTCTGAACGGAGTGTGTGCGAGTCCAGCTGTAGGAATTATAGGAATGTCGACAGCAATAATTGCCGATCGATCTACGGCGGGAGAGAAAACAATCGACCGCACCGCGCGACGTCACTACTTCGACTGATCGCGCAATCTCGCAGTTTTCACAATCTTCAACTTCAAGGGTAAGAGAATGGACTCAATTCGTAGAAAAGGATATGTTTAAATGCTGGTTGGAGTGCTATCTTTGTCAGCTACTGTGTCAAGAATTCGCTGATTGGTTGATGCTATTCTAGTGTCAGAATCAAAAACATTGGTTTCATATTTTATATATGTGTATCTTTTGCTTTAATGATTGACTTTCATATGAATTAAAAGAAGAATAATTGACACTTGTTCTCAATTTTATTGTTTTTTATAAATAAAATGACATTTCCTGGGAGCTACGTGTATCACCTGTATCACTTTTAATATATTAAATATATATCTAATGAAAATATTTTTAGTTCTGATCATATGTATAAAAAGAGATATAGAGATTCATTCAAGCTCAAGAATATATAATAAAACATATATAATAAAACACAAGAACATTCATGTCTTTTTAAAATATTACTTTTGATAGAACTTTTGTTTTGATGTGATGTATTTTAAATTAAATAATTTTTCCTTTCATGTTTCTTAAATATAAAAAAAAAAAAATATATATATATATATATAAACTTCTTTGTATTGTTTTATTTATATATACATATTATATTGTTAATACACTCTATCTAACCCTTCAACTTCTTTCTTTTCATCAATATTTCCATTTATATTTATACAGTTAATTCGCAACATTGTATGCTGTATTCTGTAAACTGAAGAAAAGAAATTAGGTGTATGGAGACAAACAAGATAGAGAAAAAAGAATATCATTTAGTATCTTACAGTTTATACGGCGATATTGTTTCCTCGGTCGAAACCTGAAGCGAGTTTTCGTGTGAGATAAAGTTTTCTCAATAACTGTTGCGTCCACCGAGATCAATTCTCTATTTAAGAGCGGTCTTCCTATAAGAGTGAAATCTGTGCTGCCGACGAGCAACACTTTCTCCAACTTCAAACGATCGCCTATATTTGGTGGCCAGAATCCCTCAATAATGATAATGTCGTTTTCTGTTACTTTAAACTGCTTTCCACATACTTGAACAACCGCAAACATACGACCGATTCTATCCATTGCTATCTGATTATTTATTTCATTTGTCACATCTGTAAAGAAAAAAATAAATCTTAATTAAGATTTAAAATAGAGTATATAACAGTTACATAAATGTAGAAATAATAGTTATACACATTTGTATATATATGTAAAGAAAAAAATAAATCTTAATTAAGATTTAAAATAAAGTATATAACAGTTACATAAATGTAGAAATAATAGTTATACACATTTGTGTATATATATATATAAAATTATGTTAACAACCTGCGCATATTTTATCTTTCTCTTCATCCCACTCTCGCACCTCTGTTTGGTAATCTGGGATTTTTGCCATCCATGGTGGCCTAACTGTCCGATATTCTGCTACTGGTATGTCCCATAATTTTAATGCTGAACAAAAGATTGGAAGAGTTGTTATTTCTTGATATAAGCTAGCAAACATTTTTCTTCTTGTTAACTCAACTTTATGCCAAGTAGAAAATTCTGCTGAGAAATATGTCATGTACTTTTTCTCTATTATACAAAAATTTTGTTATACAGAATCTATATTATAAATTATATTATAAATATAAAGAGATACACATCGATATTATTTATCGAAATTAAAAATGTAAGTTTTTAAAAATATATCAGAATAAATGTGGGAGAGGGAGAGGTTAAGTTTACATCTAAATCCGGCTGCGCCGTTTGTGCAAAATCGTCAGATATAATTGCATTAAAATTACATACTCGGATTGTGTTGCTTGCAAATTGCGATCGGTGTCACTCTTCTCAAACAATTACTCGCGGCGTAATAAAAAAGTCTTGAAAAACTAAGTAGAGTTGCCATCGCGCACGCAGCGATTGTTCGAAAACACACGCGCAAGTAATTCCACTTTTTTATGTATTTACAAGTATACAAAAAATATATATATCAATAGTCAATCTCTAGTGCACGGAAAACGGTTTGTTATCCGCGAAACGGCGATCATTAAATAAAAAAAAATAATTATTTATATAAATTAGATTTGAAGTAAACACACTATATATTCCGCAAGTAGGGAGCGATGCGCCCTACTTGCGGATGTTGAAACCAATTGGCGGGAATATTCAAATCATCGTTTTCGATTCCTCTAATCTCTTGATTCTTGAGTAAAATACCCCGTTTATCTTCTTCCTCTACATATATAATTATATTATGTATTATTGTATACGTTAATTATTACATATATTATTATATGTATATATTTTATTATATAATAATAATAATAATAATATAGTAATAGTAATAACATTAATAATAGTAGCAGTAAAAATAGTAAAATAAAATATAATAAAATAATAATAATAGTAGTAGTAGTAATAATAATAGTATTAGTAATAATAGTTATATAATAATAGTGATTATAGTGATATATAATAATAGTAGTAATATAATAATAATAAATATTATTATTATATATAATAATATATTATATTTATTTATTATATACATCTATTTACATTATATTATATGATTTTTATTATACATTATTATTAAAATTCTCGTAATAACATTATTTTGAAATGTGTTCTCGCGCATGCGCATCGGACGGCGGAACAGTCGCGCGGTGGCCAGTTTCCGGCGAGCCGGAGCGATGTGGTGGGGAGGCCGGGCGCGCAGAGACGTACGTGTACGCGACGACGATCGCTTGTCATGTTTGACTGTACCGCCGCGGTTGTATTCACGATTCGGTGATAGCGTATCGTCGCGTCTCCTCGCAAGGACCGATCCTCGCGACCCTCTTCTCGGTTTCAGCGGTGTTAAAACGGCGCGCGCGCGCTCCGTACCCACGTAAGGTATGCAGTTCTACAAAGAGAAGCTGCTGTCGCCGGGCCAGCTGAAACGGTTGAGCGAGCACAAGTACAGTTGCACGAGCAAAAGCCTCCTAGACGGCCTCTTGCAACCCTGGTGGGACTGGCTGGTCAGCAAAGTGCCGCTCTGGCTCGCGCCCAATCTCATCACCGTGCTCGGGCTCATCGTCAACATCGCCACCACCCTCATCCTCGTCTACTATAGTCCGGATGCGAGGGCCGAGGTAGGTCGTGGAAGTCTAACCTTGCTTCATTGAAAGTTCAGCGATGAACTGGAGGAATACGTTGCTTGAAAGAAAACATGAGAACACTTTGCGTACTACTATAACATCCTCTGAGCTTATTTTCATCGTTTCTTCGCTAGCAAAGTTTACAGCTGATTTCTCCGTTATGTCCAATGTCAAAATTTGTATATGTTGTAAGAATCTTTTTTGTTTTAATTTTAAAATTTTACAAATTGATATTTCAATGTCTTGAATAACACGAATGTTCTGTACTGTCAAATTTGATAAACTGTCAGTAAAAATATTCTGTATATTTAAAGGCTACTTTGTTTAGTAAGGTTGCCACATTTTTGATGCTATAAAGAAAATCTTAATTTTATTCAATATATAAAAAGGAGAGATATGTTTTAGAACGCTTATGAAAGATTGGTTGAATTAATTTTCTTACGAGTTTTAATTTTTTTTTTACGAGTGACACATTTGCAGTATCATTGTTTTTTAAAGCAATGCAATGCAAAATGTAAAAGTATATGAATATATGATGATTCATCAATTGTTATTGCAACAGAGACATGTGTGTTTGTGGTTTGATCTTATATAACCATCTGACCTGACTACATTATACTATATAAAACAATGTTTTCTCTCTCTTTCTTTATAAATATATACAAATGTTATCAAACATACTTTAATCTTGAAATCATTAAAGAAACATAAAACATCTTTAATTTTAAAATACCTTAACTCATATGATATATACAAAACAATTTTTGATAGGAATTGAATGACATTGCATTATTTTTTCAGGCACCTAGATGGGCATGTTTTTTATGTGCACTTGGTCTATTTATATATCAAAGTTTAGATGCTATTGATGGTAAACAAGCCAGGAGAACTGGGACATCTACACCATTGGGTGAATTGTTTGATCATGGATGTGATTCGATATCAACAGGTAGATAACATTTTTATATTATTTTATTTTTGCTTTGTACAAACATTTAAATATATAATATGTATTGTATTTTTTCAGTGTTTGTTGCTTTGTCGGCATGTATAGCAGTACAATTAGGATACTATCCAACGTGGATGTTTTTCCAGTGTTTCTGCGCAATGACGTTGTTTTACTGTGCCCATTGGCAAACCTATGTTTCAGGTACTTCAATAAAGTGGTGTAGTTGTTAAAACTTCTATATAATGAATTTAATTATGTAAAACTTCATTATTTCATTTTTAAATAGGTTCCTTGAGATTTGGTAAGGTGGATGTAACGGAAGCACAATTTACTATCATAGCTATTCACCTGATTTCTGCTATCTTTGGTCCTGAGATCTGGATGTTGGAGGTTGTATCATTTTTAATTACGCTTATTATAGAAATATCTTGTGTAGTAGTAAATCATGTTTTACATAACTTTTTAGCATTCTATATGATTATAGTTTGCCAATCTATTCCATATATTTTGTTTCTTTTAAATCATAATCATAAATTTCAACTTTCCGCAATTATGCTATTATAGCTTCTTGCAGTATATAGGACGATTCAATTTCTATGAAAATGATTTGTATGGTGGCATTTTTTTATCGAAAACAATTGAATAGTCCTGTATATTTTTATTTAAACTGTGTTACTCATGGTACAAAATAAAAGTATAAATTTGTAATTTATGTTACCATGCGTTTCACATTTTACTTGGTAAGTAAATTCTTAATAGCTTATATTTATTGATGTTTACAACATATTTATTTTATTATGAAATATGTATAAAAAAGTAGTAAACTCTCTTTACTACTTGACCAAAATAATACAACATAATTTTCAAAATTATTTTTGTTACATTTGCTGATTCCATATGACTAATATAGAAAATTATTTTTTCTGTTCGAATTTTTAATATATCTTCTATTTAATTATATTAAAAATCTACAACGGAAAAATTGCATTATTTATAATAACATCGCGTTTATGTGTTTTAAATTTGATTTTTCACAATTTACATCTCGCACAATATCTCTTTTTCATGCTTCAAGTTCACACAGATACATAACAATTGACAAGTTATACTGGACGCTTTAAAAAAGAAATTTGTTTTCTTAATCAAAAGATTTTATCTTTAAACTTGGCCTCCCTGATACACATATAAAGTTGCAATAAAATTTTTGTTATTTTTTTACACAAGTTTAATAAGGGTATTTTTTGCAGATACCATTCTTAGATGGTTTTATGTTTAAGTATTTATTAGGAGTTATGACAGTGGTGTGTGCACTGGCAAATTTGTATTCCATATTTTCGGTGATTTTCACCGGAGGAGTGGGCAAGAATGGTTCCACTGTGGCTGTAAGTTCGTAAATTAGATTGTTTTTTGTTGAACATGCAGAAATGGGAGCAGCATGGCATGAGGAGCGGCGCTAAGATTACTTCTTTACTGCAAAATATTTACTGATTTTTAACACGCATTTTTACTTCTATATCCCTTACTAAATTACATTCCCCTCTACGCCCCCTCATTTTTGACAACCCCTACATCTCCTGCAATTTTCATAATGGATTGTATGTGCCATTATATGATTGATAATTATATTTGTTTTATATGTAAATTCACATTTCTAAAATTTTCAACAAGTCGTTAGTTATTTCAGTACATTGTACAAAAACACGGAATTGTAAAAACTTTCGGTAATGCAAATCTTTATTATTTTTCAATGTAAAAAGTAGATGTAGTTTTCTGTAGTTATTTTGATGTTATGTTTATGATAAAAAATCGCGTGGTCAATCAATTTTTTATAAATGCATAACAATGCTCTTTTGAAACAATTTCAAAATTGGAATAATTTCAAAATTACAAAAATATATTTTAGAAATTTTAGCAAAATTTTAACAAAAGGTGTAAATATAGTGTGATGTTGCTTAAAAGATTTATAGAACAAATTACGAGTAATAAAACTGCAATATTTGTTTGCATATGTATTTACAATAAATAATTTATATATTTATATATCAAATATATTTTTTTATTGTGTAAATAAAAATTGCAAACAAATTACGCAAAAAATTTTTACATTTACAATAATAATTTATAACAAAAATATACATGATATTTTTTTACATTATACTTTTTAAAGAAATTAGTAAGCATATTTCTATATATATATATATATATATATATATATATATATATATATATATATATATATAGTTTACATATATATACAGTACATTTATATATAGAGATAATATACTAAGTTTGTGCGAGACTTGTGCATGAGGTATAAAAGCTAATGTCCACGATACTAAAAATGAGTTCTAGTTCTCGGATCGAGAAATGTGTAGCCCATTAATATGCAGTTTTTACGGAAAGGCAGCAATTTTATTAGCTACACATTTTTCGATCCGAGAACTCGGATCGATTTCTAGCATCGTGGACATTGGTTTTTACACAAAGAATTTATTTTTCTTGCTGACGGATACTGTGGTGCATTAAATATATAAAAAAGTAAGATAATCTTCACCATTCGTGATTCATGATACACTAATCAGCTGCTCCCTCGTGCCTCACCATCTGTTTTCGTTACAACGAAAAAGAAAAGCATGTTTTATTTTTATATCAGAGTGTCTACTCTCACATAAAAAACACATAAAAAACCTGGAATTTTCAGGAATTTCTTTTGTATCTGGAAAAATTATGAAATTCTTATAAAATTTTATTAGGACTCGAGAAATTTGAAAAATTATCTGTTAATTTTGCTTTTATATTATAAGCATTCGCGATAATATAAGCCAAATTGTGAATTATGATAAAATATAAATATATATTTATCTTTGCGTATATTCAGCGTTTTAATAAAATATTGAATATACAATACATATTCTTCATTGTAATTTTTAATGATAAAAAAATGAAAATGTTATGTCAGTAAAAAAGTTTATCTTACGAAAGCAATTTAGTTTTTTCAGTACATTTGCAAATCTAACGTAGCACTTAAAATTTTAATAGTTTTTTTCATACGACTATAAAAAAATTAAAAATGCAGGCTATAAATGCATACTACAAAAAACTTATTTTAGAAAAATTGCATAAAAAATATCTTTAAAATATTCTCTGAATTTGAACAAAAATTTTTTGAACATCAGGGAATTTTTTTATCAAATTTGAGTAGACATCCTGATATGTGCAATAAATACGACCACAGATAGAACTAAGCCCACCTGTAGCAGTATTATACTGCGGCAATGGTATCGAGAGATATAACTTTACAGATTTATATAAAATAGATATTATATACTCATACATGTATATACATGTGAGAACAATTGTAACGAACAATTTTCATCACGAACGAAGATCTTGTGGCTTTGTTTAGATCCCTGTGCTCGGTGTAGGCACACTCAATAACTTCGTAGCAGTGCTCTTTTATGCAGGCTACGTTCAGGTGTTCCTTGAATTCTGTAAAGTCTTTGAATCTGGTGGGATTGGAAAAAATGGTTCCACAATTGCAGTAAGTCCCCAAGAAATGGCGTTGAAAATATAGAGCAATACATTCTTATATCTTTTGCCATTTTATATTACAGTAGAAATGTTGTCTGTTTCCTACATTTCTTCTCTTCTTGCTTGCTGTCCTCTCTATTGATCTCTTGTACTGGGAAACTTACACGTTGGGTGTACGGTTGTTGTTACTAAAACAATATCGATGTATGGCCCATCTGCATATTAAGCTACCAGAGTGATTATATTTCGATATTTCGCACAATTTTTATAAATGCTTATGTTTTGTCTAATATATCAAAAGCTTAACATATAACATAAACTCTGTCAATTTTTTTTGTTCGAAACATTTATTGTTACTTGCTATTACGTACTGTTGATGCCAGAATATATAATTGTAATCTGCATTAAAGTAATTAATTTTAAGAGAAAAAATGTCAAGTTACTAGTTTTTTTATGAAATAAGATTACATTTAATTGTACGAGACAGCATTTTTAAATGACTGATTTCAATGAGTAGATGACATTAGCTACGTTTAAGCAAGAATGAGATATTCACATATGTGCGAATTTGTTCATTGAAACTTGTTATATGTAGTTTTTCCTTTTTTTTATGAAGAGTAGCGATGCCTGCAAAGGAACGTGTGGTGGGTGTGTGTATTACATCATATGTAAAACAAGAAAATAGCAAACACATGTTTGTGTATGATCGAATGCCGCACAGTGATAGAATTTTAATCTCTTCGATTCTCTTCTTGGATCACACGTGCAGAAAATTTAGGTTTCGCGTCACCGTATATTGTTCCTCGCACTTATCCAAATCACATATTCGTAAAACAACAGTGAATTTTTTCTCACACTCGCACCTTTATTTTTTATAGATAAATCTCTATGAAGAAATATTTTCTTTTTATTTTCGATCAAGAGGTTGTTAAAAGATTAACTACATTTTGTAGCGTTAGGTAATCCCTTGATGTAATAAAAAGAAAAAAACTCTTAAGTTTCCATATGTAAATTCTCTACAGAATCTATTAGTCTAGATTTTCTGACTAACAAAAGAGAAAGTACTTTATATTGCACACACAAAATGAAAGAGTACAAAGTAGTATAAGAAACTATAGAATGAGGATGTGTATCGACACGTTTAGCTATGAATATATTTTAATTAATATGGGATATATAACAATCTTTTTATTGTACATGTTCCTGTTGTGTTTTGTGATAACATAAATTGTGATTAATTAACAATATAAAAGAAAAGAAATTGTTTCAAAAGCGAACAACGTATAGTTCCTGAGTTGTAACTTGACAATCATTAGTAAACTTAACTAAAGTGTCAAGGATGCGGAGTATTATAGAAAGTCCTATGAGGGTAGCCTCTTTGACAACTCTAATCGAAAGATCTTTCGTGTCGCTTATACAGTTGCCATACACTGGCACAGAGGTGAAGGTGTTTCCGTTATGGGCTGCTGTGGGCATCGCTATTTTACTTGCACAGAGCAGCATATCCGTCATTCTCGCCGGTGGTGTCGGAAAAAATGGCTCCACCGTCGCAGTAAGTCAGCTGAAAAAGTAGTGGGATCACATTGTGTAGTGCACTTTTTTTCGTTTAGTATATGATTTAGGCCCATGTAAATTAATAATATATTTTACATATATATATATATAATATTATTATTTTATATATATATATATATATGTATGTATATGTGTATATATATATACCTACATATAAATATTCTTTGATTAAATGGCAAATTGTAAGACACGTAAAAATAATATTATAGTAGAATTTTATTCCTATAAATATATGTATTATGATGGGTCTAAATCTAACAGTGTCGTATAAAATTATTTATCACATTATTTTTACACTTTTGTTGATATATTTGTTATACTACATTCTTCCTTACAGAGATGTACATCCCTACCTGTTGCTTCCTCTATTATATTTTGCAGTTATATTGAAATATATACAATATATATATATATGTATATACAATTATATATATATATATATATATATATATATATAATATTTAATTTTATTGTGTTTTCAAGTTTTATTCCAGGCCAAATTCTCTTGCATGCATGTTACAAAGCTGTAGAAAAAATATAGATTAAAAATTGATAATAAAAAGTACTATGTATCGCTTATTGCTATAATTAAAATATTAATATCACAATATTTCGATATTGCGAATTTATTTTTAATGTTTATTAGAATGTATTGCATGCATCAAATGAAGCTAATATTTTATATCGTATAAAGATAATTAAAAATCTTTTCTTTCTATATATATTTTTCTTCAACAATTTTATTTAATACATTTTTAAATGTATTTATTTAGAATAATTTTTCTATTGCACTAAAATTTAAGTAAATACTATATTAATTTCTATATATATTAGATTTAACATTAACTAACGTATTTTTCTTTCTTCATATTGGCAACATTTTTTTCTTGTTGAATGCACATGCAACAGTAGAGTATTTTAGTAGAGTATTGTTGACACTATAATTGTATTAATTGTATAGCACCAATATGTTACATTATATTTTTAAAGAAATTTTTTTGAATATAAAATAATATGGTAGGATATGTATGTATTTTTCTTGATTAATATATATTAAATATACATTTATAAGCAATGTATAAAATAAAAAATTTTAATATTATATATATTTATGTATATTATATAGATGTAGATATAAACATATTATAATCGGCAGATATTAACTTTAAAGATATTTTTAATTAACAATATTATTTGATCCAAACACCGACTCTTTCGTCGTTTTTTACACAATATAAAATAATCTTTGTATACAGATATTATTTGCTTTAGAACTTTTCTGCATAAGTTCAATTTTGTTTCAGGGAACATCTGTCTTATCACCAATTATACCATTTAGTTTCGTGATAGTACCAGCTTTTATAATATATAGAAAAAGTGCTGAACACGTCTATGAAAATCATCCAGCCTTGTACATACTTGCGTTTGGAATGGTTGCGGCTAAAGTTACCAATAGATTAGTGGTATGTATATATTGATATTTTGTTTTATTGAATAATATTTATATGAATATCATTAATTTATATTTCTTGCTTTTTTATCAGGTTGCTCATATGACCAAAAATGAGATGCAATATTTGGACAGTTCCCTGATTGGCCCAGCTATGCTGTTCCTCAATCAATATTTCAATTTTTTTATCAAGGAGTATTACGTTCTTTGGCTGTGCTTCGTAAGTTGTGCATTTTACATCTGTTGACGATTCGATTTTACAAAACATGTCGATTTTTTTAAAGTAATGTACTATACATGTTTAGATCTGGGTTACTCTGGATCTCTTCCGCTATAGTGCTCAAGTATGTCTTGAAATATGCGATCACATGAAGATCAAGCTATTCAGGATACCATGCGATCATCATACAAGCACTATGCAGATTTCTAACGCCGCCGAGAAAAATGGTACTAATAGGTCACAACGTAACAGATTGCATAAGAAACATCACTAGAGTTAACTAGTGATAATGAATGCTCTGTATGATTCGTCTGACGCGTGTATTGTATAAAAGAGATTGTAACAAACATATATAAACATTTGACAAGTTCGTGTATATAGATATTCGAATAGTACAGTTCATTTATTATCACGTTTAATTTATGATCTATCGCGTTTCACACAGACTAGTACGAATAATATTTATGATTAAAGTCTTGATTGAAACTGATTAGAGCAATTATCATGAACTTTCAATACAATGTATGATCAAATTAAGAAAACGTCGCTCGATGGTGTAACAAGAATAGTATTCACTTCGTACTCATCTAAGATAAGAAAGTGATAAATTATATCACTTCTATATCCCATATGCAAAGAGGCACGATGTACATCTAGATGAGGATGTTATGAGATGTTTTTTTTATATCAATTGCATTATTGATTATTATTAATCAAAGATTTTTAAATATCGATTAATTATTTCATTTTGATATATGTACCTTCTTTATTGCTGTAGGATACTCGTTATAACATAATAGAAATTATGCATCAAATGCAAGATTCAAAATCAAAATGAAAACATCATTTATAAATAACTCTAGTCGTTCGAAAATTAAGGTCAGATTGTTTTCTAAATGCTAGATCAATAATTTGTTTGTTTTTTTCTTTTTTTTAACAAGATGATGAAAGAGATTTATGGAGTTATTTTCATCATTTGATAACAATTTTATAAAATACGTTTTTAAAGATGTCTATTAAATATTAAATTTTTTACTTCAGTTTATCAAAGAATGTAATTAATAAGAAAGAATTAATATGTTTGGGAATATATAAATTTACTTGTATTTGTAGAGAATACAAACAGCTTTTTTCAAAATATGATGTTTATTAAGTATAACAAATTGTACAAATTTTCTTTCAAAATCTATATCTTGATAACGTGAAATGCGTCATGAACATTTTCTATTTCTGCTTTTATGCGTGTGTCTGTGTATTTGATAAAAAGAACAATTTAAAATGAAGAAAGGGTACTGAATTGTGCGAGATATGTCAGATTAATGCAAAGAGGCTAAAGAGAGTCACGGTTTTGCACTAGATACGTTTGTTTACTTCTTTACGACAATAGATACGATTAAGATGAATCTTTTATTAAGAGATTCTTTACGTAATTGTCACATTCTGAGAAGCGTGTATAAATATACATTTTACACGAAACGTTACAAGCAAATGGCAGATACATGCTTAATTATTATTTATATATTATATTACATGTGTAATTTTATTAGAATATTTCCTCTTGTGCTAAATAATAAGTACCTAAATTTTTATAATATTAAATTTATTAGATATTATAAACTGCAAAAATTTAGTGTATGATAGATATTCAAAATGTGAAATGTTAATAATTTTTCTATTGTAGTATTCCTTTCTCTAAAGAAATATTACTTTAGGAGGAAATAATATAACAAAGGGAATGGTTTTTTATTGACAAAATCTCTATTGTGATAGCTTTTCTTTAAGATTAAAATCTTATTTTTTCATTTAAACAAATTATTGTTGTAAATAGATGAAGTGGAGCAGATATAAATGACTACTCTAACTATAATTATGTTCCTTTGAAGACAGTACTGTAAACGTTACATTGAATGAAATGTGTAATTTTAGCAAACTGTACCATATTTGTCGAGTTTTGTTTCTTCACTGTATTATATATTTTGGATAAATGAATTTATACTGTGTGATATATTATTTTTTATTCTAATTTAACCAGACTCGTTAAAAACTTTTTTTGGAAGAATGAATTTATTCAAGTCTTACTCGCGCAACAAATCTAATCTGTTGTATCACGCCATGTCCAGAAAATAGTGTTATTAAAAAATAATAAATTTATTCGCTGGATATGTACTAACAACAAAAAATTTAATATTGCGGTGTATTTCATGCTTAAAAAAAGAAAAAATTGGTAAAAATAAAAGAAACAAATATAAAATTATTATACATAAATATCACACGAAAAGTTAATGTGTGCATGTCTTCTGCTCTTCTGCTTCATCTAAAATCTTTGTTATTTCTGCAAAACTCGCTTAAGACGTAACATGAGAAGGTAATGTGATTATCGTTATGAGAATCTATATATTGGGATCTATATATTGGGATTCAAATATAAATATTTCCTTTTATATTAGGAAAATGCATTACTGATATAAATATCTTATATATATTAATGTAATATCAGTATGTATTATGTGTGCACGTTACGAATAGTGAACTGTTACCAGCTTCTTGTTCTCATTGTTATTTGCATGTGCTATTAAGTTTTTTGTTTTTTTTGAACGATTAACTTCAGTTAATTCGCAAAAATACATCTGCAAAATAAAATTAATGCGGGCAACTAATGTTTTACATTTACTATTATATATTATTTTTTCAATACGAATAAAAAAATACTAGAAAATTGCAAATTAAAAGTTGACATATTATAAATTTTATATTATAAATTATCTTATTCATTTTATATTATAAATAATATTATCTTAGTTTTAATCAATGTAAAATAAACAATGATAGTTATGTTGATAGTTGCATGGCAAAGTTTATTTTTTTCATTTCTTTAATTAAAAGAAATTCTTTTTTTTATTTTAATATATTTTCTTTAATATTATGAATAAATTATAAATTTTCTACCTCGTATAAAAATACGAAGAATTTTGCATGGCTTTTTATGTAGCATGTTATACATGTCAGAATTATTTTTTGCATGTTGTTCTGCCTGCTGCTTGGATTTTTTTTCAAGTTATTGCGAGAACAATACATATGAAAGATTCCAGAAATGGTGTATAATATTGATACAATAGAGTGGTGTATATTTCCATGTGTTTTGCAGAAAAATTAAAATTGATTAGATGAACGTATCTGGAATTGAGAATTATAGAAGCGTTTATGAGATGAAAGAAATTTATATTCTCCGATTTTATTGCATTTAAGAATGTTCCATTTTTATTTTTATTCTTTTATACTTTTTGTAAGAAACGAGCTAATTCTTCATTAAAAAAATGTTCACGCAAATTATTTAAATTTTTGCGGAAATAATATTGCAGTTTTATCGCGAAATCTGAAAAGCGGAGAATTTCGTTTCTATAACGCTTCAATTCTGTATCGTTATGTGAACATATTCTCAAGTCCGCCAAATTTAAATATCTGCCAAAAAATGTTGTCAAAGATATTAGATATAGAGAACATATTTTAGGATATATGTGTCGTAATATGTTTGTATTCGTTGGTATGCATGACAAGTTTTGTTCGCAGTTCACATGATGGTGGAGGAAGAGCCGCTATTAGACGAGGATCATCATTATGGATCCGATACGACCGTAGACCTCTGATACATTAATTATTGTTACTCGGTTCTACACGACTTAAACTGCAATAACATTAGATTGATTGTAATCGGCGGATTAATAAAGCGCGTTCATTTCGCGCGCGATTATCGTCCGATAATGTTACAAACGATGTTACAAATGATCACCGAAATAGGAATACTCGACGATACATGAAGGAAAGATTTATCTGTCTCGTCTTACGAATGTACGACGCATATTTTGCATACGTATTTGCGTATAAAAAGAAGAAAGATTATCTCGCATCTTTTTTATATCGCAATATTTTTTGTACATTATTTAAATGATATATATAATATATGCAGATTAGAAATGAAATTTTTAACGAAAACAGTACAAAGTGCGCAAGTTTAGCAATACAATTGAATCGTCGTCGATGACAATGATATGATACTCTCCGACGTGTTTGTAACAATTGTACCGAGTTTGCATTTATGAGCTGCAATTAAAATCGCTTTTTGCATTTGTTGAATCGGTATTATACTTAAAGGATACTACTTAAACTATTGTATAGGAGCAAAAAGAGATGTATTTCATATATACTCGCTTTCAAATATAGGTGCAATCTTTTCGCGTAACATGCGGTATTTGAAGAAACTTGCAGGAATATTGCATTTGTATTCTGAGGAAAATGTATATATGAATGAATAATTGTCGCGTTGATATTATATTAAAAAAAAGAGATTTGTTAAATCTTTGAGATAAAATATTATCGATATTTAGTCTCTTAGATGAATTAATTGAAATTTAAAAATTAAGTCTGATGATATATATAATATTACATAAGACTAAATGGAAATATTAGTATTTTGACTAAATATTAAAACAATATTTGATTTAGTGATTCGCCGTTTTAATATGATCGCTTGTAATGCAGGATTAATCTTTTAGGCAGCGATCATGTAGAGAGAATTGTTAATAGATCACATATATTTTATACAAATAATATAGTAATGTGCGTAAGGAAAAGTAAGCTTTCTCCGAAAGCTTGCAGGAGATCGTTAAATATTTATGTAAGCTGGTAAAATGAACGAACACTACAGTATTATATGTATTAATTATAGTTTTTAATTACTTTGCGAATCTATATATAGCAATATATCTATCTCTATCTCTATTTTGATTATATTTGCACGTGAAAATTTTCTTCTTATAGTTACAAAAATTAAATCTAACAAACGAACGTTAGATTTTTATTTCTCATCGGCGAAATAATGAAATATTTGCGACCTAATCTGTGGTGTTCGCACAGCGTAAGATAATTTGCTGTCGCGTTGTAAATACAGGTACTAAGATATTTTTATCTTAACGCAAGTCGTAATTTATTATTGATAATTGATACACTATTTAATAAAGTTTATACGAATGTAATAACGAATTTTCTCTTTTAAGGATTTTCCTCAAAATATATCCAAGAAGGGAAAGCGAAAGAATATAATTAATTTTCCAAATTAGTTTCTAGTAGTTTGTTTTTTTTTTTTTTTCAGAAAAATTTGTTAAGTCTCGTAACAGAGAGAAATGTATTTTATTCCACTCTTTTGTATGGATTTTTTAATTCCACACGTGTACTTTTAATCTCTCTAATCTCTCGCTTATATATGCGTTACATCGAATATATAAGAGATATACATATATATATATATATATATATATTAAATAATATATTAAATTATATTAAATTAAAACGGAGGTAGCGAGGTAAATTTACTAATGTCTACAAATTATCGCACAGAAATGAGCGAGCTGTTATTATTCGTCGCGTCATTAGCATAAGCTTCGGAACCAGGTCACGACCCGTCGACCCTCCGTTAAAGAATTTCCACGTGGAGTTATTCTGTACACAGCTGAAAGCAAACGTCAAAGGACGGCAACCTTGTCCTTCGTCATCTGCCTTCGGCCGCACGTCTCTACGTATCGTCAGACTCGATATCCAGTCGACGACGCCCGCAAGGTTCTGGCCCCATTTCCGCACCCTCGGTCTTCCTCCACGCACCCCCAGACATTCAGCTGAACCTGACGGGGCGTTATTGATCCGGCTGGTGACGCCGCGGGAGTACGCCAACCGGGCCAAGGGACGTATTTCTGGATACGCAGGGCCAAATTAAGAAGCTTTGTCTAAAGCTTCTCTTAAGCTTTCATAATTGGAGACGTTCAAAGCGATATTGAGGAGAAAAAATCAAGACAACGCGCTTTTCAATTCGTTACGAGTTTGCTCTAATTTTCTGACACGTGTTGATGGAACTTTAATTTTTTTTATTGAGTAGATTGGATTTAGGTGGTGATTTGAGAGTTAACTCTTCAAACGAGGAAACGAAAAAAAAAAAAAAAATTATGATGTTGATGAGATCTAGAGACCTCGTCGGATTTTATTCTGTTCAAATGTCAAGTGGAAATATGATATGAAATATTAGCCAATGATATATATATATATAAGAAATACGAGAAATATGATTTGCCGACTTTATTTGATCTTACTGCATGGATGACTGGTAGATTGAGATGAAATGCTCCTGCAAAAAAAATAACAAGACGAAAAATGAGATATAGTACATTTATTCCCTCGTGAAAATAAACTTGGAAAAAAATTGGACTTGATATTTAAAAAATTTTTTAGATAATCATATCAACTAAAGATATATATTATGCGAAAGCTACATTGAAAAAAATTTGTTAACTCTTGACTAAACCTTTCAATTAAATATTATTTTATTAATTGAACGTGTAAAAATATTTAAATTAAATATAACAAATTTTTTTAGTGTAGGGTCGTATGGAATATTGTGCTTTTAAAATCCTTAGTATCACCACAAGCAAATTGTAAAAATATTTAAATTAAATATAACAAATTTTTTTTAGTGTAGGGTCGTATGAAATATTGTGCTTTTAAAATCCTTAGTATCACCAAGCAAATTGATATATAATCTTTTATAGGAGATAAAAATTTCGTAATCTAAAATATGCAAAATGATGGATGTGGTCCATATATTTTTCTACATATTGTGCATTTTATACGAAGAAATGTACGATCTGTATATTACATACATTCTATATATTCTATACGAAAAAATCAATATATGGTCTATTATATACATATATATATATATATATATATATATATATATATATATATACACGAAGGAGAGAGTTCAAGGCAATTCACAGAACTGAAAGCTGGCTTTGAGCCAACGTGCCCTATTCATTAATCAGTCGCGCTTCGGTGGACTCAGGTGACGGAAAGGGAAAGAGATATCGGGAAACGCGACGATAATGAGAAAAAAAAGGATAAAAATGCCGAGAACGGAAATTCACTATCCGAAGAACGGAATCGGGGGCGTTTAGCGCCGGTCCTGCGGAGGAAGACGTCTGCGCCTGCCTGGCGAACCATCTCCGGCGAACGATCGGCGACGGCGCCGACGTCGACGCGGCTGCGGGATCTCCGGGGCGCGCCAGTGCGATATCGCCATTCGACTGATACGGGCGGAATATCGTCGGCGTGCGGACATGCTGGTCGGACGAGGACGTTGTGCGGTCGTTCTCCACGTTAACGTGCGCTGCAAAATGTAAGTGGAAGCGACCCAAGCAGCAAACTGACGTCATTTTCACGTCTAATGACGTCATTTTCACGTTCAATCGCGTCGGTTTGCTACTTTTGGGGAGTAACGAGTGGACGTTCTTCTTCGGCGAGGATGAGAGAGATTTTCAGAAAAAAACTTCGAAATGAAGCTCGACGTAAATTTAACGCGTCTCTTTTTTCTCGTACTCAAAAATCGATCGAGGTGCGATCGATTCGATTGAAAAGCTTTTCCCGGGTATATCGGAAAGATAAAATTTCTTCTCCCTGATAGAACTCGTTCGTGGTTCGGGATCGATAGTTTAATTGACGTCGTGTATTTTTGGGGGGAACTCGAAGTTCATTTTAATAAATAATTTTTTCGCGCGCAAGTGATTGAGGTAAGATCTCCAAATAATCGATATTTTTTCCTTCGAATCGCGAGATAAAAAATTATCGATATATTTGCGACTATGCTTTTCTTGCTCTTTCGAAAATTAAGATTTTTCCAAATTAATTAATCAAATTTTCCACGTAGATTTTATTAAAATCGACGTACTTCGAGTCGATATTACAATCGAATTCACTTCGGAGTAGCTGCTTGACAAGGTCAGTACTATCGTGTGTGTCTTATCAAAACAGATTGGTCGCAGATGGTATTATTTAATATCGCAGCTGAGTGTAAATTTACGACCTACGAGAGGAAATAAATTCTGGATAACATAATTAGGTGTCTTCGCACCTCTTTCGGCGATTCCATTCGTATTTCAGAAACGTGGATCGAGTAATTGTAAATAAAGTGCGCTCGAGAAGTTGGAAAATTTTGCGAAATGTTTATGAATAATTCAATGTAATTTGTAACTTAATAACAAACTTTTCTCGAAGACTTTTATCTCGATCAATTTTATAGTCAGTTTTGCTGTATATTTATATGGTTTATACATACAAATATATAATATATATATATTTATATAGCTCATATATAAAAATATATGTAATTTATTTCTTTCGTGTCAATGTATCGTTTCCGTTTATAGAATGTTGTATAATCTTTCAGATTAATGTGTGAAAGCTCGTATTCAACTTTTAATCATGAGATTAGAAGCCCTTTTAATGTTGTATATTGATTTCAAGTATCACGAATAAATTTATATAGGCGAAAGCTGTATTAATGATGCATAAATGTCTCGTCAAGATTGGAAATTTTAATGTCACCATCATATAAATTTAAAAACTTGACCTTTTCAAATTTTTTATCGTTCTAAAACTGAAAGATTTATAATGATGTAGTCTACTTTTAGAAACTCGAAGAAATGAATTTTAAATGTAACTTTCTCAACTTCTCAAATTTCAAATATTGCTCTCGAATTTTTAAATTTCTCGAGTTTCTTCCTCGAGAAAAGAATTACACTGTCGCACTGAATTTTCAAACGAGTGCATCCAAGCAAATAATACAGAAAAACTAAGATTAAAAAAACGAGAAAAACTGAAAAGAATCTAAATATTACTAGCCAATTCTTCAGTCAAGTAGTTGAATTGTTTAAGAACGCGAAACACGCTGAAGAGACACATTCTTTAGAGATTTTGCGTTGTCAAAGACGTTGAGTCGACATACATATGCATTGTCCCTGCCGTTAATCGCCTGACGTGCAATGTAATCACACGGAAGTACGTGGCTTCGTCTGCACACATGACGTACGTTCGTTTCCTCGCGTTATGCCGCGGCGCGAAAATACGAGAGAAGGCTCGATATCTCGCACATTAAAAAACGGGGCGCGCGTGCAATAAGCGGCCTCGCTCTCTCGACACGGTGACACAGATATCCTTTTGGGTCTTCGGAATCATCGATCTCTCCTTCCGACTACTGCCCTACGGCCTCCCTTCGTGGCTCTGCCCTCTTCTTCGTGATTCAAAAAATCAACTCACGTCCCGGCAATTCTGAAATAATTACAATTTTTTTTATTAATCTCTCGACCTGACTTTGATAAAATTTTTATATAGAATTTATAAAGATAATAAATAAAATAATCACAAGACGTTAAAAAAAGCGGGACATCTCTTTGTGAAAATTTAATTTCTACCTGTGGGTGGGCAAAAATTTTAATTAGTCGGAAAAGTTGAAATGCAAATAAAAAACGGGAGCGTTAATTAACTAGGCAAACATTCAAATTTATTTATTCGCAGGTGGAATAAATAAGCGAGAGAATGGTGCAATCATGATTCAAGTTGAAAACGATCCTGAAGAGAGTTTAGAGGCTCGGCTGTCCTATATACACTGTGTAGAGCGGTGACACAGCCGTACAGATCACAATCATGGATATACAGAAGAAGTTCCTGTGCCCCCGTTTGGTGGATTATCTCGCCATTGTGGGGGCCAGGACGCCCGCTGCCTCTCGTCAGCCCGTACAGGTACAATAAATATACCCAGTGTTGTGCTTAGATGATTTTAAAATTAGCTGGAGATGAGATAAAAATATGTCAATTTATCGTAGACAAGATGAAGATGACTTTGTTTTAAATATATCTAGATAAAATTATATGGCGATTCACATCCAGATAACCTTCCAAATAATATTATTTTTAAGATTCACGTAAACACATTTATTTAAAAAATATAAATTATAGAAGAGATATAAAAATATATATTTCTGTTGTTATTTGTAAGTTTTTTTTAGTGCTTACTTCTGCTACTTGACAAAAATATTTAAGTATTTTTATGTGCTATGACCCTAAACCAAATATTCTACATAATTTAATAAAGATAACACTTTTTTTTATCTACGCGATGCAGATATAAATAATATATATTTTTATTATCTACATAAAAATAAAATGACACCAAAATTTCATCTGGATGATCATCTATATAATTTTATTTAGATAACAGCAAACACTGCGACAACGCACCTATAGGAATAAACTCGTTTGCAAGGTTTTACATCCATCGATATCGCGATGAAGCTTACACTAAATCTATACAGTTAATCTCTTAAAAAATTAGAATATATAAAAAAAGAATTTGATTGAAAAAGAGAAGATGTATATAATAACTTCGCTCTTTGATAGGTCCCGGAATTGCTGCGCAGATATCCGGTGGAGGATCACAAGGATTTTCCTCTGCCTCTGGATATGGTGTATTTCTGCCAACCGGAAGGTTGCAGTAACATGGGACCAAAACGCACGGCCTTACGAGAGGCGACATCATTCACCTTCACCCTCACTGATAAAGATTCAGGTGCGGAATCTCTCACACACATACGTACATACAGGGTGTATCTAGATAAATGCGAAAAATTTTAAGAAACGTTTGTAGAAAATTAAGGAGAGTTTCTTACATCCCTCTCTGAGGAGTTACACTTTTTTAAAGAGGGAGATCAAAATCAAGTTTTTATTTTTTTCTCAATATTTCAGACAAATTAAAAAAAATGAAACTTGATGGATATATTTTCCACTAATAAAAAGGATATTTATTAATATTTTTTTAAACTTAATTTAAAGAAACCTCCCTTAATTATCGACAAAGAATCATCTCCTAAAATTTTTCGCTTATTTAGATACACCCTGTATATACATTGTATAAAATTGTTAAAATACTATAAAAATTATTCGATAAAATGCAGGAAAAACGCGTTACGGGATCTGTGTGAATTTTTATCGACCTATCGAAAAAGCGGGGATGATGGCTGGCGGAGGAATTCCGCTCAAAAGGGAAAAATACAACACCACGTTTCGAAGGGAGAGTTGGAGGAAGAGTATGGAGAGAAGCACGGATTCCGCTTTTTCTAGGTGAAATGGCTTATAATTATTTGTTTCTTCTTCGTTTAATCTCTATAATTGAGATTGACGAAAATCAGTATAAAAATCAGTATTCCTGCCAAATATATTTCCGACATATAATAACAATAAAAAATCCCTCTCACTTCCCAAAATTAAAAATTAAAAGTTCGTTGACAGGAAAAAAAAATGATTTAAATGACCAGGGTGTAATAATACACACTCGATAGAGAGTTCCGTTTATAAGACTGTATCTCTAGCCGTTCGTTATAGCGACTATAGGAGCAGTGCAGTAGGTCCTAGTGATTCTGAGAGAGATTGCTCCAGCAGCAGAAGGGATTCGGACACCCCACAAGTCCCCCACGCTCCGAGATTGGAATTCATCGCACCGAGCGGAGACAGCGAAAGCGGAGGCAGTCATTCCCCATCGCCACGCGCTTCTCGAAGACGTCAGGTCGATATTTCTTAATTATTTTTATCGATTATATATATATATATATTTTTTTTTGCGCTTGAAATAATTTTTTATCAATATCCTTATAATTAATCATTTAAATTCCAATTTAATTAATTTAGAAAATGTCAGAATAATTAAAGACAAGTTTTTAATTAAATTCTTGTCTAACTAATGCTTCAGTAATGCATTAGTGTCAATAATTTTCTACTAAAGTTGTATTAACATCAATTCTTTATAATGTCTTCGACAGAGGGTTCGCAATCATTCCTTGACTTCGCTCTGCATCATCTCGCATCATCCGTTCTTCACGATGTTCCGGGAATGTCTTTTCGTTCTGAAGAAGATCATCGACGCGTGCAACGAGAGTTTCTCACCGCAAAAAGTGGGAGCCTCTCGACAAACCAACAGGTGCGTCGAGATCTTATTTTTATTTTCCGATGTATAATCTTTTGAGGGAATTTACGAAAGTATTCATATTGAATCCTACCTTACAGAGACACGGTGTGGAGCGTTCTTACGGGTCAGGCTCTGGGAGACACGCCGTCCATCGTGCTTCACGACGTTCGCGAGATCGAGACGTGGATATTGCGCTTGCTCAGCAGTCCCGTTCCTGTTCCGGCGAAGACGCGCGTCGAGGTCGAGATAATATCGCCCAATTTGCAGCCCCCACTCTGCTTCGCCTTGCCGGATCATACCAGGTTCACCCTGGTCGACTTTCCTCTGCATCTACCCTTAGAGTTACTCGGCGTCGATATATGTCTGAAGGTCCTCACGCTGATCCTCCTGGAGAACAAGGTGCGAACACGCAGATATAAATTGAAGAAATATATCATTGAACACATCTAATAAAAAATATACATGTACTTTGGATATGCATGATTATATTAAAAATCACACACCTATATAGATAGTGGGCAGAATCACGATTGACACTTTTGATTTTCAGATCGTACTTCAATCTCGAGATTACAACGCTCTGTCCATGTCAGTGATGGCGTTTGTCACGATGATCTATCCCTTAGAATATATGTTTCCCGCGATACCCTTGTTACCCACATGCATGAGTTGCGCGGAACAATTATTGCTCGCGCCAACGCCCTTCGTGATCGGGATACCCGCGTCCTTCTTGCTGTACAAGAAGAACTTCAAGATGCCCGACGATATCTGGCTGGTGGATTTGGATAGCAATAAAATAACGGCACCGAGCTCTTTGAACGAGGACTGTCTGCCGCCGTTGCCGGAACCGGAGGGTACCATATTGAAGAATCATCTGAAACAGGTAATATAATATCGGCAGTAATTGACGATACCAAGGTCGTAAACTTTCGTAATTACAAAATTAAACGATGAAGAATAAAATGATGTAATTTAATGACTCGTTACCCTCACCGCAGGCAATGCAACTGATGGATCAAGTTGGCTCTAGTGTAAATATTTATTACAATTCTCAGTCCGCTTGGTGGCATATTCTTTATTTTGTAGTTAACGGCATGCATGATTTATCACGTAAAGAGTCGAATTCGCCACACGCATTCACCAAAGTATTAAAATAAAAATTGTAAATAGCAATAGTAGAAAGAATAAATTTGTAGTTTCTTTTTTTTTTAAAAGTTGAAAATTGTTTCACAATGTTAAATAAAAATTTTATTTCGTAATGGCCCTCACCGCTTTTTGTTTGTAGATTAATGAAAGTAGAATTTAGAGCAGTAAAACCGCAATAAAGCAATGAGCATTGCAACAAGCTGCAGTTTCATTGATTCAATTGATTCCATTTAATGCATTTTCCAGGCAATGGCCAGTATGGCAGGCCCACCATTGCTCCCGCAGGACATCTCGCCACGTCTCTCTTTTCAAGCACCAAGTAGAAGAGAAAGCGTGGCATCGCATCACTCTACCTTAAGGTACGATTTAATTTCCTCGTCAACTTAAAACATTTTTATTAGAGTAACATAAGACATCTTTAACAAATCTTATAATATCAAAAAAATCTTAAAGATATCTTACGCATTAATTTTGGACATGTCTGGGAAACTATTATATTACTAATTATTATGTGTATTACTAATTGTAAAAGGCTGTATATTGTAGTTGTGCTATATATTACTATTTGTAATCTCATTAATACTTTTGCAGCGATTACTAAAATATGTTTGATGTCAATAATACCTTACAGCGTAGCTTCGACGAAACACAGACCCAGCATCGATCAGTGCGCGCATGTTCAGCATAGTCCGCTGAATTCGCCGAGCGTGAGCTCGTCGTCGAGTCCTCCTCGTAGGCCGTCGATGTCACCAACGGTCGGAGGATCCGGGCCGGCATCCGGCCCGCATCCGTTGAAGGCAGTCGGACAAAGTCCGGCACCCTTCAATCCGTTCATCTACGGAAATGACGTGGACTCGGTCGACATTGCCACGCGAGTCGCCATAGTGCGATTCTTTAATTCGCAAAATTTATTGGCCAACTTTACCGAGCACACGCGCACCTTGAGGCTGTATCCCCGGCCGGTGGTCGCCTTCCAGATCAACTCGTTCCTCCGCTCGCGACCCAGGAAGAGCAGTTTCCTCAACAAGTTCGCGCGCACGCAGGCGGTCGAGTTCCTGGCCGAGTGGTCCCTCACGCCGAGCAATGTGGCCTTTCTCCGGGTGCAAACGGGGGTGTTTGATCCCGCGCAGATCGGCGATAAGCCGCGCTGGTACGCGACGAACCTCGAACCGATCTACTTTCCCGTTTGGGACTCCGGTAGCTCCCTGGCGAACGCCTTGAAGGCGATGAGGGAGCACGAGAGTCAACCTACGGATGAAAGTGGCTCCGATTCGGAGGGTGCTGAGAGCACGAGTTCCTCATATTCCTCCTTGAGCGACTTCGTCTCTGAGATGGCCTCTTCCGATCTATCGCCAGGCGAGTATTTCCATGGGAAGTCCTTTTTTCTTCTGTAATAAAATTTGTAAACATTTTTATTTTAATTTTATACAGAAAGAATTTTTTCTTAGAATTTGACCTGAAAAAAATCATGGTAATCGTGGGACAATATATGGTATCGAAAGAATTTTATAAGAGTTTCTCTGATTAATATTTTTAGCACAATAAGATATAAAAAATACATTTGATTAATTTTACTAAAATATATAGTAAAATTTCAATTTTAAGATATATTAAAAACTATGTTAAAAACATATTATTCGTTAAATGTTTTTAAATAGAATAGATGCCAAAAAAGTGATAAACATAAAATATGTTATATAAATTTTAAAATGCAGCATCTTTTCTACCCAGCTTAATCGCTGACGATAATTTATGTAGTATGGTAATTTTCTTATTACTAAACATGATTCAATAATTTGTAGTGAATTTTGTGGTATAACGAAAAATTCCCTTCGTGTACAATACTTTTAATAAAATGTATATATTTGTACATATTACCGATATAAATGTTTGAAAATTATATATGATTAAATATTAAAAATTTTTTAATACTATAATTATTTAGTATTTTAATATATTGATTACTTTTTTGCACGTAGGTTACAATTGTCCGCAAGCGACCCAGCCTCAACAAATGTCGCTTTCGGTAGATCCGAAGAATGTCTACAACCCTCCGAGTTCCCTCCAATATCCGGGAGTGGAAGAAGATTCACCGGCACGACCCGAGAGTCCACCGAGCACTTCTTCTAGTCACAGCGATCTGAGCAGTCCGAGCTTTAACAGGGATTCCGAACTTGAATTAAATCCGAAAGTTCACGAAGGCTCGCAGTCTACTAATGTAAGTGTATCAGCTTCTTTCTTTGCAATCTCTCTTGTTTCTCTATCTGTCTCTCCTCTTTTTCTATATATGCACTACCTTTTGCTTAATAATACATTACGAATAACTTATGTATATGTAATTACGATTTACATTGTGCAATCGTATATATATACACACATGCGACATCAAAATCTAAAAATTAAAAATAATCGATTTCATAATTATTGTTATAAAAAACACATAACAGTAATTTTTATTCATCAACAATTTTAAAATAATATATTCATCAGAATAATTTCCATCGTAATTGCTCCATTTTTTAAATCGCTCAATCGGCACACGCATAATAGGTGATTCATATATAAATGCGATGGCTATAAAAAAGATACATAGCGTAAGCGAGTAATTTACGAAATAATAAATCGGATTAGTACGCTAACGAATTACTTGATCATAGGATAAAGAGGAGGGTGGTAGCTTTGAGTCAGACTCCGCGTCGACAATAACACCGCGCACAATCCTGAGCGCACAAAGTTCGGTAGGACAGTTCACAGGGATGGGATCTTTAAGCACTCAATCTTCGCTCAACGACACTGAACGTCCTGCCGCTCCTCACAGGACCTCACGTGTCAGTAGATATGTCACTCCTGTGAGTCTCATCTTCATGTTACCTTTAACTACTCTGTCATTCGAATGTCTCTACGCTCGAGTTTTACACTCCGGGCTGCGATGCATGATAGATGAATTGAACAGCGGGGTAAATGGAATTTGTGAAAGTTGTGGAATGCTTGTCCTCGTCTCGTCTCTTCTTCTTCTTGCGTATTTTTAATCAAGGATATATTATTTGAAGAGAATGTTAGCTTCTCTATCCTTGATTTGCGTTTTATTTCCATGATCGTCGTTTGTAAGTCATTTTTACATTTGCTTCGAGACGTTTTTCTAGACACCTTTATCATTTCTTATCCTTTGCACGCTCGTCTTTTAAGATCGTATCAGATCTTACTCGCGTATCATATTCGGCACTAAATGTAGTTTTGTATAAATTTGAGTTGTCTTTGATTTCTAGTATTGTGTGATCGCACCACAATTTCTTCCTCAGCCTGAATACAATTTATTAAACTGCACATATTTTTTTATTTTATTTTTTCAAGATATTTGTGTGATGTTATTGCATATTAAGAGGTGCACATTTTTCTCACGTAAATGCCATCTACACATGAAATATACAGGTACATTTACATATACATTTTCTCATCTCTCCGTTAACGATACAGGTTCACAAATTAAAACTGTTATGTGTAAATTCGATTATTATGAGTTAAATATATATAATTTCCAGAAACACGATCGATATTTTCGATATATATACATACACATACACAAATGATGCACTGATGCACTGTTTAAGCTACAGTAAAAAATATAATTTATATATTATTAAGTGCGATATATTTTTCTTATAGTGATATTAAGCTTGTACGTTTTAACGTGACGTTTTTTGTTGAAGCATGAAACTAAACATTATTATATTTAAAGATATCACGTATAAATATTTTATAAGTGTTACACGTTAATTAATGCATAACGTTTCAGAGAGAGAAAAAGAAAGTTCATTTATAAAAATTTTCGAGTTTTCTATTATAAAATCCTGTGTGCTTAAAAATTTACTATTAATAACATTTATATATATTAATATTAATTTATTAATAATAAAATTTTCAGGATATATTTTTCTGTCTTGCATTCTCTCTCGACAATATAAAAATTTTCCAGCTACGCGGGGTGAGAAAAGACTTTCGTAACCGATTGCTTAAGAAGAATGTTTGCTCTCTTCAAGAGAAAAATAACAGTCGTGAATGCTCGTGTACTTTTTTTCAGGTACCACCCACCGGACCAGGTCTACAACGTCAGCCGAGCGTTGGCAATGTCCTGGCGAGAGCCTCTAGTTTCAGCACCACGAGCGGGCCTCTTCTGCCGCGGCAGATAAGCGCCGTCACCGATCATCATCATGAATCGCTTCAGCTTCAACGTCAGACGTCGGCGGGATCGCCAGTTGCGCAGAAACAGAACGACGGTAGCATGGTGCAACGGCAGAACAGCGGCGGCAGCAGCACCAGCACCAGCACCACTACCGGAAACGGTGTTCTTCGACAGGGCTCGCAAGGTTCCCTGTTCGAGCAGATTGCCAGCCAAGCCAAGGACTTGGTACGCGAGACCACCAGGCAGAGCAGTCAGGATGGGCTACTCGCGCACATGGACAAGGTATTTACTGGGAAGATGTGGGCTGATGAGATGAGATATCCTGGTGCAAACTGTTCATTTTCTAAAATTTTATCAAATGACTACAGTTATACCTTTTTTTTATCTTGATGTAATATAAGTCATTTAATTTATCATTTATTTTTTTACTGTAGCTCAAGCATCAGGCAAAAGAAAAAATTACGGAGGCAGGCGAAGATAGTCTGTTTGCGCCGCTGGAGCAAGTATGTCTTTCTTTAACATTTCTACATAACGTTGATAAAATTAATATATGTTTAATTGCGATTTTTTTACATTCTAATTTTAATTAGTTAACGCAACAAACTAAGAAAGCAATGGGCGAGGCCACCAAGTCGGTGCAAGAAGCGTCTAAGACCGCGCTAGAGGCGAGCAAAACTGCTGCGGGTGTCAGTAAAAATACTTTGGACGATTTGACGTATGTCGGCAAGAGTACGTTCGGAGATTTGACGAAAAGTGCCAAAGAAGTCGCCGCGAAGAAGGGTTTGCTCAAGGTACAGGAAAGATGAATCTAAAATTTTAGACTCGCGCTATAAAATATACGAGAAGAGAAATCTATCTTATCTAAGATATCTAGCCGTATAATCGCTATTTATTTTTAATTAGGGCCTCGGAGAAACGCAACAAGCGCCAATACATACACCACAGTCTCCCAATATGACGCAGCAGCGAAAAGATTCGGTCAGCAATCAGCTGGTCGCATCAGATACGCGAAGCGGCGTCGGACGGGATTTCTTCAGCAATATTAGTAGCGATCTGAATGGCTTTGCCGCACAGACTAGTAGCATGTTCAGCGATTTGTTCGGTATGTTCTATATTTTTCTATTTTTATTTTTTATACTATTATAATAATTAAGAATTTGTAATGTCAAATATTCCGTGATAGGCCTCTATGAAATTTAGAAAAAGAAAATATATATTTTCCTAGGAAAGAAAAATTAAAATTTGTGCTATTCCGTTACTAATTTTTTGAGACTCCCTTCTTGTGTTTAAAAAAATTGTATCCTTAGATTTAATGCATCGAGGAAGAAGATCATTCAAAGAAAGAACAATAAATGATATTTAACTTACAGGTAGCAAAAATAATTCTAATCGAGGCAGTAGCTTCTTCCCGCAGAATCAGAAGTCAAAAGAGAAGATAAATCCGATTCTTGCACCATTTCCTAAAGGTACGAGCAATGTTGAGACGTTTCCGATTAATTTGTTGAATCTGAAAATAAAGTTCAGCATGATATAATATAAATGTATATTAACAGTTGCAGGAAAGACGGGATTGGTAGAACGTTCCTCGTTAATAAAGCATTCTTCGCACAAAGTTAATCAGGAAGACGCGCAGAGAATGCAAAACGCGGAACGTTCTAGCACAAATAGTGACAATCAAGCCTTCTTAAACGATGCAAGTATTCGTAAATGTTATTTTAATTCGTGATATAACAATTCCACTCAATTTTACGCTCTTCTGACGAATCTTTTTCAGGTGGTAACCCAAGTGTTGGCCGGCGAAGGCGTTGGTTGGTTAAAATTGAACAGATTAAAGAAGCTAATGGAGGATGAAAATTATAGGGATTTGGTCGTGACAAAGCTGAATAAGGGTCTAAATAGAAAGATTAGCCCAGATGATCATATTGATGATGTGGTAAACTTTTAATTACTATTAATTTTTAGATACAAATTATCCAAGAGTGAATTATCGCGTTTGTCAAATTAATTTGTATTCATTCTCGCATTAAACGCGCAATTAAATACTATTTGCTTTAATCTTTTATAGCCCATATCGAAACCCGTGTATAAGGGAATGTTAAAGTGCCTTCAAGCAGTAACGCATGGTCTTGCGCATACGTATAATAATTTCGGATTAGGCGGGATGGCCTCTGTCTTCCAACTGATGGAAATCGCTCACACTCACTACTGGAGCAAAGATCTGTCCGAAGGTGGTTTCGACGGTTCTTTGATGTCGCAGGTATAATTTTGAATATGATAATTTAATTTAAAATAAAAAGTTTTTAATTTTTAAATTTATAATTTAAGAATTTAACAATTAAAATTTCATTTTTTATATTTTTGCATATATACAATTTTTTATTATTAAGAAGGTACACGTACACTTGTGTTTTGCACAGGCATCTAGCCCATTCGGCAGTAGAGAAAACTTGAAGTCACCGCAATCTCCAAATCAGCCAGATTTTACGGATACTTCGCAAAAATCGGGTATGTTTTTTTTTTAAATATATAAGAGAATTGCGAGAAAATTTTTATTAATTCTCATTGCACTGCTATAAATTGGGACTAATTATATATTTCTGTTAAATTTTTGGAATAAACATCGACTTTGTCGATTTGAAAGATGCTTGACACGCATCTTAAATAAATGCATATTATAAACGAATTGATAATTGATAATATTTTTCGGGAAACATCAGAACCGCCGCAAGTGCATCTGGACATGCCGCAAGCACCGTCGACAGGGGATACGGGCCAATCGACTACGGACATATTTCTGGACATGTTTACGAAGAAGGGAAAATTTCTAAGCAAACTCACCTCGTTCGATTCGGAGGTAGAAAGAATTTCCGATTCATATATTTCAAACCTATTCGGACGATATTATTTTAATCCTTATTTTAAGCTCGAGTTTCAAGTTGATCCATAGTATAATAGACGTCGCAATAATACCGCAAGGGCGCGGTTTTTTGAAACTGGTAAAAAAAAAAACACGCCTCCGCCCGTCCTAAAACAGACGAGAATAATTATTATTTTTAATAGAATTGTACACGCTATCGGCTTTTTTTAGCGCAATTTCTCCTACAATCAGTAACAAAAAAAAAAAAAAAAAAGAAAAAATACAATAAATGTTTAACGTTTGATTGCAACGCACACGTGTCATGTGTTTTTTAGAGTGGGCGGGGTGGTGGAACGGGAAGCAGCGAAGCTTTATCCACAGATGGAGGTAGCATTATCACTAATCCTGCTTTTCGGCAAGCACACCAAGCTTCCTTTCGAAGCACCGTGTCTGATAGCGAGGTCGAGCAAGGCAATGTAAATTATCTACTGAATTAGTTACATATAGTTGTACATTTATATAGTTGTTATGTAATTATCTCGTAGTGCGCAATGCAACGCAACGCTAATTAGCATCGTCCATTCCCGTAAAATTAATCAACGATAGAGTTCAACTCGATCCATATATCCAGATCGTGTAACGTAAATCTCGAATGTGTCATGTATGTTGATTTTGTGTGTTAGCGAAATTAATGAAATTGTATGACACTCGAATGACTATAAGCACTTCAAGAAAAAAAATAAGTATAGAGTTTCTTCGTCCTTTGACATTGGACCATCTCGGATGTGTAGTCGATGCACTTGATGCAACACGAGCTTCCCGTAGTTTCGAGCACTCGAGTCGCACCAATCTCGGCATTTCTCAGATAGGAACACGAATGGACGCTGATAGATCGCATAGAGAATTATCGAAGGGTAATGCTGACGTGTTCATTGCAATTTAAATTATAATAAAAATTATGATATCAAAAAAAAAAAAAATTTTGTTTGTATGCACAGTTAGGTGTCTCTTCCGTTCATTACAAGTTACCCTTTGACCTTAGAGAGATGGCATTACGTCGCAATTAGCTATAATAAATATTTAAATAAATTTCTAGCTTGAATGTTTTATGGTGAATGTCAATCGAACAAACAAGTCAAGAACAAAGAGATATTTCTCTTTGAAAAATATATTATTGCTTTATTAAAATTTTTATAGATTTCTATTTAAAAATCTTTATCCTTGTCACGGCTATATTAATGTCGTTTTTACTCGATTCTGTGATTCTAGTTTCCTCGGCAAGGTAAGCAGCGTTCCGGCAGCGTATGGTCTAGCAAATCATCTCTGAGTACGGGATTCCGTTATCATGGCGGAAGTTTGATACCTACTACAAACTTACCAAGCCCAGAAGCTGCGAGAACGTATCTCTTCGAAGGTATACATTTTTTTTAACCGAATAAAAGTATCTCAGACAAATACAGAGTGTTGAAAAAAGGTAAAATATTTTAAGATTTATTAAACAGTTTATTTGCGCGAACTTATGTTTATTAAGACTTTTCAACTTACTTTTGAGCATACTAAATGCGCTTAAAATATTTTTTTTCTACACTCTATATTTAGCTAATCATTTTCTTGCGTATTAATAAACTTTGAAATCAAAATTATTATCGCAATTTTTTAGGTCTGCTTGGAAAGGAGAGATCGTCTTTATGGGACGAAATGCAATTCTGGGAGGACGCCTTTTTAGATGCGGTGTCGCAGGAACGCGATATGATGGGCATGGATCAAGGACCCGGAGAGATGGTGGAGAGGTAAGAAGCATCCATAAAATATTTCACAAAAATAAGAGACAACATAAATTCTGAAAAAAAATTCTTCGATTAATTTAAAATAAAAGATTAGAAAATTGCGGTAAAAAAATGTTGATTTTGTTCAACATTTCTGTTAAGAAAATATTATAATGGTACAATAAAAAAGATAAAAAATAATCAAAAATATTTTTAAAAAATATTACATGTGCGACACAGATACAAGACTTTAAGCGAAAGCGAAAGACGACGATTGGAGCACGAGGAAGATAGACTATTATGCACTCTGCTGCACAATCTCACCGCCGTTCTGGTAATGCTGAACGTTGAAAAGAACGAATTGAAACGGAAAGTACGCAGATTGTTGGGCAAGAGTCACATCGGCCTCATCTACAGCCAGGAATTGAATCTACTTCTCGATCAAATAAATAATCTCGTAAGTGTTCTGTCAGCGACTGTCAAAAAAACTGTCATCAACGTACCTTTCTTCTTTTTTCGCAGCACGGAAATGACATCGATCTGAAGCCTCTGACGTCACGACAAATGCATCGGCAGTCGTTTACCGTACATTCGGGTGTCGACGCTGAGGGTGAACTGCGATTTCTCGAGGTCCGCCACGATGGTCTCGTCCTGAGATCGGTGAACGGTGTGATAGTTGAACGCTGGTGGTACGAACGCGTTGTCAATATGACATATAGCCCAAAGAATAAGGTTTTGTGCTTGTGGAGGAGAAGCGGAGGCGATACGGAATTACACAAATATTACACCAAGAAGGTACGGTCCCTGAAAAAGAGATTAAACAAAAGAAGAAATTAATTCTATACCTCGCGTATAACATTTTTTTAATAATTTTAAATATCTATTTGTGAGAACAAAAAATAAAAAAAATTAAAGTATAAAATTTCCTAAAGACGTGTATAATTTTTTCTAAATACGTAGAAAAAAAATAAAATATACAATAAATATATATATATGAAACTTCAAGTTAGATGAATGTTTGCTGTCAAGACTGATTGCACCTGATGCTGTCTATAGAATATTAGATGTGTAATGAAGATGCAACGATTGTTTTGCAGTGTAAGGATGTGTACTATTGCATAAAGGATGCTATGGAAAAGGCGGCGGCTCGCGGACGAGGCCCGAATGTAGGCTACGAACTCGGGGGCGAATTTCCGGTGCAGGACATGCGAACGGGCGAGGGTGGACTCCTGCAGGTTTGCATGGAAGGCGTTGGTCTCCTCTTCGCGAACAGCAAGGTATGACCCGCACATTCGTGTAAAATTCGCACACTCCTCTTACGGCTGTGATTATTGCGAGGAGAATTGAAAGGTTCGGTTCTTTCTCTCTTTCTCTTTCACGAGGATTGTGCAAACTCACATTTATAAATATATATATATATATATATATATATAAATAAATATATATATAAATATATATATATATATATTTATATATATTTATACATATATATATATAATTTTTTTACGTCCAATTGTTTGTGTCATGTTGAATCGCATTTGACATCTTATTTAGGACTTTGATTTGACAATTATTATATCATTTTTCGCGCATAATAAAATACCATATTTCAATTATATATATATAAAATGTATTTTCTCTGGCCGATGTTTTAACGTTTTACTCTTTTTATCAATGCGTATAATATATATGATATATTTATTTCAGCCAGATCGAATATATGTCAGAGAATATGTTATGTTTCCACGAGCTACGGGTTCGAAAAAAAGAGAGAAAACATATCCTTTGTCTCGGCTCGATAACGATACTGAATAAATATTTAAATGGCACAGTTTTTTATCAAGGGGAAAAAATGTGCAAACACGCGACAACGTTAAATCTCGAATTGAATAGATCTCGTCGTCGTTTCTGTACCGCTCTTTTTGCCATTCATATTCTCTCGATCATTGAATATTCTCTCTCTGTGTTTTTTTTTTCATTATTGCATTGATGCAAGGACCACTCAATATTATCTCCCACTGCTACCCATTACAATCTGCTTAATTAATTTGTATCTCTGTACTGTGATTTATCGCGTGGTCGGTGATAGGACAAATTGGGCTCGTCGAAAGGTAGTTTATACCCGGCAAAAATATTCACTTGATTTATTCCCAAATTCGTAAAAAAAAAAAAGTTCATGTGTGTGATATCAGGATTTTTACCAGTATATCTCATGAAGAAATAATCCGCGAAAATTACGTACGCACGTACTTGTAATATAAATCTGTATCGATACAATTAGAGAGACTGTGTACAAGAAATGAAGAGATAGCAGAACTTTTCTTATTTTAGTAAGAGAAACGGACACTACAAACATATAATTACGCGTATATACAGAATGTTGCACAATGATCGCGTGTTTTCTTTTAATTGCAGATTCCTCGAGCAGATTTAATGAGTCAATTTTTTTCTTATAAAAATGTATGTGTTGTATATCACTTATTTCTTAATTATGCACGCGATAAATAATGAAAGTCTTTTCAACCAATTAAAGTCTCTTGAATTTGTTAATGTTTTTTGGTACACTTATTTTAATAAAATTTAATTTTCAAGTCTAGTTGACATTAAAATGTCTAACTTGTCTTGAAAAGGAGAAGATTATAAAAGTGATCTAGAAATGCAGAAATTATGAAAGAAAAAATTGATTCAAAATTGATCAAGGAATCTATAATTTTGAACGAAAGCACGCTTATTTTGGTATATATTCTGTATATGCACGTCAAGATATCTCACTTGAATATGGTCCACCTAAGCTTTGCAAATTTATTTTATTTTGCTTTTAATAAAAATATTCAATTAATTATATAATTTAGACGAAACAATATGATTGTAATTATCTCATAGATGGCAGAAAAATCACAAATCATATATAAAAATAGGCTCTATTGGATCATCTACAAGTCTGATTATCTATTTACACGCACATAACGCGTTTCATATATATACACACACACACATGCAACTCTTCAGCGGGAAAAACAGTTGTTTTACTTGTCGTTAAACATTCCGGAATAATCTCTGATTAATCTTTAATTAATCTTTCGTGATTGATATAACGACACTGATATCCACGCGGTTATTTTAATATTGTGTTCAGGCGTTATATAATCAATGTTTTCTTGCATGGAAGCTCGATGTGCAGTTGCAGACTCTTTTATCTGTATATTATATATATAATTATATATTATATTATATTTATATATCATTATACATTTTATATATATATATATATGAATATATATAGGAAATAAGGTATAGGGCGATATTATATATAAGATTGTCTTTTTTGAACACTATACTCCTATATCTTATCATTTGTATTGAATGTTGGATGCTATTATATTTTTTCCATAAGTCTAACAACTCTTTTATCTGTCGTGGTCATATATAATAACGCGAGGAAAGTCTATTCGTGATGAAGAAAAAAAAAAAGAAAAGAAGAAGAGAACAGAAGATGTAAAGTAGCGACAAAATATTGCGACCATACACAGATCGCTGTTTACTTCGACTGCTTAATTTATCGCGTCCGATAAAAGGATCGCGGATCTCATTAAAAATGCACATTTATATACATATATATATATTTGGCAGAATCTCTCGCGCGAATGACGAAATATCCGTGGGATATTACGCGCTCGGGATTCGATTATACCATATATTCATTCTCTGGATGATCGGGATGATAGACTTTTCTCAGCTTGGGGAACTTTTGAGATGGTCCTTGAACAATGAATATATATATATATACCCTTGCTGTTTATCCGATTGGCCATGACGTTAGGTGATAAAATGTAGCTGTAATATCATCGTGTACAGCTCTATCTATCTATTCTATCTCTATCTCTCTTATACTACATATATATATACTATATCTTAACTGAGTGGATAACTGCTGTTACCAAGGGTTTTAATTTTCTGTTTTTCTGTTTTCTGTTTTCTTGTCCCCGTCCATCGACATTGCCCTGCGCGGCTGGGCAAACAGGATTTCGAGGTATCAAATCACAATAAATCATTGTTTGTTATATAAATTCAGTATATATGACTAATATACTCAATGTTGGCCGTGTTCCGGAGATGCTTATTTATTTTTACCATTACTTTTGGCCGTATATTATTATTATTATTATTATTATTATTATTATTATTATTATCATTATATACTATATATATCTACCTACATTCTTAAATTGCATTCGAATTCACTGATCTGCTCTGTCTATCTTTACTGTTTTTTCTACGATCGATCGGTGTTAGTTGTAATATATATATATACGTATATGTATCTTCGTTACGATATATATATATATATATATATCGTAAAGCGCTGATACCTAAATTCAGGTAATCAGTAATGAACGATGAAATGCAGAACAGTGTTTGCCGCATATATATCAAAAGTCCGACAACATACTTTATATATTGTATATCGTTTAGATGAAATATTTGTAAGTAGTGTTTAGTGCAACTTGTAGAGCGATGTTCGATTTGCACACACAATGCAACTATATATATATCTATATAGCCTAATCACTCGTACATGAAAGTATACACAGTCATTATGTCACGATCATCATTTACAGCTTCCACCTATATTTTTACACACCGTATCGTTCGGTATTCGCAGATTAATATGTCCAGAAAAAAGATCGGTAGATCAATAACGCTAAAATACATTCTGGTTTATTTTTTTTTTACCAAATTTCTGAAAATAATTCTGCTCGACGAATCTCTGTTTTTTTTTTTCAATTGAAACTTGGAGTTGAAATAGAGGACAAGCGAAACGAGATCGCAAGTAGATGCGTGTAAAAATCGATCTGTGCTCGTAAGGGCAAGTTGTAGAATTTATGGTCTATAAAAGCTACTTTTTGTGTAAGATTTCAGAGACCATAAACTTCACACTTTAGCAATATATATACCCGTAGTGCCTCTCAACCATCTTTTACGTATGTCGTAGTCGACCAGCAGAATCGGGGGTGATATTTCTCAAGAGAAATTTAGATGTCTCCGAGAGAGTTACGTAAAATTAAATTGGCTCGTTAAAATTAATTACACAAAAGAAATGAATTACATAATAAAAGAATGCAATGTGAAGAAAGAGATTTAAGATAATTATTCGAGATACAAATAATTTTTGCCTAATTTGATAACATATATAATTTAAATAATTATGATTGCGAGAGAATCTTCCACGTCTTTTTGCGTGGATTTGAAAACCGCGGCTTCCAAAATAGTAAAAAAATAATTTAGAACTTTAAATTCAGCTGTATATGTTAAAGATATGCAAAATAAATGAGACAATAAAATAGAGAATATATGCTACCCGATTTATAAGGTCGTGATTACGTATATCGCTCAGAATCTACCTACATACTGCTAGTTATGTATAGTAGAGCAATGGTTTTCCTCGTGTTGTACAGTGGTCAACACATCGTATCGAAAGGGGATCATCTTCGAGATCATCGTAACGAAAACTCGCGTTAGCCTCTCAATCTCGATATTATGACACTTCTCTGGCATGGCACTGTTAACATAATGTTTCTTGTTTACGACATTTTATACCGAGAGTCTCTCTGATATATATATATATATATCCCTGTCGACAAGAGTGAACATTTCGTTATCACTCTATATCATCTCTCTCACCCCTTTTCTCTCGATCTCTATTGACATCCCCCAACCCACGATCGATATGTAAATCACAACCGTGCATCATTGTCGATCGAACCACGTCCACGTCGGTCTGTATTAGATGATACAATTGCACATTTAGCAAGTTATCGATGCTAAGCAATCAGTGACATTTTACGATTGAGTTTAGGCCATCTCCAGAGTTGCCTGCCGCTATATTTCGCTGATGTTGCGCCTGCCGCCGCTGATGCTGCTGTTTGTCGTCGTTGCTGCTCTGCTGCTAATCTCTTCTTTACAAATCGAATATATCGAGATTATGACTACTAAATGATGCATGGTGTCTTTGACGCATTTTTACTCGTAGAATAAATCTTAGATCGCTTATACGTCGCTTTGGCTCTTTCACCATAAGTTATTTTTGCAAAACTCAGTAGTAGCATAATTTTCTTGTTGTTGAATTTTATATTTTGTGGTATATATTAATTTACTTTATTAATCTGCTTAATTTTTCTGTAGAAATAATTGACACAAGAATATACACTTGTGTCAATATTTTTATATGATATGATTATACTATTGTTACTCTATTTTATATATAAACGTAGAATTTTGAATATATTTTTTCTTCAAATTCTTTTTTAATATTGTATGTTATTTAGTTTTAATCTTGTTTCATTTTTCGTTTTTTAAGATAAGTCGTAAAATATATTTTTTAAAATTATTATATATATATATATGCAAAAACTGAGTTTTGTGAGAAATTATTATTTATTGCTTGCTGCTAAATTTGCGATTATAATGTAGCGACATTGAGCATGCTGTTATAGAACGATTATACTGCTATCGTAATAAAAATATATACGTTTGCTAAAAAATATATTTAAGATTTAAGTTTTGCAATTTCGTTTCTTTCGTTTACAGTTGGAACTCGTATATTTTTGCATATGTAATGGGTATATTTCGATTTAATGTTAATATTTTAATATTAAATGTAACATTTATAATTTTCTACAGTTTTCTCTACGTAAAACGCGATTCGATGTCTGTCACGTGTAGCCGTTCTTGTCACGAGATTATCTTTTAATATTCTTTGTCTTTACAAAGACCTTTTGTAATCAAGATAGCTCGAGAAAATAGAGTTATGTGTGCTTGAAATCAAAACGCGAATTGTTGAGATAGTCAAATTCTTCGAAAAGAATATTATAATGTGTAAGGAAAATGAGAATCTTTTATGAAATTTAAAACGTTTGTTCTGCACAGAGAGAAAACGATATCTTTGAAGTAAAATTATATGCAAGAATTTAAATTTATTTGAGAACAAAGCATCCGTATATTTTATTAGAAAAATGGAAGAAACGTAATTTTTTTTTCTTCGCGGCAATAATGTTATACGAGTATTTTGCTTCGCGTTTAATCTGTGCAAGTCACATTTAATTATTGTGTCTCGTATAAGCGACGTATAATAAGTGATTGTTTGTTCGATGTACGTCACCGTACTTAATACATTAGTAAATAAATAAAAGATAACTTTGGTTTATTATATAATACTATATATTTAAAAAAAAACAATATATTAAAAAAGGCAATTTTTGTAAATTGAATTAAGAATTTTTAAATTAAATTAAGAAAATTATATACAAGAATAACATGTAATTTTGTATGATGACGCACATTAAATAAGACAAATAATATGAGAGTATGTGAAACACTTTTTGTGCAACATCCATCGAGCGCGTTTAAATTCTCATTAAAAAGTTATTTAAAATTAAACTGCATAATAAAGAAATCTCAATTACAAAAATGTATAAATCTACTAAATATTACATAGAATAATCAATTTAAAAAAATAGCGCTCGAAGGGTGAAGCAGACGCTTCTGTCGTCGAATGAGCTTATCGTCACAATCTCTACAGCAATCGTCGTCACGCCTTTTCAAGAGCTGTTTGCACACACAATTGATATCGGCGCATAATAATAAAATAGGTCATAGAGAATCGTCAGAAGTGTGCATGATCGAGTAGATCCGTAATGCGCGATGCGCAGAACACTAACGCAAACCGATTGTGTTATTTGCAGTTTTTTGTAAGACTCGATCATATCCGCAAGTGCTTTACTCAAAAGGATGGAATCTTTGTTTTGGAAGAATTCAGTAAGTGACACATCGAATATTGTTTCGATTAACATACGCTTTTACATACGCCGTAGAGATATCTCGTGAAAAATAGAGATTCACGATAGCGATTTACGCTTCCGCTGCAATTTAATTTTAGTCTCGGTGCATCGATATGTTATCAGTACATTTCTGTTACAGATCCTAAAACTAGACAAGTAATTCAACGTAAATATAAGTCACAAATGGTGAGTACGCATTTCATATTTCTTTTTGCAAAAATATAGAATAATTATCGCGATAAAAGAGAATAAGAAAAATAAAGATATTTGCGTTTGAAGAAAAAAAGTAAAATAAAATGTCTGCATTTTTATTAAGAGAAAATTGCAATTTAATTATTTCAGAGTCGTATTTATTTTATTCGAATTAATCGACTAACATTATTAATTAACATTTATTTTATTGAGTGCATACAACATTACTTTGCAACTTCGTGATATTTTGTATGTCAAAGAGCATTTAATAAATACGTAAAATATATCGATATCGTAATATGATTATATGTAAAGTTATATAGGAGCTTTTTAATTGATTATATAAATGGCTTTAAATAAAATTATGCTTTTAATTTTGTTTGCATTTATCATATATCTGTGACATATTATGTGACAGGCTGAAGAAGCGGTTCGCTGCTTGCATAGAATATTTTCTGTTGCATTTACTCTTCATAAACTCCCGTCGGAGAGTCATCAAAAACATAAACACGAAAATGACACCGCATGAAGCTCTAATTTCTAAATTATTTATCATTTTTTACACTTCACGTAAGTTCTTTTTGAAACCTTTATTTACAATTTTATAAATTATGTTGAGAAGAGTGCTTTTTATAAATCAATTTTCTAAACATATTGCATGATTTAAAATTTGTTTAAAAAAAAATAAAATAATAAATATTAATACATATTTCTTTGAATTTTTTTTTCTCAAAACAAATTAGTTTCAAACTTTTTTTTCTGAAAAAATTGCGTAATATTTATATAACGACGTATAATATTTTTTCGTTCACAGGCATCTGATATCTGCTACGCTGTTCTGTGCGTATTTTCTTACGTGGCGGCAGGTTCGGAGCAACGAAAGCAACAAGGCCAACAGCAGCAATCGCAACAGCAACAACACATACAACGCCAACAGCAACAGCAGCAGCACACCTTGCAACCGAATGAACAACAGCGTCAGCAGCAACAGCAACACTATCAAGGCCGGCATCCCCATCAGCAACACAGACAAGAGCAACCCCAATCGAGCAATGTAACAACCCAAATGCACAAAAATACACAGCTGGATCCTTATCCCCGTCAACACTGACACAGGCAAAGACACTCGCTTCCCTTCGTTAGCATCCACAACAAGAATAGTTGCGCCCCTTACGCCTGTCTACCCTGGGTATAAGTGCGCTATACTTTCTGAGAGATTTAGTTTGGAGACGCGATCGGATGTGGGTAAAAAAAATAGTAACGTTCTATTCCTTTCGAAGAAATAATTTGATCTCTTTTTCTTGTTCAAACGCGCCGTATTAACGCTCTTCCTTTACGGAAGTGAAATCGCTTTGCAAAAAAATGGTAACTACTTAGAATATACGAAAAGAATCATATCTATTCTGAATTTAATTCGTTAATATAGACTTACGGCGCAAATTTTTATTCGGTGGTTATAGTCTTGTGTAGTCAATGTGATAGTGATATTTTGTGCGGTATTCTTGTATTCATTCGAGTACACGTGGACACACACGTGTACACGTCACACCTAAAGCAATTAAATACAATAACTATTCGTAATTGGCGGTACAATTTTATATAAAACACCGCGTACAGAGATTATAATTATGATTGTTCACGATGGTAAATAATTATTTATTTTAGCTCGTGTCAAAGTAAGAGTGCGATTCATGTCGATTGACAAATTAATGCACGATTAATTTGCAAACTTTTTCATTACTGCGCATACGAAATATTCCTGTCGTTTTTAGGTACTTGAACATCGTGACTGAAACATAGATAACAGAAAGTGGCTTTATCTGTTCGCTATCTCTCTTTCTTTTATGTCTGTAATCGAATTTAGCCGGTAATTTATACTTTCTTTCGTTTAAATCGAATGTACTGAATGAAATGTCGCAATGTTAGGGAAAAACTGTCGTGTGTGTAGGATGTGTAGAAAAACGTACTGTCGTTCTGTCTTCTCGCATAACTTGCACGGGTGGTCATGTACGGTTGTTTTGTACGGTTTCGAATACAGAAGAAAAAGCGAATTTCTCTCGGTAGCTCGTAGAGCTCGTTTTAGGGTACATGTAATGTTCCCAAAGTAGGCATTATATGTAATATAATGTAATTCTATGAAAGAAAGCTCTCGAAACGTAAGCTGACACATCTCTGATACCGTGAAGATTTACATCCTGCGTTTTTCCTACGACTCGAAACGTTAGTTAGGTATATCGAAACTGTGGATCTGCAACGAAATCGCGATTGCGATATTTGGAATCGGCACTAAGAGTGCGAAGATATGTCTCGCGAAAATTATTACTGCATTTTTTCTCTGCCGCATTTTTCTATATTCGTTACATTAGGTATACGCGTAAAAAAAGACAAATATAAGAAGAAACGAAAGACCAGTCTAGGAAAGAAGATAGATACACTAGTCGCAAACTCAGCGTGAAATAGACCGTGTAGTGTACGTTACACACAGATATCAGAAGAAATGATATATTTTCTTGTAACGTAAGAAGCGTATAGATATTTGTAAAAAGGTATAGGATTTGTAAATAATAATTGGCGATATATAGTAAGCGGTACGACCAGCATCTCTTTTGATTTCTCGTCTTTTAATACGATTATATATATTAGAGCTCGTTCACCAGCTGAGTTGGAGAGAAGTGCATTTTTAAGAATAAGAGAGAGCGAAAGAAAGAGAGAAAGAGAGGAAGAGAGAGAGAGAGAGAGAGAGAGAGAGAGAAAGAGAGGATATGTTCTCTTCTAAACATCTAAAAAACATGTACACGATCCTTGGTACCAAATTTGTCTAAATCCCGATGTTTAGAAGTTCCGTCGTCGATGACACGTTTAGACGATACGTCGATTGATTGATAGTCATTCCGAGATATATCATGGTTATAAAGGAACTTTAGACCTCTAGAAGAGAAATTATTACCTCGCATTGTATAGTACTCATCCATGTAGACGCCTTATACCCAAAATATACTTGTAGCCAAATCGATATTAATTGATATTTATATTTACCTTCACCTAACTGCGAAATCTTTGATGATCGAATAATTTTGAATTTTTAGCATAAATATAAATTTCTTACGTGAAAAAGAGAATGCATTTGAAGATTACATTCGATTGTGTAATTTAACAAATGACACACTCGTGTCATTCAATAAAGATTAACAGACTATATATATACATATATGGACGCATGTGGTCTAATAATTATGTCGACGTTAATAACCGTTTATTAAGCTCAATTTTGATAAATACACTCGAGACATATGTTTAAAGTGATGGCAGAAAATGTTTGCGTTTGTTTGTATTATGTTTATCATCTTCGCAATAATTATCTTTGCAATCTAATTAATATCTCGAGAGAAAATATTAAAAACTAATTTATATATGCAACTTAATTAGTTGAGAAATTAATCTTTAAATTTTCTAACATCAATAAATATATGAATTTTTAAAAATTGACCAATAAATTAACAAATAAAAATAAATATATCAATTAATGAAATAATCGATATAAATAAATAAATTAAGAAATGTCATTAAGTTGATTAAAATTTCTATCTGTAACTAGCATACAGATAATTACTTATCTTCCGTGACAATATAAGAAGATGATTAATCAAGTTTATTCAGATCAAATTCTCGTATTAAGTTTTAAGTTTCTAGTAATAATATATTCGATCTTTTATTTCATCGGAAAGATTGAGATTCAATCTAACATGATGTAATCGAACAGTTGTAATCGTATTTGATTTAAGACCACATAATGTCAGTTGTATATAAGGACTATTGGATTACATACCTGATCGGACGTCTGTTTTTTTTCTTTCACTGTCTGGAACACATTAGCGTGATTTTATTACTTCAGGATTGTGGTCTGTAGTCGCGTTTGGAATCTCATTGCACAAGGATGGAACGATGGATTGGAAAAGTGGCTGTGGTTACTGGAGCCAGTGCTGGAATCGGTGCAGCAATCGCTCGAAGTTTCGTTAAACAAGGTAAGTCAGAACTGGAATTTTAGAAATAAATGCATTAAAATTTACTTTGATTGAGAGACAGATTTTTTCGCAATTTATTTCAATTTGCGCGGCGCGAAATAATTTGTCATAATATCATTTGCTAATTGAAAAATAATTGCATTATATTCGTAAGAAAATGAGATCTGATATTATTCGTCCTATTTGTAAAATAATGCATTAAAATATTAGCAAAAAATTATGTAATATAAAAAAATTAATTTTCTAGTTTTTTTAAGCATTCTTACGTATTATTGCTTTATTGTATTAGGTATGATAGTGGCGGGTCTCGCAAGGAGAGTGGAGAGAATTAAGGAAATTGCTGACAACTTAGAAGATTCCCCGGGAAAACTCTATCCCGTGGAATGCGACGTCACTAAGGAAGAGAGTGTAATCGCGGCTTTTGCAAAGGTTAATGCTGATCTTGGACCATTAAGCGTTCTCGTGAATAGCGCCGGTATCATTAAGGAATCCTCGCTTATAGGTACCTGACAAGTCTTAACAAAATTTTACGTCCGATAAAAATATGAACTTTTACGTTTATTTTTCAATAGACAAGAATAATAATTTTTTTTATTAAAACGCATTAAAAAATTGTTTTTAAATGTTGAATACGCGATTGCAAGAATAATTTTTTTCAATGTGCTAAAAAATTAATGCATTTTTTACAGACGGCACTTTGGACGAGTGGCAGTCTGTATTCGACGTGAATGTTTTGGGACTTTGCCTCTGCACGCGCGAAGCCGTTCGTACGATGCGTGAAACTGCTGCTGAGGATGCCGTGGTGATCCACGTGAATAGTTTGGCTGCCGAGAGGATACCTTTCGTACCAGGATTCAGTGTATATCCTGGGTCGAAACGCGCTGTCACCGGCCTTGCCCAGACTTTGCGACACGAGCTTGCAGGCACGCATATACGGATCACGGTGAGATACTCGATATAATATTAATATATAACTGTATTATTAATACTGTAAGTGATATATTTAATGTACAATTATATTTTATTATTAATTATACATGATGATTTAATCCTTATACGTATAAATAATATATATTTTAAAATATGAGTTTAAAGATAATTGACAGATTTTTCTTTCTTTGTTTTTACTTACATTTTTTATTTATTACAGAACATCAGTCCCGGTTTAGTCGCGACCGATTTCATGGCCTCTTACAGCATGTTCTCTCCAGAAGCAATGGCGATGATGCTGACTTTGGATCCGAATGATGTTGCGGCAGCTGCGATTTATGTGCTATCCAATCCTCCTCACGTTCTGGTATGTCATCTGTACATGTATATGTTTCTGAAACATTCCTTTCATATTTATGAAAGAAAATATAAAAATTTGTAAATTAAAAAATGATCTTTCTCCAATAGATACAAGATATCGTGCTGAGACCTCTGGGCGAATCGTGGTAATCATTTTTCAAGTTAATTACATGCATAATGAATTATATTTAATATTAGTTAATTAAAAAAAAGAAAAGTCACTGCAGTAATTGGCTCCCAGAAAATAACAAAAATTTTAGTGCTCTACATTTAAGCATTTAAATAATTATAAAGATTTATTTACATATATATATTCAGCTTAATTATATTTATTCAAAAGTGTTATTATACAATATTGTATTCAAATTAGATTTTCGCAATAAAGGTTTAGTTATGATTGCAGAAAATTTAAATAGAATCAAATTCAAAACTTCTTTAATTTGTATTTTTTCAATTTCTCTCGAATTTGTGATATATAATTTATTCTGTAAATATAGATTAAATTTTAATGTTTAATAATGTTACATTACGTAGATAATTAGTCGAAGAAAACTGTATAGATTTTTGCGTCTCTATCTCTCTCTCTCTTCTATTTTTTTAGAGTATTACAACAATATATTATTAAACATAACATTTTCTTTGAAAAATTTTTTATTTTTTTCATTTTATATTTTTTAAATAAAATAAGTAATTTTTCTATTTTATAATCTATAAATAATTTAGAAAATTTAATTCGAATTATAAAATAACGAATAGTATTTTCTAATTTAAATATTCTTATAGCAACAATGCTGTACATCTTATATTTTAAATATTATTTTGATTACGTGTAATCTGCACTAATAAATTATTTTAGGAAGCTCAATAAGAGGTATGATATATATAATTACAGAGAGAGACAACAGAACATTTTAATAGCCACATCAACTGCACCGGAAAATAGCTATAGCAATTTAAAATTTAACTTTGAATAATTGATTCTCTTATAAGCGTTAGCGTTATTATTTAATTTTTATTTTCATAATTCTAATATACTGCGAGAAAGTATATTTAATTATTATTATATGTCGAGTATCAAAGATGCTAAACATATCGAGATATCTCATTAATTTCAATATTAATACAATTAATTCTTGATGTGTATCATATTATAGTTTTTTCTACAACTAACTGACAATTATAATTTTTTCATTATAAATAATCTTGCGTCAATTAAAGAATGCAAAAGTCAAAGAAAAAGAAAACGCTATATATATATAGATGATAATTTAGCTTCATTGTGCATATATAAATTATACGTCGACAAACAATATATCGCGTCCTTTAATTAATTATCTTTTTTATTAATTCGTTTCGCGTTAACAACATGAAACACGATTACTCATTATCTGCGAGCGAGCGTGGCGGTAGTGTTAAATATCATCCGGAGATTTGTACGCCAAAAAAACAAGCGGTAATATCGGTGCAAATAATATGCAATAATCGCGCGGGTATGCATCATCTCATCCAGAAAGTATTCAACAAAACACAACGAACTATCTAGACGTCTGATAGATTACGCGCGACCGACCCCTTAATCGGCGAGAGCCACAATTTCAGCGCGGTATAAAAAGGTGTCGTGGACGAGGTTTGGCATGCAGAAGCTTCCCAGAAGCGGTGCAAGCAGTATTTTCTCTCTTGCGATTCTTCAATTGTTGTCAGCCAAAAATGAATCCTCTGTTGAACAAGACCGCTCTCATCACCAGCGCCTGCGACGGAATCGGCAAGGCAATCATAGAAGAGTTGATGTCGAAGGGTCTCAAAGTCATCGGTCTCGGCCGCGACATGAATCAGCTGAAGGTATACATTGTTTAAATAAGCTATTAACAATTAAAAAATATGTAAAGCTGAAGACTGAATAAAAGTATTATTTAGAAAAACAAGAATGTATAAAACTTGTAAAATTTGGTAGTTGCTCGCGGAAGAATTAAAGGGCAAACCCGGTAAATTCTATCCCCTTCAATGCGACTTGAGCCTTCAGAATGATATCGAGGTCGTGTTGGAGTGGATAGAAAAAAATTTGGGAGCTGCAGACATTCTGATAAATAATGCGGCTATCAATCTCGATTGGTCCACCATCAGCGGCGGAATAGAGGAGTTTAAGAAGACTCTCGACATTAACTTGCTCGGTTTAACATGTATCACTAAAGGAATTTTGCAGTTATTGAAGAATAAGGGTAAGTTTTAATGTGCGTGTTTTTGGAGAGAAGCACGCAGATACATATATTATATTAAATAACTTATAAAAAATTATTTTTATATCGCTGACATACAAATGAAATAATTGCAGGACTCGATAACGGTGCCATTGTTAATATTAATGACATATGCGGAATTAAGAGTTTGCCTCTTGCTTCCGATCGTCCTATTTCCCCGGCATATGCTGCCAGTAAATCAGCGTTGACCGCATTAACAGAGTCTCTTCGTTATGAACTGGCGCAAAACGAGTCTAACATTAAAATAATCGTAAGTAATTTTGAAAAGAAATTGCATAATAACATATAATTATAAAATAATTATTCCTAATTTCCTAATTTTATTATTATACCATAAAGTTATAATTTTCTTTAAATTGCGACTTTTTTACATTCCACAACTAAAACATAGTTTGTAGACTTCCTATTCTAGTTTCTTTGTGACAATATTAAAATTTTTTAAATGAAATATTGCAAAAATCACATTTTACTTGATAATTATAACTTTTGAAATTTTTGCGAAAAAAAACACTTTGGAGGAAAAATCCACATAAAACAATGAAATTATTTTAACGTGCTTTCTTCGAAAAATAGGGTATTAATTGTTTTTTTTTTATTTTCTCGTATGACAGAATATTTGCCCGGGTTTGGTGGAGACTGAGTTGACCCAGCAGTGGCTAAAAGAAAATCCTCGATTGGCCCTGAAACCAAAGAATGTGGCAGATGCTATTCTCTTCTCGCTGCAAACTCCAGATAACGTGCTTATTAAGGATCTCATCATTACGCCCATTCGTGAGATTATTTAAGCAAATACCGGACGAAATCGTTGCCTACGATGAATATTGTAACATTTAGTATACATATTGAGTGGCAAATCAAATAAAACACTTTGCATTTTTCAAAAATAATGTATATTGTACATAAATTCCTTAATAATAGATCCTCTTAATAATAGATTAACGCTTTATTTATAGAAAGCGTTAATCTCTCTCAAATAAGAAAATCTCTCTCAAATCTTTTATTATGAGAACGATTAATGTCATTATTTACAAATTTTCGTAATAAATTATGTTTTTTTTTGTAACTTTGCATCTTTAAGAAACTTATTAATTAGTAACAAGTCAAATAAAAGATAGATAACATAAATAATTAAAATCAAAATAGAAAATTCTAATATTGAATATTTAACCAGCAATTGAGGAGTGTCTGTCGAAGATAACATGTATTAAGAGACAAAAATATAATCTGCATATGAACTTTTGAGTTCATAATATACACATAAAATTTTTCCTGTATCTAACAATTACTGATAATGATCTAAAATCAGATAATAATTGAAACGTACATAATAAATAATATTTAACAAGAAAAATTTACATTTCTCGTGCTTGACCTTTAAGTAGTTCGCTTCTCTATTGCTTGTAGGCTATAAGAATAAGACATAATTAACATTTCTATTTAAGATCTCCATTTCACCATAACGTTTATCTGAAAACATTTATAATATTTCTTTTGTAAATTTAAAAAGTCTACAAAAACAATAGAGAGAATATGTTTTAAATGCGTGATGTTGCATTTGACTAAATAAGTTTTTTATATACACCCGAACATATAGATCGCAAAAGTTGCTTGCTCACAAATGATTGAAGGTAGATTGTATAAAACAACGCCATATGTTTACATTGACGTAGTATTTATTTTTAATTATTCCATTTACCAATCTAATAATTCACAAAACCTATATTATATTAAGAAAAAGATTGTAAAAAAAGTAATATGTTAGGACAGTTCTATTTAATGAAGGTGTGAAGCAATCGGTGTTATTTAGTGCCTAAATGTGAGGAAATATAATCCTGTATAACGTAGCACACTTAGGTACATGATATTGTACAGAATAAATAAATAAAATCAGCAAATGATAATTTTGTACATATATATATATATATATATATATATATATATATATATATTCATATATGTATATATAATATATAAACATACCTAAAATTGGATGTGTGTATAGGAATAATAATAACAATAGAAATTGTTATCAATTTCGACAATCGGGTATTTGTGGATAAATACACACTATGCGAGAACGTTATAGATTCGACGCTGTATTTATGTTTCCTTATATATTAATTATATTTCATTCGTATAACAAATATATAGAAGAACGATATAACTCAAGGAAAATAAGAAAAGAATAATGTTAATTGAACAAAAATGCAAAACTGTTATCAACTAGTTATTGCTATTGTTACGAAATCTCTCTTGCATTAAAGATGAATTTCATAACAATGTGCACAAAGCTGAACACAGAAAAGATTATTAATGCAAATATATAATATTAAGACTTTTTCGAGGCACAGGCGTGTTACTAAATTGCGTTTGCCTTGTGATGACAAAAATGAAAATACGAATAATAAGAATATTTTCAAAAAGAGCATGCAGAGAAATAAATATCGATAGTATATCTCAGATATAAACTGTTTACAAATACCTTATCATCATATCCATATTTTCATCTCTCCGTGAGAAAAATGACACATCCGATCTATCTTGTTTTTCCCCGCTAAATACGAATCCAAATTCCGTATCCGACCTAGGAGAGAAATCGGTGAACCCTATGAAGCGCGAACGATATATCCAAATCCATATCCTTATCCATATTGCGCATATCGTTCATCTTAATGAATCCGAGTGATCCGTTCGATACGATCCGATGAATACGATGTAGGCAACTCTTTTATCCTTATCCAAAAATATCCGTCCATGCATACTATAATTTATCCCGTATCCGAATCCTGTCAGCGTCCTAATCCGGACATAATCCGGAATCCTGTCCGTCGTACCATTTGTATCGTTCCTCTAAAACTATGGAGCCAGTTTCTCGTCAAGATGACAGAGAGAGTTTGCTTTATACTCAAACGCGTACCATCCTCTTGTTTATCCTGCCAGTTAAATCCTGAAGACTCGCACTGTGTGGATTACAATGTACGCAACGAAAAGATGTACACTCGGCGGACACGATCGGAAAAATGGCCGTAGTTATTGCGAGATACGTTTTTTTTCTGATAATTGGACTTTAAATCATCCGATGTTATAAAATATACGATATTAGAGATGCAACAGTTTTTTCAAAGAATCACTTCCACCTTTGAAATTAACACTAAATGCGAATTATTTTATATGCGTATATAATAACTGAACAAAAAAACTTAACAAAATCGAATCTAGTGTTAAAGTCATCTGTTGCATTATCAATAAGATAAATATTGAAAATCCATCCTCAAGATGAGCAATCCGAAAAATTAATCTTCTTAATTCAAGAAACTTTGAAACTATAAACAAAATCCTTCCAACAGAATCCAGTTGACCATGCAGTTGACAATCCATTACTAGTTTGACTGTTCAGATTATAAATGAATTAATAACCGCGGCATGTTTATTTATCAATTAACATTACGTAGAAATAATTACTCGCTCGAAGCACTTTATCCTGATAAGCACATATAATGAGGAAGTCCCACTCTTTTGTTATGTTTTTCGTTTAAAACAGCGACACACAAAAATGTCGAGCTTCAAACTGGGATTCTACTAGTTTAAAAAAATATTAATGATTTTTCGCCTCCTCGTAATGGACTTGCCAACATTTCCTGATCCAGCAATCGAGAATCCTTGAACGAATCACTTTTCATATCTCTCTCTCTCTCTCCAAAATTCTCTCCTGATCCTGAATTTCCTCTTGAAAGTATCCCGTTTCGCTATTCTCATTTTCATTTATGTCTTTTAATCCTTTTTTAATTTATGTTCTCCAAAACGCAATCCATCTCATCCCAACGTCAAGCGAATGTGTATTATATCCATCCAAGAAGAAAGATCGTGTTGATTTCAGTTTTTCATTCATTGTGTTACAATCCAATCCAATATACAAAAGAAGAAAAAATACATTAGTTTCTTATATGATGTAAATTAATGTTAGATATACAATTTATCAATGCAAATGTAATCCTTGTGAGTAAAGAGATCCATATATAATAAATACATAGATTTGTTTTTTATATATAACAAGAGATTTTAAACATTCCATTATCAAGAAATAAACATTCCAATCCAGTTGTAATATAAAATTTATAAAATAATATACAAAATAAAGCAAAATCACAGGATTAATTTGCAAAAATAGGATAAAATACACGATATCAAATGTTTTCCTTTCAAATGTGCAGTTATAGAATATAATAAGTTTTAAAAATACAGTTTTAATAATTATACACATAATGCCGAAATATACGAGAAAGGAAAACACGCAGAGAAATACAAAAGACAATATATCAGTAATTAATAATTATTCCATCGTAACTCATATATCTGAAATAAAGTTGAAGACTCTGGCAAAAAATATGCACAAAATAAGAGAAACGAGTTAATTGAAGCGCGATAATCAAGACATAAAATAATACATTTTTTAAAATATGATTTATTAATTGGTTATCAAAAAGATTGATGTCGAAGATGGTATTATTAATTAATCATATTTGAAGAAAAAAAGTTATTTTGGTCTTGATTACTGCGTTCTCAAGTAGTAACCCATTAACGCTATTTTGTGTATATAATATATATCTGATTGAGTTTATCTTATGTATCACATTTGAAATTTATTTTAATTTGAATATATTGTTAATATATCCAGATTTATACTCATAATATTATATCGTATGTTTTCATACTGACAAGTATTAAAGAATTTTGAACGAGTTATTCTTTTGTTCTAAGAAGTAATATAAAGTAATATTCAACGCAAAATCAGAAAATAATCTATAAATCATTATTAATTAAAGATTACTCAAGATTTATAAATCATCATTAATTAAAGATCACTCAAATCTATTATTAAATACATGTTATTCGTAAAGCAAATTAGAAAGTGTGTATGAAAATGTGATCGTAGCAAGAATTTTACGCCAATATAATTGTGTATATTATATAATAAACTCTGTCACATGCTCATATATTTTATTATAGAGTATGCGCGATATATTGTCATCACTACGTATTCACGATCCGGAATTATTTTGATTCAAACAATAAATTAAACGGTGTAAACAATCCTGAGGTATTTATCTGTACATAGAGGAATTATCTGTTATAATCTAAGTAAAAAAAAAAAAAAATGTTATATAGTAAATATATATATATATATATATATATATATATATATATATATATATATATATAGCATGTTTTTAAATTTATATACTTTTATTATTGTTAACGGCGCGTGTAAATAGGATGTATTATGTATCAAATGTTGCATATCCTCTTGAAAGTACAGATTTACCAATAGACTTAACAGTTAAAAGTTAAGATATAATATAGAAAAGTTGACTCTAATATCCCCCACAAACAATTTGTAACTAAGAGATAGAATGAATAACTTTACTGCATATTAAGCAAAAGTTACTTAACTATGTAGTATTATGACAATACGAGCAATATTAGATATATCTGTTAGTTTAGCAATATACAGTATAAAAACAAACAGTACTCTCTTTAGTATAATTATCATTATATTAGTAATTTTAAAACTTATGACAAGAGAAAGGCATTTTTTTAGCTAATTGTAAGATAAAGTATCTTAAAATTTAAGCCCTGTTTTATATGTTATATAAATATATTCGTAGATAAGAGTTTGCTTATAATATATATAAGAATTTGCCTGTAACATATTTTATTCTTATACACGTTTATTGTATGATAAAATTTGATGTACGATCTATGCCAGGTAAAATATTAACAAATTCATGAAGATAATTTTGATTATAAAAATGTGTTATAGAGAAAGAGAAAGTAAAGAAAAAGTATTATATAATGTGTAGCAGTAATATGTAATATGTAGCTTATAATAAAAAAATCTTTGTTAGGCAAGTTTTAAAATATAATGTTTCACTATGTAAAATTTCGAGTTTTGTATCTAAATATAGACTCAAATAAACCAAGATATTTACAGGAAACGCTGATTTCAATGCGATCATTCAGGATCACCATTTTGTATCATATCTCTTAGTAGAAAGTGAATCAGAATATATTATTGTCAATGAAAAATATTCACAATAGATGTCAATGATATTAGTGCTTATATTACAGCCAAGCCAAAATGGATTGATAGATACATTAAAGCTTGAAATCTAGTATTTTGCCAAAAATCTCATTAATAATACTTCAAAATTGTTACACATTTTACAAGTGGTAGTGATGACAAAACAAATTGGCAAATATGTGGAGGAATGTATTTTTAAATGTAGAAGAATAATTCTAACAGTTTGGATAAAATAAACAGTCACAAGCGTTCACAAGTATGATATTTTTTCGAAGAATAATAAAATTCAATAGAATTATTGTATTAGGCAATCAGCTTTAAAAATTCAATGTTACAAAATTTTTATTAATGACTAAAAAGTGAAACCATTAACTTGGTTATAAGCCAAATGATAGATATAGTTACTTTAAAAACAAAAACGTGAAGAATAACTATAGCATACATACATATATACATATATATACATATATATATATATATGCCACAAGTGCTTCTCTCTAACTATATATCAAATACAATGAAAATTAATTTAAACAATGTAAAGAAACAATTTGAATTTTTTTACAAAGTCTATGATCTTGGATTGTAAAAAAAATTTCTCATCAAGTAGAATTGAAATCAGCAATAATGAAACGTGGTAAAGGGGCAAATGGCAATATAAACCTGTACTTATGTTATCATGTGAAACACATACGTACACACTAGTCGTATGAGCGAGATCTGGAGCGAGATCTTGATCGCGAATAATTACGCCGCAACGGCGAGTAAGTAGGAGAGCCACGACGTCGCGGGCTGTAGCTACGAGAACGGCTACGGCCTCTTTCTCTGTCTTCGCTGCGTCCTCTATCGCCACCATTATGATCTTCCTTGACACGAATGTAAGCTACTTCACCCTGAATCACGTTAAATTAAACAATCAAAGAATATTAAAAGCAACGTACAACAATAGACAATACAAGCAATATACATGTATATATATTAAATTATATATATTAAAAACAGTTCAATGTGAGAGTAGCAGTAGACATAAATTTAAGGATAACAAGAGCAGATCGTACCTCATGCGATCTAAATCGTGAATCATCTAACTTCTTCACAGCATACTTCATGTCATCATGCCGCAGAAACTCAACGACACCAGTACCATCTTTATAAACGTCTGCGAAGCATACGTCACCAGCTTCGCGCATGTGATCTTTAAGGTCTTGCCAGCTTCCAGTCGGTGGCAAACCGCTTACCAATACTCTATATTGTGATCGTCGTGCTGGAGGACCACGACCGCGAGAGTTGCTCATTTCACCGCGGCCACCTCTCCCGCTGTCCCCAGCTCCGCGTCCACCCCGAAAATTATTACTGGGGCCTCCACCTCGTGGAAACTCAACTCTTAATCTATAACCGTCGTAGTCATAACCATCTCTCGCGTGTACCGCATCTTCCGCATCTCTGAAAGTGAATGTTTAGATTAGAAATATGCTTATATACAACTTTCTTTTCTGTAATAATGCTATTATGTAATATGTCTTGAAAATAGAATGCTTAATTATAAATCTATGCACAATATAGAATTTATAAAAATGATATTTATAACATTAAATATATATATTATTATATAATAAATATTATATAAAAGCAAAAGAAATTGTACAAATATCAGTTAAAATTCTATACACAGGAAGTAAAGACCAGTAAATATTTAGATTTACACATTTTTTTAAGAAAAATATTCTTCTCTAGTAAATAATAAAAGATGAATGTTTAAATATTTTTATCACAAAAAAATAATAATCGTTTTTTTTTTTTTTATTATTTTCCTATAATTTAATAATATCCGTTTTGATTATCTTTTATAGCTCGTAAACAAAAAATAAATTTTTATCTTTTCTTCTCTACAATAAAACACATTTTAAATTCACAGTGTCATACATATATAATAAAGATCAGAGTGGCAATATTACAATAAAATGTATATGTATATTCATGCATGTAATCATGTACATATATATGCGTGTCTGTGTGTATATACTGTATGTTGTGTGTGTGAATGATACGTCGAATTTTCAACGTGTAAATAATTTTCCAGTCTAGAAACTAGAAGCTCACCTTGGATCGTCAAATTCAACGAAAGCGAAGGGCGGCCCGCGGCGATTTTTCAAGTCAACGAAAGTAACTTTACCGAACTTGTAGAAAAGATCTTGGATGTCCTTCGTACGGATGTCGGGTGGCAAATTTCCCACGTATATTCTACACTCGTTTCTACCTCCGTGAGACATAATATCGATTTTCTCGCCGTACTGAGGAACTACCTGATATACACCGAAAAGAAATTCTTGCGAGGCAACGTGATTTCAGAGCGGAATAAAAGTTACGTTCCGTTCTTCTGCGCGTTCTGCCGGAGAAACACAAACAAAATGGAGATATTGGAGAGACCGGGTAGGAGGGAGAGTGACTCGTAATCGAGGCCGAGAGGATCTTCCGACTTTGAAAACCAGGGAAATTCACATTTACGTCCGATTCAAAAATATCACATCGGAAAACGAAGACATTTCTAAATCGATATTCAATGGAAAATGCGTGAACTCTAAATGCAGATAAGTTCACTCTCCGATATTTGACGTACATATTACGTCACGACGTCCAATCGAAAACATTGTTGGAAAATTTACTAGAAAACGAGCTCTCCCATTGGATAGCGGACTAGAGTTCCTAGAAATATTATTATTTATTATTAAATAATTAAATAAATTATAATTAATTATTTAATCAATTCATAAATATTTATAAGTAAATAAAAACACACATATAAATATCCACATATAAATTATTATTATGGTGGGATGCGGTGTGTTTGTAATAAAGGCTGTGACAATTTGATGCACGAAGGTGCAGTTAAAATGAACAAACTCTAGCGTATCTCGTAGCGCGTCATACCGCTCATTCTATCTTTATTCAATGAATGGATTACGTCACGCGTTTGTACGCACTACTCTTCGTTGGGTGTAGTTCGGTTACAATTCGGAGTAGTCATGTCAAGAAGGGTGTTGTCTGTGCTTGATTGATTTTAAAAAGATTGTATTTAAAATGTGGCTCGAGCATTACGCGATACTGCTATCCCTGTGCAGTTTTGCGTTACTTCATATTCAGGGTACTGCATGTTTTTATTCGCGCGGAATTAATAATTATCTTATAAAATTTCGTTTGCATGTCAAAACATAAATTGCGTTAAATTGGAAATAGTTCTTCTTCGCTGCAGAGGAAACTTTAATTCTCGAAATAATCATACCAAAGTGACATTACAATTTTTTAAATTATAAATTTAATTTCTTTATCCAATTATTATTTTTTTTTTTTATTGCACTGTTACTTTAATTTTTTTATTTGCACTGTAGAAGATATTATAAGATACAGTTAATGATTTGTTAATTATAATTCTTGATAGGTCAACGTCTCAACAACACAGTCACATGGTGTACAGTTTCCGATGGCGAACAGAATAAATGCAAAGCCTTTTCCAGGGCGATCGACCGTGAGATAGGATCTTTTGGGTTTAACTACTTTTCAGTACATTGCAAGCAAGCTTTCAACAAGGAAGAATGTATGACTATGCTGGATCATGAAAAGGCTCAGATAACAACATTAGACGCTGGAGAGGTCTTTATTGCTGGACGATATCATAGTCTTGTACCAATAATGCAAGAGATATATGAAAGTGGGCTGAATTATCAATATGCCGTTGCAGTGATTAAGAAAGGCTCTTTACAAGATGTAAACAGTTTACATGATCTTAGATACAGGAAAGCCTGTTTTGCTGGTGTTGGAACTTTAGCGGGTTGGGTTATTCCAATTAATACTGTGAGTAAAATTTATGGATTTTTCCTAAATAATTACTATATATTTAATCTGAGAGAAATTATATATATATATATATATATATTTATATATAATAAAAAATCTTTCAGCTTATGAGATATGGAGGAATGGAAGTCATTGATTGTAACAATCATGTAAAGTCAACAATTAAATACTTTGGTCCTAGTTGCGCAGTAAACTCTTTGATTGACAAATACAATCCACTTGGTAAGTTTATTATAATAGAATATATAGGCATAGTTTGACTTTTATAATTGTAACGATACAAAACTGCAAGGTCACCAGACGATAATTACCATTTTTTATAATTGTAATTTCTCACGAATTAAATTACAGGTGATAATTCTGATCAATTATGTAATTTATGTATTGGCAAAATACCTGGTGGCAAGTGCACATATCAAGATCCTTATGCAGGATACGAAGGGGCTTTTCGATGTTTGGTCGAAGCTGGTGAAATTGCTTTCCTGGTGCATACAACTGTACAAGAGATGACTTCAACGACATTTGACTTTAGTATGCAGTCGGCAACTAATGAATTAAATCTGTAACAAAAAGAAGATGATAAAGTATTTATTATTCAATTTTTGCTGTTAGGTACCGTGAAGAAGGAGCAATTCGAACTCCTCTGCAAGGATGGTACTCGCAAATCCGTGGACGAGTATAAAGTCTGTAATTGGGGTAATGTGCCATCGCGTGCAATAGTAACATCTTCAGCGACCAGTTTCGAGATTCGTCGAATGTATCAAAGATTTCTGGAGAAAGCGGCTCGAATATTCCACAAGAAAAATGACACGACGAGCTTTAATCGTTTTGATAATACTCAGAGAAACTATGAAAATCGCTCAGGTTACAACAACAGATTCGGCGAGAGTGGCTTTAACAGGGATGACTTTAATAGAGATGGATTTAATAGAGATGAATTTAATAGAGATGAATTTAATAGAGATGGTTTTAATAGAGATGGCTTCAATAGGGATGGCTTCAATAGGGATGGCTTCAGTAAAGATGGCTTCAGTAAGGATGGCTTTAATAGGGATGGCGTTAACAATCCGAACGAATATAACACAGATAACTGGGATCGCAATGGATACGATCGAAGTTTCGGCGGCGGCGGCGGATTCAACTCGTGGGAGAAACCCGCGATCAACGACACGTTCGATTATTACAATAGAGACCACACCGAATCTACGAATATACAACCGATAGAAGTGTTCGATTTGTACGAGTCAGCGCCTAGATATGGCATACAACATAATTTAATATTTTCAGTAAGACTTATTTTTTTAAATTTATTTCTCATTGTTATATATATGCCTGATGTAAATATAATAATGGATGTGTTATGTACTCTATTCTTCCAGGATTCGTCTCGCGATTTCGTGCAACTACCTGAAAAAGATCAAACGTACACAGGATACTTAGGAAGATCCATGGATCACATATTAGAAGTACGTCATTGCCCCGTAAATCGGATGACTTTATGCGTTACATCCGATCCGGAAATGGAAAAATGTGTGAAGATGAAGGTACGATTTATACTACATATGTATATATTTGAAAAACTATATTTATATCTATTTTAAAAATTATTTAAATACATTGAGAGAATTTTAATATCCTTCATATTTATTGCAGATTGCTTTGAAAGCTCAACTGCTGAAACCAGAATTACTTTGTCACAGAGGCCACAGCCAAATAAATTGTATGCAGGCGATACAGAGCGGGTACGTATAAAAATATGTTCAAATATACTTGCATATATATATATATTTCTTGATGAAATCACATGCATTATCTTTTTTTATAGGATTGCCGATGTAACTGTGTTGGACGCCAGTGACGTTTATACTGCTGGATTACGTTTTAATCTGATTCCGTTCATATCCGAAGTATATAATCTCGGCACACCGGATTATTATGTCGTCGCTGTTGCTAAGGAGGAGGACGACAACACAGATCTGACATATCTGAAAAACAAAAACACTTGTCACACTGGTATTAACACTGCTGCGGGCTGGGTCTATCCATTGGCCTATCTTATTTCTAACAAGTGGATCAGAGGCTACGGTTGCGATTCTGTGCGCGCCGCCGCAGAATACTTTAGCAAATCCTGCGTGCCGGGCGCGCTTAGTACCGAATATAATATAGGTATAAAAAATTAAGTAATTTTAAATTCATTCTAAATTTTTAGCGGTTTTAAAATTAATTAATAAAAATGGAACAAGCTTTCATAAAACATTTACAAAACTTTTTTCCTCTGATTACAGGCGTGCCTTATGATAATATGTGCGATTTGTGTCACGGGGTGAGCTATAGGTATTGCCGAAGAGACGCTTCTGAGGATTATTTCGGGTACACGGGCGCCTTCAGATGTCTGGTAGAAGGCGGCGGAGACGTATCTTTTGTCAAGCACACGACGGTTGCGGAGAACACTGACGGCAAACGCAAGGAATTTTGGGCGCGCAACACCTTCACGAAGGATTTCGAATTGCTCTGTCCGGATGGTACGCGTCGTCGTACCGCAGACTACGAGAATTGCAACTTGGGCAAAGTCGCCGCCAACGCTATAGTCACGCGCGGCGGTAACGATTACGGTTACAACGAGACGCAGATCAACGCGTACATTAATCTGTTCATATACGCGCAACAGTTTTACGGCCGGAAAGAGCAGGACGAGTTCAGCTTCAGCATGTACTACAGCGTGTCCCCTTATAGCGATCTCATTTTTCAGGACGCCACTCAGCAGTTGATAGTCATTCCGCCGGAAAAGCGAGAGTATAGCGCGTATCTTGGACCAGATTTTATGAGAGCTAGGAGAATTGTAGATTGTAACGCTGGAGCGTCAGCCTTAAGGTATTCGTTGCTAGCTACGATAATTATGATAACATTCACTTTCGCATTTGGTAGATAAGTATATTGCTATAGCACAATTTTTACTTACTTTTACATAAATATTTGAATAATTCATATTAAGCTATTATAAAAGAAAAACTAGAGATCTGATAAGAAATCTGATAGACTACATTTTATTATAATGATAATATATATTTCATCGCTAAGTTGTAAACTGAAATTTATTCTAAATATTGTTTTATAAATATTTTATATTTTATGTCTATATATATTTAACAGTACAAAGTGCTGAGAGATAGAATCTAGATATATTAATAAATTTCATGGCTGCCTTTGCGTCCGTCCAACGGAACGATCTGTCTCTAAATGTTTCCGTCCATATATCTATATAAGAATTTTAGCAATATGTTAATTTTAAGAATTATTGTATTTAATACTTTTATAAATTGAATATTTTATATACCGTCCACACATTAACAACTTTTATAGAAATAAATCTTTATCAAGTTTTTAATGCGCATTCCTATTATCCTATTATCTTATATATTATTATAAAATAATTGTTAATAAAATAATTGTTATATTAAGGTAGCTAATACGTATAGTTCTTCAATTAGAAGTTTTTTATATATAGAAAATTTTACATCTTTAAATAAATGTCATTACATTACCTCGTTAGAAGCCTATTAACTACTTCAATCATTATTTTCATTAAACGAATCTACTTTGAAATAATTAATGTTAAAATACTTGTTCTGATAAAGCAATTGATAAATAATTGTTCTGATAAAAAAGATTGACAAATAAGTCGCAACGACAGCATTCGCTGACGAGATAATTCGCCGGAAATAGATTGTCACACGATAACAGGAAGAATCGAAATTACAATTGAATAACGAACGTGAGAAAAAAGATCATTGCTTTGGCTTTCCAAAACTCACGTCAAATCTTAAATCTGAATCAAAATTTTTTAAGTTAATAATACTCAATCTAATCATTCGAATAATCTAATTTTAATTGAAATTTTCACGCGGTACATTAAGACATTTCTATTAATCAGAGAAAATAAAGTTTGTGTTATTAAAGGAAAAGAGATAGAGTCCGCGCAATTGCGATATGAATAGTGACATTTTAATGAAAAATAACACGTCTAAACGCGAAAACCTGAAAAAAGAACATAACGCACAAATATATAAGGGTAATAATACCGATGATTCAAAGGTAATATATATATATTATAATAATCCTAAGAAATAGAAAAAACGAAAAATAACGTTAAAATTTAAGTAATCATATGATATGTTTCAGGTAATTCGTCAAGTATTTAACAATTTGAATCAATCTACTGAACAGAAACCTAGTTCTAGTTTTTTGGCATCGACGTCCACGAAAAATATAAATTCAGGTAAAATCTAGCGAATAATTTTAATTTATATATTATCTAAAATATATACATCATAATAATACATTATAGTCATTAATATATTATAATTAATTATCGATTATTAATTTATTATTCGTTCTATTGTGAATTAAGCCATTTCCAGTATCGCAACTATATATGCATATATTTAAAATTTTCAGGTAAACATCAGATCCGTAAATTAGTGGACAGTAAACAAGTCTCAGGGCCATTTCATCAATCTGATAAAAAGGCATTTCTTCTCGATACTTATGCCCGTATCGTCGCTACGAATAATAAACGATGTCCTAAACGATTGCGTGAACTTGCTAAACCGAAGAGACAAGTTCGTAGCAATCAAAATGATTGCTTAGTGAATTTTGATCTAAACTATGGTCATATAGAGAAAAGATGTAACTAAAATTTAAACAATGCTTGAAAAATTATAGATTGTTATAAACAACATTTAAAATCTTTTCTATGAAATATCAAATATACAAATCTTTCTCTCTATAAAATTATGAAAGAAGGAACTATATTTTTTTATGTATATTCTTGGTATCTTTTCTGCATAGCAAGTCTTGCGTTTTTCTCGTAATGAGAAAAATGTATGACCTACATCACTACTCGACAAAATTAATTTGCATAGTCAGCTGTATATATAGCGTTTGAAAAATGCATTGAAGAATCCAGGCAGCACCAAATCCAAAATCGTCGCATAAGATATCTTTAAAATATGTTTAAGATGTCTTTCGGATATCATATCATAAGATTTCTTAAGCTGTCTTAAAGATTTCTTAATGATATCTTATGCGCCAATTTTCTGCTTGGTGCTGTCTGGGAAAAGAACGAAAATATCCGCGATCATGTTGTAAACAGTTCAGTTTTGTACGTCAGATAGATCTGTATCTCTCGTTGAGTAATAAATAGTAACACGCGCGCGCGTTTCCTTATCTCGATTCAAAAAATCCCGTTCACGCGTAGATTTAAATTACAAAACTACGCGTGACCTTACCACACATCTGATGATCGTCTGAGAAAATACACACACGTGTATATGACACACTTGAGTTTTCCAGAAAGGTAATTGCGCTTCTTCCTCCTAGCGACTGTATAGTGCGCCTGTACTGATGAGTATAAAAAGCCTCGTATCGTCCTTGAAATGCTTTTAGTATTCCGGTGTAACGCACGCGCTCAACGTTCCTTCTTAACCAGTTTCACTGCTAATGAGATTCCTCCGCTCTCGTGTGTTAAGCTCGACAAAATATACGAGCTATCCTCTCGCTGCCATGAAACGTTGTCCATTATTCATTGTCCTTCTGAGCGTCGTCCTTGCGTTCGCCAGCGGCGATCCCGTTGGCGAACAGCTACCTGAGGTGATCGCACCCATCGGGAGAATTCGCGGTTCCATCTTGACCTCCAGACTCGGAAAAGAGATCTATTCCTTTCGTGGTGTGAGATATGCCGAGCCACCGACCGGACAGCAACGTTTCCAGGTAAAGCAATGCAATTTTATCACACCTAAAAATGAAATACAACAATTAAAGCTAAAGTTATCATACATGTGTTTTAAAATTCAGTCAGTATTGATATATACTTGTTGCGCAAAAATTTAGTCCACAATAATTTTAAAAATTAAACAAGATTTGTTATATGTATAGTAAAATAAGCTTTTGCATAATACAAACGTTATTTTGTATCCTTTTAATTCCATTTCTCGTAGGTTGCCATTCCAGCGGCGGATTGGAATGGTGTCTTTGATGCGACCAAAGAAGGACCCTCTTGTCCAGCAATACACGCGGAAAATATAATGGAGGATTGTCTTCGTGTGAATGTCTACACCACGAAAGTGAGCTTTACTAATGCGTTCCGTATTCTCGCTGAAAGGAATAAAGTTACTAATTGAACAATTGTCTCGATCATATATATATATAGTTACCATCAGCGAGCGATCCTGTAAAGAGACCCGTATTGGTATTCTTTCATCCTGGTGGCTTTTATGTATTCTCAGGTCAAAGTTCTAATTTTGGACCTGAATACTTGCTGGACAAAGATATCGTTCTCGTCATCGTTAATTATCGTCTCGCGTCTCTAGGTGAATCTCCGGACGTTTCATTATTCTTCATATAGATAATTTAAATCATGAACGATAAATTTTTGAAGCTTGAAGAAAAATATACAAGCCAAATACAGCTTTTTATATCAAAGTATAATGTTTTTCCTAAAAGAAAAAAATATTGTGCTTTTCAGGTTTTCTAAGCACCGGTGACTCGAAGGCACCAGGCAATTTGGGCTTGAAAGATCAAGTCGTGGCTCTTCGATGGATTCAGAGAAACATAGTCACCTTCGGTGGCGATCCTGACAGCGTGACGATATCCGGCTACAGCGTTGGTGGATTGAGCGTGATGCTGCACATGGTTTCGCCGATGTCCGAAGGATTATTCCATCGCGCAATCATGATGAGTGGCTCGACGATGTTAGAACAGTTTCCTACCGAACAATCACACTTGGCGAAGAAGCAAGCCGAGCTATTGAACTGCCCGACCGATACCACGGGATCTATGTTGATCTGCTTGAATTCTAAACCGGTGGAGAACTTCACAGACACTATTCCCAAGTTTTTTGTGAGTTTGATAAACATATTGTACATTCAAAAAGAAATTATAATTACAAAGTTATTATTAATAAATACATATATGTATATATAGAAAATAAATTCTCTATAGATATAGAAAATTAAATTTAAGAGAGATGAGGAATCTTTGAAAATTATTAGAAAAAACAATTAGATAAAAAAAATTAAGATTAAAAAGAGAAGATGTTAAACACACCGCAGCACGTTTCAGGAATGGTATGGGAATCCGATATTGGTATGGACACCCGTAGTGGAACCCGAGGTTCACGGCGTGGAGAGATTCTTGCCTGAACAGCCCATTGATCTTATTAAAAAGGGAAAGTTCCACAAGGTTCCGCTGATCGCAGGAGTCACCAAGGACGAATTCGGCGGCGTGGTCGCTTGTAACAAATCTATTTAATTTTTTTCCAAATGAAAAGAATGATTGCTGAAATTACACGAAATAGAATGCGCTAATACATTCTACATAATTCTAGTTATCGAAAAGCAACGTGAACTCGGAAATAACTCAATCTTGGACGACTTAAACAATGACTGGTACAAACTCGCACCCATCAATTTCATGTACGAACGGGATACACCCCGTTCCAGATACATAAGCACCGAACTACGTCAATTTTACTTTGGCAACCAATCAATCGGTCCAGACATGTATGACGGTATCGCACATGTTAGTAAAAATTGCTCTGAAAAGTATTACATATATGTAGATACATATAACAAATAAGTATATATACAAATAATAATATATAGTATAATAAATAAGTATATTAATTATTAGCAAATTTGTGACAATATATGTTAAGTACATATTGCAAAATATCGATTTAATGGAGGATAAAATTAATTGTGCGACTATATCTTGTATAATTCTTCTTGCAGAGCAAAGCCGATAGTGTAATTATATTTCCTTTGCATCGCACCGTAAAATTGTTCGCAGAAAATACTGATCAACCAATCTACTTTTACGTATTTTCTTATCAAGGACGATACAGCTTCGTCATGTGGAACGAAACTACGCCGTACGGTAAGACTTTTATTCTTCTTTAATTATTTAAAAAATTATTTTATATAATCCATCCGAATTGCGAAAAAAATTGTAATTGCACAATGAATTATATTGAGTTAATTCGTTGTTTATTTTATCATTTTAGGAGTGGTGCATCATGATGATTTGCAATATCTATTCTTGATGAGATTCAAATTTCCCTTCTTCGAGAACGATGCTCCGGAAATACCTACGGTGGAACTTATGACAAGTATGTGGTCGAACTTCGCTGCAACTGGACAACCAATACCATCGGCTTTAGCAAACAACGTCACATGGGAACCATACTTATTAGAAACTGACAACTACTTAGAAATTTCCGAGATACCGGGAATGAAGACAGGACTTTATCCCAATAGAATGCAAAAGTGGGAGAGCCTGTTTCCTTTGAATTCAAAATAGCAACCGATTTATATAATATCCAAAATCGCGATACTATAAGTTGTAATAAATATGATCATGTCAAGCTTGTTGAACAAAAAATGTATATATCAAATCTACTATTCGAGCAAATGCAAGCAATTATATATAAGTATCATGTTTAATAAAAAAAATGTCTTTTTTCTAATAAAAGATATATCTTCAAATATGCTATAATACTACAACTTATAAAATTATTTGTTAATATAAAAGATAAAGTAATACTCTCTTAAGAACGATAAGTTATACAATTATAATTAAATGTTAATTGTAAGAAAATGAAGTGCCATCACACGTATAACAAAAAACAAAAGTTTTAAAAAAATTCATAAAAGAAGGATATATATATTTAGATCATCGGATCCGATGGTTCCAACTTCACCAGAGGTTCGCTTAATTCCCATAATTTCTTGCCCTTAGCAGGATCTTTTGCGGCATTCGATAGCCTATGTTCCTAAAATATGTGATATAATTAAAATACAAATTTAGTTTTGAAAAGGATTAAAAAATGATTCTTACAGCACAATCCATGAAATATTTTCCCGAGACTCCATTAAGTTCCTCGGAAACCGCAACATGAATAGTCGTCTGCGCGCCTTGCACGGGTGTCTTGAAGAACGCTTTGGTGATTAGATACACAAACCAGGATAACGGGGCGGGCACGTTTCGCCAGATTCCGCTGTCGATCATTCCAGGATGCAGGCAATTTGCGGTCACCCCCGAGCCTTCCAATCGTCGCGCCAGCTCCAACGTAAAGACTATATCCGCGTACTTTGACACGTAATACAGATACGCTGGCAGGCTTGATGTAGGATTGATATTGTTGAGATTTAAACTTGCGAGTCGATAGAGCTCTGACGCAACTACTACAATACGACTCGGTTTCGATCGTCTTAATAAGTCTGTAAATACGGACGAGATTTTTTTATTTGCATTATTCTTGCTAACTGTACTCTACACAAACGTATCTCTGATATTTTTTATAAAAACCTTATAAGCATAGAAAAAACTTCATGAAAAAACTTAATTGTGCAATTAGCATTTGAATACATGCATCATCCATTTTGTTAAGAGTGATATATGCATGTTACATACATAAATAATAATTAAAGTATAAATCAAATTGAATATAATTTCAAGATTTAAATTTAAAAATCACACACTATTTTAAACTCTCTTGTTCTCATTATTTAATATTGTACTATTCCGAACTAATCATTTATCTAAATTAATTCTGCTAGCAACAATGGATTGAATAAGATAATCTTTGTTCCACTTACATTTGTCGTATATGTTGCAACAAGTAAATTAATTAGCATATATCTTTTACACATTATAATTTCTTACCGATTAAAAGATGCGTCAGCAAAAAGGGACCAAAGTAATTGGTAGCCATAGTCATTTCTAATCCATCTTCAGTGACTTTTTTCCTGAAAGTCTCCGCAGTCCCAGCATTATGAATCAATACGTCCAATCTGCTTTCCTCTTGATTTATTTGTTGTGCAAACTCTCTGACTGATTGCAACGATGACAAATCCAATTTTCGGATTGCGATATTGTTGTTGTTCGATTCTTTCACAAATTCGTCTATATATAAAAAAATATTTGTATATTAGAGAAAAATAAATAAAAAATTTGTCTTCGCCAAAAAATGTAGAATATTTATTATTTTATATATTAAACATTTTTATATTTTTGAATTTAAATATTGAAAAAACAACTGAATATGAATAGTTATATGCTTTTGGAATAGATAAAGATTGCAAAATTTTTTTTGTTTTAAATAAATAAATATAATATTAAAAAATGTAATATTTTGTATTTATTTTAGTTAATTAGTGTTGTAAAAATTATTTGATTTATATAATTATTATATGTATCCTAAGGCATTTATATATATGTCAGGAAATGCATTAGCGATCGAGATAATATGATTCGAAGAATCAGCATATACATATAACAAAGGTATATATAGTCATAGCAATGTCTTATTTGATGACAAAATAACATTTGCAATTATAAAAGTGATCTCATTGTTTATAATTATATGTTATAAAAATATATACGTATGTGAACCCCACAGTCCTAGATCGATTTATTTGCAACAGAATGTATATAATCAAATCATTAAATCAAGTAAAATGTAATTTATAGTTGTGCGCCAATAATAATCCATTATATATATATATATATATATATATATATATATATATAGTAGCAAAAACGCACCTTTCAATTGATTAGCGGCATCCGTGTTTCTGCAGGCCATAATCACTCTAGCTCCTCTCTTTGCGAGATCCCTTGCTGTCTCCTTGCCGATGCCGGAAGTGCATCCAGTGATTATCACCGTTTTTCCGTTCATTTTACTCTTACTTTTACAAACGCCTGAAGTGTAGGTAAGATAAAGACGAAGAGCCACCAAAAGCAAAAGCGCACCGCCGAGGACAATTGCCGCAGCCAAAAAAAGCACTGTTGTACAGTGGATGTTTATCATATTATCTAAAAAAATTAAATAAGAGTATATATAATGTGAATTTTTATGTTCTTTAGAACATCATATATAATATTACTTAAGAGTATATTTTTTTCAATTAAATATAAAAAACAGAAAACAAAGAAAAATAATAATTGGAAAAATATACATTTCTAAAACGACACAAATCAACAAAACAATTAAATTAATTATAATAACAATTAAATTAAATGATAATTAATATAACAAAATGTATTAAACTTATGTTAACTTTTTTAATTCTTCGATTAATAAGCTTCATTTATTTAGAAAAAATTTGAAGGTGCGCTTCTTAAAAATCTTTAAATTTCACTATATATATATATATATATATATATATATATATATATATATATATATATATAGATTCTCTGTTTTTCAAGAAGACGCATCTTCACAATTTTTGCAGCCAAGAGAACTCGAAAGTATGATGTCCGGATTCTCCGACGACTGAAGCGTGTATACGAAGGTCATTGACCATGCATACCGTTTGTTAGATATTGAACTTGTTCTTTACATCGTGTTTCTTCCGGAAAGCTTAGAAACCAGACAAAATGAATTGAAACAATTGTATTTGAAACGCACAAAAATATGTATGCATGATATTAAAACCGATTTCTCGTGATAAATATGTAATTTTATCAAGAACAATTGATTCTCTCACGTAATGTTTCTCTCATTAAAGCTTATAAATTTCACAAATTTAAAGCAAAATCACATAATACATAAAATCATTTTAAACAATATTATTTAATAACGGATGATACAAAGTAATAAACATTTATAAATAGGAACATGTGAAATGTGAACAATTAAGCTTTGAAAAAGATGCATATTGTATCATCAGATAACTATAATATAGTCTATAATTATGCGTACTTATGCGTAATAATAAAATTCGCAAAAAATTAATTCTAAGTCGACAAACAGTTTAACATGAATTTTAATACTGATTTACTGAATTGATTTTCTTCGTGTGGTATGGCACGTTTTCCGATAACTTATTATACACTCTTAAGATTCATTAGTCGATAAAAATTAATAAGTATAAACAATTTGAAAATATGATAATCTTATATTGTATTACAGAGCTGTAAAACTGACACGACTAAACACGACCTTGCCGAACTGAAGCCTAAAAGCAGTCACTGAATTATTTGGACTAGTCTGGCTCCTCTCTCGCGGAATTTTTCTCCCACCTTGTACCCTGTTCCCCGACTTCATAATCGCATCAGTGTTTCTCTTTCAGATGTGAATTTATTTCTAGTTTTGCTGTGAGCTACATTACACCTATAAATTGATTTACAGCAGAAGTTTTCTGCTATACGTATGCATCGTACACTTATTATATTATTCATAGAGCTTTGTGCACCTATATTATTCATAGAGGCTTCTATTCCTGCACTAGCTGAATGCATGCACATACTGGTGTCATATAAGTTAAATTGCGATAAAATATATTTATATATGTTATATGTCATCAGTTGTCATTATAGCATAAGAATAGAGAACAAACCTATAATTTCCAATGCTTTTGATATTTTTTATAATATACTTTATTTTCAAATACCATGATTAAAGTCGTATTGCAGATACGATTTTAATAATGATAGTTTTTTAATGTTGTGATTAAAAATGATATATATTCGCCATTAATGAAATTATGTCTATATATTTTTTTTAAATTTTTGTACAATAAAAATTTCTTATAAATTTGATAGTAAAATGCAAGGATAAATTAGAAAGTTACATTAATTGATTTTATAGACTTGCTTACTCACATATAACAGAGTCCTCATTACCAGCTCTCGCATGCCGTTACAATCCACATGCCAATGCACTACTGATGTTAGTTCTTTCTTCAGAGTCTTCCAGGTGAGAGTGAGCAGACAACTATACCCCCACTTTTCGCGATGAAGAATGATGATCAGCAAAGTGGCCTTGATGCATTTTAATATTTAATTTTATGTAATTTTATCTTAGCATCTCTACATCCAATGAAAGATAAGATCGTCAGTATAGTTTTTTATCTCCTTGAAAGAAATATATAACAAGAAAATTTGAAATATCTATAAATGCGTCAGTAATTTTTTATCTCCTTGAAAAACAAATAATAATAAAGTTTGAAATATCCATAAATGCTATTATTAATACGTCGCAATTTTTGAAACCATGACGCAAAGAATAATAAGTGTTTAGACAGTTGATGTTAGTACATATTATAATAATAAAGTAGTATATAAAATATATAGTATAAAATGTATAAAGTTTAAACTGTATAGTATACGCTCACATTATGAAATCTTCTCTCGATTGAAATTTACATTATTAATTATAATTAATCAAATTACAAAAAAAATGAATGACAATTTAATACGCGAAAAATAAGCGATATTTCTCCATTAAAAAAGATAGAAGTTTCAAAAAATGTTTCATTAAGACCGTTTATTTATCTGTGAAATTGACTATTTAAAAAATTGAAGTACGCGTAAAATTCAATTCAATTTAATATTCAATTTTGACATATTTTAATTTTATTTGCTATAATTACGATGTAAATGTAAAAGAAAAAGAAAGGAAAGTGTTGCTACTATATATGCGATATAGTAAAATTAACGTGACATGCAATTTTTCATAATGATGCAATTTTCCGTGCAATTGCTACGAATTTCTAATTTGATTTGGTTTCGTGAAAATTATGGAATCGCGAGCGTAATTTAACGCGACTATCATCGCTCGTCGATTGCTCCATCTCGACAGCGTTTTGCAGGATTTGCATAGTTAAGCTGGAGATGCGTAGATCTTTCAGTTTCATCGAACTTTCTAGATAGGCAATTTTATGGTTTAAAGTGCATATTATTTCCTCTTTTTCGCGTAACTCTTGTTTCAGCTGTGTATAAATTGCACGATGCACGGTTTCATCATGTACATCCTGAATTTGCTCTGTCGCGATGTCCGCAAGCTCATTGCCTGTATATAAAAATTGAAACAAAAACTTATCAATTTAACGCAATAATAAAATCAAAGAATGCAAATTATATTCATTTAAATATCTCACGTTTGTATTTGCCAAAACGTGGAAGTTTGCAGTAGCTAAATATTTTCCATATGTAAAAAAGACAAATAATCCAACTGAAGACGAGGAGAAATCCTCGTTTGAGACGCACAAATTTCGACGGATTTATTTCAATAATTTTCTTATCGGTCTTGAGTTTATTTGAATTTTCTGCCGATGAATTCAATTGGCCGTTCGTTGACGAATCTCCAATTTTCTCTTCTGTGTGCGAATATATTTAGAAATAAATACAATATTTAATTGTCATTTTGACGTTTATTACGTCACAGTTTATGTTATTTGAGATATGTCGAGTAATCGTCTTTACACCTAACGACAATTAAATTGTGTTAAATGACATACTATTTTGACATTTAATGACGTCAAACCGATATCATAAATAAATGACGTATGCTTGCTACCTGGGATATATCTTTGCGACGAATACCTTCCACTTTGGCCTTCAGCTTGTGCATTTCTTCGTCGTCTCGCAGAATTCTCATCCTCAGCTCCAGCAAGAGCTTCTCGATCGCGCCTTGTGACGCGTTCGCCAATTGATGAATCGTATCCCTGCTCAATTTCATATCCATCTTCGCGAGTACCTTCCGATTCAGCGTGTTCCAATTCTCCTTCTTCGTGTTCAAATTACTCGCTGGCACGTAATTATGCAGTTCCACGTATCGAGGATAGTATACTTTTAAAATCTCCGCCATGAGAACTAAAAATTCGCACTGATAATATTTAATTTATTTATTAAGAAAAAAAAACACGAAAAGTATGAAAAATATGAAAAAGAGGAGAAATTTATAATTTATTTATACCGGCGTCCGAAAAGTCTCTTGTCAAGTTCCTCGCAGGTTTCGAGAAAGGGATGCTGTCAATCCACGCGATCAGCTCCTTGTCCATTTGACTCTGCGTCGTGTCGCCAATCATGTTTTCCCTTTTATGAATGATCATCTGTCATTATATATTATTCCTATATAATAATTATTATTCTTCGCGTTTCAATGCACCGATGAAGAAATTTGGAACCATGCTGTCATCTGATTTCTCTTGCGACACAAAACCTTTCATCGAGACCTGAGCGATGTAATCTCGACCTCGATTGCAAAATCTTCCTTTATTTTCAGTTCAAACTGAAGTTGTCCATCAATCAATCAATCTCGAAAAAATCGAACTTCAAGAAAACACGTGACCCCGACACAGGTGCAACACAATATATATTGCACCTTTCGTATTTAAAAAGTGCAAATAAAAAGAAGTCGTGCATAGGAATGTGGGTTAAAATATTTCGATTTAAATATATGAATAATAAACAAGCATTTTTTAGAAAATAATTGATTATTTATATATTTATTTTATAATCTCTCTTGCTTTATTTCTAGAAATCCATCTAGGGACATTTCGTGTCTGATTGTCACAAGTTGACGAGCCTTCTCGACATTCGTTTCGCGAGTGCTTCGTATTGTTGCAAAGTAATAGTCATGGCTTCGGAGCGGTACAGTTTTTCGTTAACGACTTTCAGGTGAATATATTTGCAGCCACGTAATAATCGCGCGTGAATCAATAAATTTTCAAGCAATATTTTGTGTTTGTAATAAGAGATGGATATCATTGGAAATGAATGGAACGATAATCTAACCTCTATGTCCGTCTAACACTCGGCATATTTTTCCATCATTGTGAATGAAAATGTTTAGTTTAATCAATAATATCTTGTTAATAATAATACATTGTCAATCAATACACAATTAATAATCACGAATGAATTTTATCTGAAATATGTATAACGTTGGATAACATGACAGAATGACTCGTCAAATTTGTGATGTATATTTGTCAAATGTCAAAACAAGTATAATAATATATTATTCATAATAATTATTTATAATAATTTAGATATAATTATTATAATCATTTATAATAATTCAGATATAATATATTTAGATATGTGCGATGTATCGATTAATGAAAATTTTGTATTTTGCAGTCCATCGGGCAAATTAGTACAGATAGAATATGCCTTGGCCGCTGTAGCAGCTGGTGCACCAAGTGTGGGTATCAAGGCGTTGAACGGCGTCGTTCTGGCTACTGAGAATAAGCACAAATCTATCCTCTATGATGAGCACAGCGTTAGTAAGGTTGAAATGATCACAAAGCACATCGGCATGGTCTATAGCGGCATGGGTCCAGACTATAGATTATTGGTGAAACAAGCACGAAAAATGGCACAACAGTATCTTCTGGTTTATCGGGAACCTATCCCAACTGCGCAGCTGGTGCAACGTGTTGCGATGGTCATGCAAGAATACACACAATCTGGGTGAGTTATTACCTTGTTTTTGATCGCTGCAGTTTGTAATTTATTTTAAATTAAGAATTATACAGGCTTTTAATTGTTCAAGATATATTTAAATTGATATAAAAATAAAGAGATATAGTTACAAAGAGGTAATATAGACTTGTTATTTTACAGAGGTGTCAGGCCCTTTGGAGTGTCCCTTCTGATTTGTGGTTGGGACAATGACAGGCCCTATCTATTCCAATGTGATCCATCTGGCACGTATTTCGCATGGAAAGCAACTGCAATGGGTAAAAATTTCATCAATGGCAAAACATTCCTCGAAAAGAGGTATAGCGAGGATCTGGAATTGGATGATGCTGTTCACACTGCCATTCTGACGCTGAAAGAAGGTTTTGAAGGTCAAATGACAGCAGACAATATCGAAGTTGGCATTTGTGATGCAAACGGATTCAGAAAGTTGGATCCCTCCAACGTTAAAGATTATCTCGCTAATATCCCTTAAATTTAAGTTTTTTAAAAATGTATTATGGAAGTAAAAGCTTTGCAGACGTTAATGGATTCAAATCAGATTCTTGTAATAAATTCTCTTATCCAATATAAAAAAATGCAAAGTTTTTTCAATAAAAACCATTTTAAACTTTATAACAATTATCTATTATAATACATACATATGCTGCAGGTTTTTGAAAACTTAATCTTTTTATATAACATTGAATCTTGAATGATTAGCTTTTTATAAATACTCTAGACTTTTTGTAAAAAAAGTTAAATTTAGAAAGTCTGCAACATATTTAAAATTTATAGTAAAATTATGTTATTTCTGAAAATTAATACAAGTATAATTGAACAATATGAAATTTAGGCAAAGTGTAATAACATAATTATACAAATCGAAAAGAAAAGTCATGTTTGCACATATATATATATATATATATATATATTTTTGCTTTCTTATATATATATATATATATATATACATATGTATCATGATTTTTCATTATTTTACTTTTGAAGTACATATATAAAATAATAGATAAATATCGAATTTTATTATACGTTTAATATTTTAATAATATTTTCAATATTGAAATTATATTAAATTATATAAATTATTGCACTATTAATTTTTTCATACTATTTTAATCATTTTTATAATATAGGCATTAGAATACATTTACCAAAATATGACTACCATGTATCAAAACAAATTAATCATAGCGAAATGTCAATGCTACGTAAAACAAGCTTGTCAGCGATTCTTTGCTACACTGTTACAATGGCAAGTGAAAGTTAAAGACATTATTGCGAGCCTGGCAGGGCCATTTTTGTCTTAAACTAATAATTCATCGTTAACATTATTTTATTATCATATTTATAATCCATACAAGAACTATAAAAAAAATCAATATTTGCATTCCAATTATTCAGAAAGATATTAGATCATGATATTTATTAATCATGACAAGAGAATATAAATCTTTAGAATCTTTTTTAACGTTTTATTTTATTGTTATACTTATAATATGTAATATATATTTTATATATATATATGTAATATATTTCTTAAATAATTTCAAATAGCCCGCGCGCATCGACGAGAGTTCGAGACACGACGCGTCGATTGTATCGATATAGTACTTCGAGAATCGCAAGCAGTTTGAATCGCCTCAGTTAGTGAAACGCGCCGGTGGATTACACAGCGTCTCCGAATCGCTCCGCGTCGATCCACCTTTGTTCGCGATTAATTGTCGTTCGTAAGTGAAAAGTAAGACGAAATATCGCGAGTGTATCGCGAAAGGGTCGAGTGTTGGTCGAGTAACGTGTCGTCGTCGCGTATAATCGTCGTTATACCCCAACTTGGCTTTCGACGCGAGTCGGCCTTCGACCTTGACTGCCCGGCGAGGACTCAGAATCGAGATCGTCGTGGCGGATTTTCTCGTCGTGGATGCGCGATTGGGTCGCGTCATACGTCAAATCTACAGTATCGCGCGCGTCTGACGTACGGGGACTCTAATTAGGACGCATAATTAACATATTTTCAGCATCTTTAGCTCTTCCGATTTTTTTTGTCGTGACGTCACACTCGACACTCCGGTCGGTAATGCCATATTGTCGAACGACTTACCCGCCGCGTTTAGCAGAGACCGCCACATACGGCGAAGTGCGCGAGTGTATCGATCGAGCGATGCTCGGCGAGTCGCGCGCGCGAAGTGACAAGTGATTGGAGGTGGGCGACGAGTGTCGCGGGGATGTCGCTGCCTCTGCCGCGACTATTGCAGTTGGTACGCGGCTGTCTGGCCTACCGGCTCGTCCACATCTACCTGCGTCGTCGCGTTGTCACCCCGCGCTGTCATCAGACTGCTACCATGCACCTGTCATCGCATCGCTCGTACTGATTCGCCCGCTCGCCGAGCCTCTTTGACAGGCGGCTCGCCTCGGATCCTCGCATCCTGGAGGGACGAATGTTCGTAAAAGGTAGGACCCACGTCCTTACTTACGCGATCAACCCTCGGTTTCGCGAGGCGCATGTATGTATACATGTTTCTACGTGTAAAGGAAAATAACGAGAGAGGGAGAGAGAGAGAGAGAAATGGCGAGGAGATAACGAGTGTCGTATAAAAGTGTGTAACTGGAATGGACAGATTTGAATCTACAAGCGACTCTCCTGTCACTAGCATATATTCCGATAGTCGATTGCCATCGACTTGACAATTTATAACGAGCCTCTTATCGCGATGAAAATCCAAATTTGCTAGTTTAGTTCGATTATTGACCGTTTAGCTGCCCCTGGAAAACTGAAACTGTCAAATGTCAGATGACATTTTATATCGTGATATCTCTCTCTCTCTCTCTTCCTTTTACATTTCGTATGATAATATGCAATCTTGTGGAATTTTAATTAGCACACATACATGCGCGCGCGTCATTCACTTTGCTTCGTACTTCTTATTTTTTAAATTCAACTAATATAATGTTCCACCGTATATATTTGGGCGAACGAGAAAAGTAATTAACGCGTTGGTACACCGACAATAAAGCGAATTAATTAACGCTAGATTAGCGAATTGTACGTGTGCGTTACCTACCTTTTCATATTTTAATTCTGCCTGCACCATAGAGAAAAGGTATTAATTAACTTCAGATTAATTATTAAATATACATAGGTATATCAAATATATGAACAATTTAGTTTCATAGAATTTAGAATTATTTATTTATAACAATAATTAATGGCGATAATTAGAAAATAGCCATCTCTTGAATTGGATAATATAATCACGATTGGATAATATAATAACAATAATAAAAATAAAAAAGTAGAGCGTATATAAATAATCCGATGACCAAAATGAATTGATCCGCGCAAAAATATGATTGATATCTCTCGATCGGGATAAAACGTGTTCGTTGTGGGTGAGATCTCGATCAACGATCTAATCTCATCTCTCGAAGCGACAGGCAGCGAATCGCTCGCGATCGATGCGGCCCAATTCTAAGCGTGCCATAAATTTCGATCGCCGATACTATCCGAAATACGCAACGGCTCGTCCGTTTCGCGGACTCGGTATGCCGGAACTCGGCACTCTGCGCGAAATTTCATCGATCTTTCTCTCTCAGGTCCGACAAGCGAGCCCCGGTGTAATCGCGGGGCGAGAGGCTACTATGGTAAACGCTACGCGATCGGAAAATTCGCGATCCTGTTCGATGAATCATCATAAAATTCAGGCTGTTGAAATATCGTGAATTGCGCAAAATGTATTGTGCAAAGATCAGATTTTTATTCTACATAAATTTAAAAATTAAATTTTTTTATTTAACAATCAGAATTTAATTTAATTAAAAAATAGCTGCTCGAATTTCATATTTTATTTTCCCGAAAATAAACGATTATAAATATAACAACGATTTAGAAATTATATCACTATTACTTGGTTTTTACAATAATAGTTTTATAAGGACTTTCACTTGATTGTGATTGTTTTACGACAGAGATTCTTATTGTTGTACTTTTTACCTTTTAGAATTTACTGTCTTTTTTAAAAGTGACGTAATTTATATGTTTTTATGTACATAATTTTTTTTCTCCCATTACGATATCTGCATCTCTCAATTTTTACGCATACTTAGCAATCTTTTAGTTCTACATTGCATTCATGAATATGCAGCTAATATATGATCGATTTATATCCGTTTAATATTTTCGAGTCGTACTCGACGAGTTGGAAGCGAGAGCGAGAGCAACTCCGAAATTGCTCGAGTTTATTTTAAATACAGAAAGATATATCTCGAAAAGGACTTTACAAATTATGGACTCTACTCTAATCCTTACTCGCGGGTGCGACTCCCTTCATTTTTCTTCTTGTATTCGTAACTTTTGGCGGAAGTCGAGTAGTCAGTCACCCGCACAATCCCCCTTAACTATTATAATCAAAATTCACTTCAAGACTGGCGTTAGATATATATCTCAAGCAATTCCTAAGGAAATTTCAAAGTGAAACTTTATATTCCGCCGAATAACTCTCTTGTCCGCGCCGTTTGGTTTATCAGCCTTTTCGGCTTTATCGACTTATCGGTCTTCATTATCTTTATTACGTCTGAATTTCTCGCGCCCGCGTGCGACTCGGCGTTTCTTCGTCAGAGAAACGATTTCGCGAGGTATATAAAGGAATATTCCTCTGGTCTCTCTCTCCTTCTCATTCCTCCGCATTTCGCGCATCCAGTACCATTGTCGAACAATGGTGGATTTTAATATAACGCATCCGCGAACGCAAACGCGTCTTAACAACAGACGGTGGGTTTTTCATTTAGTGTTACTTGTCGAAGCGGATCTCCGGGGACAATCGCGACCAACAACGTCAAGAGAGAAAGAAAGAAAGAGAGAAAAAGAGGAAAGATATCGAAGAAAAGCGGAGCGCAGGACATCTCTGCTCGCGCGCGCTTTGCAATTTTAATTTCGACATTGCGAGCGACTATTTTTCCTCCCCCGTTCTTGTGTTCAAATCGGAGCAAACACCTGCAGATTTACGTATCTTCCTATTGCAAAAAAATCGATATCGCTTATTAAAAATTCTAAGAGGCAATCGTAAATTCGCAATCGATGATTCATCCTTTTCATAAAAACGCGATAGACACGCTTTCACTGAAAAAATATTGTTAACTTGAGACTAAACCTCTTTGAACTAAATATTATTTTATTAATTGAACGTGCAAAAATATTTAAATTAAATATAACATGTTAAATCTAACAAAACGTATATTTTATTGAAATACTAATAAATGTTTAATGAATAAAATAGTAAGTATAATTTAGTTGAAAGTCATGTTAACACATTTTTTTCAGTTGTCTCTATCATTTTTTTTCCGCGATTGAAATCCGATTCTTACACAGAGAGAATTTTTAGAATTTACTCTAAAAATCATGGTAATCATGGGACAATATTGGAAGAATTTTATAAGATAAAATACAATAAAAAATATTAATATCTACCACAATAAGATATAAAATATGTTTGATTAATTTTACTATGTGCATATTAATATAAATATTCTCTCCGCGTGTTGTAGATGTCGAGCAATATTCTATAGTAAGATTCGGAAATAATAA